GATTTTACTGGTTTTATAACACCTACATTTCATATGCATCCTTTATAAATGGATCCTTACACACACGCATTTCTAAAAATGTCCTTGTTCAGTTACACAGGTGTCCACAATGCTTACAAACCTCAGCACAGGGTAAGTTTCTGTCTGCTGTCATATCACATCTTGTCCTTGATTTTCCAATAGAGCTGTTTAGGATGGATGAAATGCCAGAATGATTTGGGGTCACATTTCCATGGCAACCCTTCACTGTTGTAGTAAAACAGCAAAATCAACAAGCAGCCAATGGATCAGCTCAAATAGTCTCATTTGATGCCAGTCAAACTCTCTCTCTCTCTCTCTGTCGCTCACTACACACAAATACACCCAGATTCACCTCATCGTTCTCTAAGAGGGACTCTTGAAATGTTATTGATGCACGTTTGGATCAATAAATGAATTAATATTGATGAAACTGAGACAAATCAATGACAAGTGATAAAACAGAGTGTGTCGAATTACAGAGAATTGGATTGAAAGGTATCATAGGGGAAAATTCATCCACTTACCACACTGTATATGCGTAATGTGACACTGACACTGTTAAGCAGAGTGTGTGGGCTACAGCAGAGTGCATCGCATGGCTACAGGTCTCCTGGTTAGAAGATAATAAGATTACAGTGACACAACAAGGAAACCTTATGAAATATACCTGCACTCTGTATGTGGGCGTTTGTGTGTAGCTATATGCAGGTGTGCATCACACGCATATAAACGTCTATAGGGTAAAAATCTCTTTTTACCACACTCCTCCGCAAATCACAAGCACAACAGAGTCAGTGTCACAGTCGGCAAATCAATTATTCAATGGCATTTCAAAATAACAGTGGATACCCATGGTTGCCATAGACACATAGCTGATTTACAGGGTTGTCACTTGTCTGTGATATTCCAACTCTAAGTAGGACAAACAGAGGGGGGAAAAAACTACAACAGCATAACGCCAACAGAGAAACAAGCACGTCAGTTATGAAATGTTCACCCTCATGTAATGTGATTCCTCCTTCACTGACCAAGTGAAGATTAGCTTTTAATGTCACACATTTGTTTCAACTGAACTAAACAACAAGCTTCTGATGTGTGGTAAATATTCACACCCTGGTTTTCTATAATAAGCCTGTTGTCTTGATATGCTGAGGTGCTGGTTGAAATGAAGTCGCTAGCTACCATAGAAACGTTTTTCATGTGACATTTTGACACAAAAGCAGATCTTCAACATTATGCAAGCCCACTGGAACAAAAGTAGGTTTAGTATGTAACATAACATAATACTATGTTTATTTATAATATTTTACACAGTCAAACTCAAATTCAATGCACATTAAAAAAGAAAGTTTGTCCTCAGTTCCACAGACAGGCTGCTCCAGAGTCTGGGTGCAGACAAACTAAAAGCAGCCTCAGTGTCGATGTTAACTGTCAGCACAGGTTGACAAGCTGTCACAGTGTCTCTGACTACCAGGACGCCCTGATAACAGGGACGGCACACAAACTGGGGAATCTGGAGCAGTGTATGAATTTTACCCTGCAGATATGAAATAACAAACATTTCAAAGTCCCTGTGAAAATAGTTATATTTTAAATAGAAAATATCTATCTATCTCAGGGCTGCAGCTGTTTTCATTATCACTTAGTCTATCAATCATTTTCAGAATTAATTGATTGGCATATACAAATAGCAAAAAAAAATACCCATCACATTTTCCCAGAGTCCATGGTGAACATGTCTTGTTTTCCAATAATATTAGTTTGCTTGCTATTTGCCGCTATTTAACTTTCTGCTGACCAACTGATTGATTAACTGAATAACTATATTGCTGTAATATATCAACCTGTCTCACTCTGTCAAAATGCAGATGAGGGGCATAAGATCATAGGTCAGGAGGTCACACCTACTGACAATCTATGTGATTGTGGGCAGAAAACACAAACACACACACCTAGCTTCGGTACCTCAGCACATTTAATCTTTCCCAGCACACACACACACACACACACACACACACACACACACACACACACACACACACACACACACACACACACACACACACTCTTTCACTCTCTCTCTCTCTCCTGTAAGACACCTGTTCACCTGTTCCAGTACAAAATTGATCTGAAAAGCAATGCTCAAACAGATTTTCTAGCTAAGAGACAAATGATCACCTAGGGCAACAAGGTGTACATAATGTCTCTACCCTGTAGCAAAGGATTTATCTTTCTTCTTTGCAGGGCAGGATGGATATTAATATGAATAAATTATATTAAATACAAGAAAAAGTAAAAAAAAAAACAAAAAAAAAACAGTACGAAACACCACCTGCTGGCCATATCATCTGTGTTCTCCCTCCTCTCTTGTATCATTACACCTTGAGGCAGAAGCTCAAGCTGCCTACAATAACCACGCTGTGAAATGCCATTGCCGTGTGGCGTGCTCCTGTTTAAGGGCAATACACGTGTCGTGCTGCCCTCTTGTGTCTGGTTGGGACAGACGAAGAAGAGATTTTATGAGCAAGTCTCAATCAGGCGTCATTCAAATCTCTACTTACGTGGTTGTTGGGCGCGTGAACTGTTGTAAGTTCAGAGCTTTACGGAAAGTGAAATTCTTAGAAAGTTCAAAGCTCTCACTTTCTCTCTTTCTCTCACACACATACACACGCACGCACGCACGCACACAAACGCACACAGTCTGTCAGTCTCGTACAGAGGAGCCCTGCGGACAGGTTTATCCTGTGATGGTCATTCCTGTGCGCTCCAACGCGTTCCTGCAGCGGGATAAGCTGCATCCCGTGCCTGGCTACGACAGCATGTGACCGGCTTGTGATTTCGGCTTGTGCTCGGATACAGACCCTGAGACCTACCCCCCCACCCCCCCCACGCCTCACTCCCTCTCTCTCCCTTTCTCGTAGTTTCCACGTACATTCTTGTACTATGTGGTGATCGTCACGCTGTGGTACAGATGATGACAACACCGTCAAAGACTTCTCAAAGCATTTTGAATCTTACATTATAACGTTTCATTTTTACACATTGCCATGAATTGATGCAAGATATTTATTAGGCCAGTGATAGAATATAACTGAGTAGTCTATAGCTACACTTACTCAAGTATTCTACTTAAGTACAATTTTACTTGTACTTAATTTTAGTATTTCCATTTTATGCTTCCAATTCTATGACTGACATCTACTCTACAGGTACTTTTTACTTTATTTACTTTGCATATTCAGATTTTAAATGCAAAGCATATGATAGATTCATAAAATATGATGCATTGTTATAGATTAAACTACCAAACTAGTCTAAAAAACTAGTTCACTTCACCTCTACCTGCACTTTGAGAGTAGTGCAGCACTTAGAATAATCCAATAAAGTAAAATATAACGATCTCACACTGACAGGCTATTAATATATTTTACTGCAAATATGTCTTAATGTGCTTTTAGTCTGCTTAAACAAGATAAAAAATATTCTTTACAGTCATATTGCTACTTTTACTAAATGCTTCTTCCACCTCTGATAATCACTATATTTTAACAACTATGTGTTAGACTGATTAATAATAATATAAACATAGCTGCCTTTGCATATTACCTTGGGTATGATTCTGTTTTTGTCTCTTCTGTTTTTGCACGTGTTTAGAGAAACAGATGCAAGACCCAAAAAGGACAACTGTTTTAATTTCCACAGGGAACTCCTCTTCTCACTTCTACAAACTACTGGAGGGTCAAACTTGAGGAGCAGCAGCACAAGCAAAAACGTTTCATCATGGGGAAAAAAATGCCAGTTACAATGAGGTTTAATGGTCTTCTTTTTCCTTTTAAAAATGTAAGGTTTCATTAGAGGTAAAATGTTTATTTGATTGAATCATTTTCATTCTCAATAACACATGTTTACCTTTCTGTAATAGAATAAGAGGAAACTGTCATTGTCTGTTTTCATTTATAGGGAATGAATTGAGATTGTATTCACCTCAGCATGAACAACATGCTACAACACAAGCTACATCCAGGTGTTATCAAAATTTAAAATGTTAAATTCTCTCACCTCACCCCTGTGCTGTCCATTTTGTTTATTTTATGGCTTTGTTTTTGACAGACAGCCAATGGCACCATAAAAGAACTTTTACTGCAAAATATTGAAATATTAATACAGTCTTTCACGCTGCAGTTCTGCCTGTAACACCTTTGGGGGAATTAGTTTAGTCCCCATAAATAGCATCTCTGAAACAGACTCTTCATAATGTTGAGTAAGTCAAAAGTTACCCAAAGTAAACTTTTAACCTACTGTAGAGATGTCAGGTGTTCTCAAATACCATAACAGGCACAGCTGTGGTTTGTGCACACTAAACTTCCCAATAAACTGGCTGACAATGGAGACTGGTTTTTACTTATCCTGTCTGTTTCACATGTCCTCATATGGTTGAATCCAAATGGAAATCTTGTTTTTGTCTTAATCTAAAAATTAATTGAAAAGGTTTTCCTAAATGATGTCTTCAGAGAGCAGACCGACAGTGATTTAATGTGTTAAACATGTTGCTCGGACTAATATTTCCCGGAGTTTTCTGATGCATCTCAATAAAATTCAACTAATTTCTGCCTGAGGTATAGTGAAGCAGAGGTCAGCTGGTCTCAAGACCAAATGAAAGAGGAATCAGGAATATTATCCTGAGCATGTGATGGCATATGAGTGCACATGCTTTCGTGTGTGTGTGTGTGTTTGTGTGTGTGTGTGTGTGTGTGTGTGTGTTACACAGTGCGTGAGATCACAATGAGATCACACACTTTGTCAGAGGACGGCCCCTAAACCAGCTCAATGAGTAGGGAGAGAACAAGAGACTGTTGGCTGGGTGTAAGAGAGAGAGGGTGGAAGGAAGTCTGGTAGAGGGTTAGAGTTAGATGGTAGCACAGAGGGGTAGCAAATTATTTTTAAAAAAAAAGGCTGTAAGCTGCAATTTAAAAAAAATTATAAAAAAGCTAGGAATTCTTTGTTTGTGGATAAATACAGGTACCTGAAGAGTGTGTAGTTTTTCATTAAAAGCCATCTCTAGATCAAATTTGGTTGAATGCAGCTTACAAACTAGAAGTAACTTTTGAGCACTTCATTTATTCCTCTGTGCTGCTTTTTACTGAGTCTAACCTTGTCAGCTGCACGGTCTGTGAGGGCGTCAGGTTCTCCTTTGTCCATCTTTTCAACAGGAATTTACATTCCCACCGTGGTTAAGACTGGAGTTGCTCTGACTTTTCAACATGAGGAGCCTCTGTGTATTTGTACTTCTGCTGCAGCTCATTGGGATGTCTTTATGTCAATTCCCTCGCCCATGTGCCAACTCAGAGGGGCTACGAACCAAAGAGTGCTGCCCGGTGTGGGATGGCGATGGCTCAGCCTGCGGTGCCCTTTCAGGCCGTGGTTTCTGCACTGAGGTGCTGGTCTCAGATGAGCCCCATGGGCCCCAGTACCCACACAGCGGGATCGATGACAGAGAGCGTTGGCCTTTAGCTTTCTTTAACCGGACATGCCGTTGTGCTGGAAACTATGGAGGTTTTAACTGTGGAGAATGCAGGTTTGGTTATTGGGGTTCAAACTGTGCTGAGTACAGGGAATCAGTGCGCAGGAACATCTTGACCCTGTCAACTGCTGAGCAACAGAAGTTTATCTCTTATCTGAACCTGGCTAAAAACACCGTCAGCCGTGACTATGTCATCTCCACAGCGACAAGAGCAGAGATGGGTGAAAATGGGGAGAACCCCATGTTCTCTGACATCAACACCTATGACCTGTTTGTCTGGATGCACTACTACGTGTCCCGGGACGCCTTCTTGGGAGGGCCAGGGAATGTATGGAGAGACATCGACTTTGCCCATGAATCTGCAGCCTTTCTGCCATGGCATCGAGTCTTCCTGCTGCACTGGGAGAATGAGATAAGGAAGCTGACGGGAGATTTTAACTTCACCATCCCATACTGGGACTGGAGGGATGCCCAGTCCTGTGAGGTGTGCACCGATGCTCTTATGGGGGGACGCAACTCGCTCAATCCCAACCTCATCAGCCCTGCCTCTGTCTTCTCCTCATGGAAGGTGAGATCATTTGACTCAGAGATAATCTGACTCACAGTCTGTGAGTGAAAACATACGTGCAAATCTTTTTTATCTGTAATTTAGACACTGAAAATTCCTTTTGTTACAAAACAAAGCCTTACTTTGCCTCCATCTCATGCTACATTTCTGTTGTTTTTAATCGGGTTATTGAGATCAGACTGAAAATCCTATTTCAGAGGTTTTGTCTCCATATTCCAGAAAATCTATCTAAGACAACAATTTATTTAGATAAAACTCTCAGAAATCTTGAAGTTGTTCATTGTATTTTATGTCTTTTACTTCAACCTGCTGTTAAACATTGTTCCATTTGTCTTCACTAATATTTATCCATACTCTGTCTGTTTAGGGTATTTGCAGCAAGATATCACACAAACAGCAGGATATTATGTTCATTACATTTACATTGTTTCTATTCCCATTGTATGTTCAGTCCATTTTCCTCCTCTGATGATTTCAGTTCCTCATTCATAGCTGATAAAAGTAAACATCCTGTATGAGAGTCATTTCACTGAACTGCTATTGGTGGACAGAGCTTTATAAAGGTCTACAGGCTCTTTAACCACAGCAGCCCAGTTAATGTGTGCGTGTGCGCGTGTGTGTGTGTGTGTGTGTGTGTAGGTGATCTGTACCCAGCCAGAGGAGTACAACAACCGAGAGGCATTGTGTAATGCTACCGAGGAGGGTCCACTGTTACGTAACCCCGGAAACCATGATCCCAACCGCGTGACTCGACTCCCCACAACAGCTGATGTGGACTTCACTGTAGGCCTCCCCGAGTACGAGACGGGACCCATGGACCGATTGTCCAACATGAGCTTTAGAAATGTCCTAGAGGGTATGGGTTACACACACACAAACACACACACACACACACACACACACACACACACACACACACACACACACAGAGTTATTACTGAAATACCATCCTTAACCATTAAATTAAATGAACATAATCCTTGGTCTAATCTGTCTAATCTAGTGAATGAGTCTTGGTTCACACATGGATAGAAACAGAATTACATGTGTGTCCGTCTGTGTGTATACTGTACATTCAAGCTCAATTACAGACCTGTACACACACATAAACCTAAAAACACTGAGACATAAACGCAATTATAACCAGAAAGAAATATATACACCCACGAAAAAGATACATGCCAGTTTAAATGTTTCACATGGGAATGAGTCATTCAATTTTCTTGGTTTATAAATAAATCGTTTTATTTTAGCGAAATCTTGTTACTTGAGCTTGGCCAATATGTCTTGTCCACATTAGTGTCTAACTCATAGTTGCCTTGAAATATTTTCCATGGGTATGATTCGGAGATAGACAATTCTATTGCAGATTATTGCTTCCACAGTCAGGGGCCTTCAGCTCGCCTTAAGCTTTATAAATTCCATGTCTGTCAGTGTGCTAGACATCATCCATTTTAGTGACAGTATATGAAAAGCTTCTCGAAGATTTGTGAAAGAGCACTTGAAACACTAGAAGTGGGTTCATCCAGCCAATTCAGCTCTGTTATAAGTTCAAATGTACTGTCTGGTGGTGGTAATGTGATTTCCCAGTGTCTCAAGGTACTTTCGAAAAGAATCTTCACAATTTTTCCACCCATCTCTCTCTCCACACACTCCACTCAACACGGCTACGCTGCCAACCTTTTTCTACTTTCCCTCTCCTGAGTGTTACCTTCCCATCCCTCTTTCTACTCCTCAGTAAATCTCACTGTTACTCTTACTCCTCTCTCTTATACTTGTTTTTGCTCTCCCTCTCTCCTGCAGGTTTTGCCAGTCCAGAGACAGGTATGGCAATGTCAGGCCAGAGCACCATGCACAACGCCTTGCACATGTTCATGAATGGCTCCATGTCCTCAGTGCAGGGTTCAGCCAACGACCCCATATTCCTGCTGCACCACGCTTTTATTGACAGGTATGACACACAGGAAAAGAGCAAACATTATGGTTATAAAATGTTGACAGTCACTTATTCGTGATTATTTCTGTTCAGAGCAGTTAATAAACATACAGTATATCTTCTCTCTGTTCCTTTCATTTCCTCTCCAGCATCTTTGAGCGCTGGCTCAGGACTCACCAGCCTCTCCGGACCAACTACCCACGTGCAAATGCCCCCATTGGCCACAATGATGGTTACTACATGGTGCCCTTCCTGCCTCTCTATAGAAATGGAGACTATTTCCTATCTGACAAGGTTCTAGGATATGAATATGCTTACCTGTTGGACCCTGGTCAGTACAGAACAACAAACATGTCCAGTGAATGAGTGTTACTACAACTTTTCCTTCATGTAACACTGTCTTATCCTGTCTGTGTCGCCACAGGTCAGAGGTTTGTGCAGGAGTTCCTGACTCCCTACCTCCAGCAGGCCCAGCAGATCTGGCAGTGGCTCCTGGGAGCCGGGATCCTCGGGGCTCTGATTGCTGCAGTCATTGCCACACTGCTTATTGTTGCAAGGAGGAAGTGGAAGCGTAATCTGAGGAGGAAGAGGGCATCGAGCTACGGAGAGAGACAACCACTACTGCAGAGCAGCTCAGAGGAAGGCTCAGCCTCATATCAGACTACCATGTAACATACACAGATAGTGTGCATACAGATGTATATGAATGAACTCGGGACACTTTTGGTATTTTCATTAAGCAAATGAATAAGATGAATCCTAGTACGGACTTCATTTGTTATTAATTCCCAGCCAGTAATAAATCAATTTAATTTTTAAAGTAACAGGTGAAGGTACAGATGAGTAAGTTCACCCAAACCTAAAAAAACATATCCTCCCCTCATGGTATCTAGCAGCTAGTCATGTGTGTTCTCTTTGCCTCTGAGACATACAGTATAGGCTACTGCTAAGACCTTTGCACTCCAATACAATGGAGGTGAAGTGAATTTAAATTGTGGGGTCATTGCACTGAAAAATGTCAGCAACATGTCTTCACAGAAGCACTGTCAGATTTCACAGGTTAAAAAAAGCACTGAGAAGCAACTTTTGATCACCTCGGTTTGCAGAGCTCTACATCTACACACAAACTGACAGACTTTCAGGGCCATTATGTGTTCATCATGCCAATGCAACACATATCAGTATTTAAATGAAAAGATAAAGATTTATACACTACAGAGACTATTTTCTGGTGGGTATTTGAACTGTTAGTTGTGTCAGGTTACAGAGATCACCTTGGTAAATTTACATTTCCTGTCTCTTTACACAGGCTACTCAGCAGTCAGTGACAGCAGCCGTGTTTGGATCAGCAAAGATGTGATCTATTTCTTGACTTTCCTCATCAGCCTGAACAGAGTCACATTTCATGTAATTTGTTACTCATTTGTATGGTACTGTAAACAGGGCACATACTATATGTGAATACGGTAAGTTTTCTAAAGTGGTCAGAGTTGATTAAAGCTCAACTGAACTGACTATAGCTCAAAGAAAAGTAAAAAGGAAGGAAGAATAGTAGATCATTTAAAGTCAGGCCAGGGCTGCTGTAGCTGTAGTGACTGCTCAGGTTGTTCATGTCATATTTTTTGCTCCCTCGTACTGAATAAACCTGTGTCACAACAACAACGAAACATTACCTCTTTCTCAATTGACTTTGTGTCTTTTCAGCACAAAACTCCCACACTCTTGTGTGTTAGCTACGGTGCTGAAGGACCACAGCTTGCTTTAATGCCTTTGATCTTTGGCAGGCAAAGAAGATGCATCATGATAACAGAGATGAATCATGAGTTTGTACATCCTGCAATAAAATCAGACCTGATCCAGGTTTTCTCTGTGTTTTTTTTTTCATCTGTTGATTGTGCAGGAAACAGTGCAAGGATCTGTAATAGTAAATGCATTCTAAACTATATGCAAATAACCAAGATATAATAAATAGAAAATCTTTTATTTCAGATTTTGTCTTAAAAAAAACAGGACAATCCTGAAAATATAGATAAAAACTTAACATTCAAATATATTTAAACTTAAAATGCTAAATAAATGATAGTTAATTACAGTTTGAGAAAATATGGTTGTTGTTTTTTTACAATTTCAATCGGAAATATAACAAAGTTGATTCTTTGCAGAAATCTGGTGGTTTCAGTTTTGGCAATTTTAAAAACAATAGCTGACTCTACTTTCGCTTTACAGCTTTACTCTGAAGATATGTAAAAAATATTATGTGTAGAAATTGCCAAAGCCCTGCAGAAGTTTTTCACATAACATAAAATAACTAAAAAAATAATAAAAATATATAAATAAATTCAAAAAACAACTAACTAAAAGTACTGGCTTGAGGTGTAGTCGTGTAGGTTTGCTTTTGTATAACTGCAAATCTTGTGGAACAACAGGATGAAATCAAAGACTGTCCATCGTGTGTCCATTTTGACTCCACTCCTTTTCTCTGCTGAGAGCAAATCATCTCTCAGATCCTGATGAGTGACAATCTTATACACCAATCAGATCCTTAGGTCTGTCTCCCAGCTCAGACGCTACAAATCCTGCTTCCATGAGTGGGACATACGGATCCAGCACCAATGCCCTTTTAAAGAGCTTGAGTCCTGTAATATCCCATAGAGGTTTTCTATATTCACTTTCTAAAACCTGAAACTCATTACATGGGTTTTCTGTCCTAAGATCAGTGTATCTGTACTACTTTAAGAGAGAGCTTTTGAATGCCAACAACAAAAAAAAAGAAGATATTTTATCACAGTTAAATATACAAGGCTCTCAGTTATTGCTGCCCTGTATTTTGAATTTAGATAAAACTTCTTTAATCTTTCTATAATCAGGACCTTTTGGTCAGTGGAGCTTGTTGGATGCACAGTTTGGTGTCAAGTGGGGGTTGAATGAGGCTGAGTGTAAACCAGTCACACTAAAGTTTGCACATGGTGCTTACCATATTTGATTTGTCCTTGTGGTTCCACTTCTCTGGTAGTTTAAGGCATCTGTTTCTTAAACATTTGGATAAAAAAAAAACTGTTTGTCTGGTCCCTGTCTGACGTTTCAGCCCTGTTCCACTGACAGATGAACTCCCACTAGTGTAATATCATTATCTTGTTGCGTTTGTGGTCGTGGAATTGCAGGTTTTTCTCACACTAGACTCCAACATGAGAAAGCAAATTTACCCAGCAGTGGGGAGCATCAGGGAGCAACTTCACAACAACAGAGCATCATGCAGTGAGCTGGTCTCTTCAGTTTGTCTCAGAGGTTGGTCAGATCAGATGCTTGAAGCTTGTGGAGCCCTCAGTCGTGGTTCAGGTTGGTCTGTAGAGAGGAACAGGCCTCATGCTACATGTTAAGGTCTTGTCCTGCTCGACCTTTTGTGACCATGGGCAGGGAAGCATATAAGATATAATTATGGTCTGTGAATATTTGTGCTTTTTTGGCCAGTTTCTGGATATCAAATGACATCTGACAGTTTGCCTATAGATTCGTGGACATGTAAAATATTTCAAGTAACCAAGATTGGCCAAAGAAATTTGCTTAAAAAAGAAGATTTTTGCCAAAATGTATTAAAATTCATCCATCCCAAAGTTGCTGTTTTTTTTCACTGAGGAAGTGCAGAACCAGGTCTGATGTTCAATCAGCTGAAGGATTCCTTGTTGAATTCAAAGGTTGTTCCAGAGGATCGGGCTGAATTACACAGTTTGTGGAGAGTCCTAGAGATGCCCTTAGGTCCACAGCAGAAAACCCCTACTCTCTTACTGAAACCACAGAGAAAGACAGTCATATTTTAGGATGTTCATAATTCATAACTTCCACAAGACTAGAATATTAACCCCAGATGTTCTCACTTTACTCACTCTTTATTGGTCTTCCCAATCTCATCAAACAGTAACTTCCACCTGGGCCGACCAACCAGCAGCCTCGAGGTGAGTGGCCGGTACTTCTCCTCAGACATGCTCTGAAAAAACGAGGGTAAATAAGACTAACATCACTATTTTTATTTTAAAAACTAAACTAAACTTTAATCAACATCTGCATCTGGATGGCACAAAAAATATTAGGTTACCACTGCGAGAGGGAAAAACATTCATGCAATCACATCTGCAATCAGCAAATTAAAGGTCAGTGTTGACTTTTCTACATCTTCTATACACAAACTGATTAAGATCAGGGCAATTTCCTGTCTCCTTTACTAAAATCTTCGTCTGAAACAACTGTTGAAATCTATACATTCCTTTTCTTCTCTTGCTTTCTCCTGCTAACCTGCACAGCAGCCTGTGCCTTTTAAAAATAAAAATCCCTTTCCTACACATTCAAATTAATTTATAGTATTTTATTTATAAAGGAGTGTCTTTAACAAACTGTATGTCTTAATAATTAATAATTAAACATAAACTGTGCTCTTATTGTTTTACGCATTGTGTGTATGACATTATTCATCCTTAATGTAAAGAGGAGATTTTTACAGAAACAAGTCAAGGCAAAGTTTAACTTTTTCGTCTGCTGTGTCAGGTTGTGTTGTACTAAAAACTCTAAATTCACTACAATATTTCTGTGTCACGAAGTCGCAATTACACGACACTACAGAGGGCTTTTATTTTGAAATGACGGATAAAGTGGAGCCGTGACAAGAAAGAAAGAAAGAAAGAAAGAAAGAAAGAAAGAAAGAAAGAAAGAAAGAAAGAAAGAAAGAAAGGGAAGCGAGAGAATGGTCGCTTTAACTAGTTTCCATTAAGTTAAATCGTTACTACCAATTAATATTCACTCCGACGTCATATATATGTAGGCCTATTTATTGTAGAAACTGCAGTAACATAATCCACGAGACGAGCAAAAACTTAATCGTGCGTGCATACATGCGTTCGCCTCGATAGCACTACACCACCACCGACGAAGCTCGCCTCCTCTCCCACGGGGAAACACAAGCCTCTATTTTACAGATCCTCGTAAACTGAATGACTCCGTGATCCAGGAGCGTGCTTTGAAAAATTTAACACTCCCCGTCGGGGAATCGAACCCCGGTCTCCCGCGTGACAGGCGGGGATACTCACCACTATACTAACGAGGAGATGACGTGAGAAAATTTCATGACGTAAAAAATTGTAACTCATCCAAATAAATCCGAAAGCATATGAAGTCACCAACACAGTCCTGTGTTAAAACATTTAAATTAATAGAAAAAAAATGGCTTGATGTTCCATTTGATCCACATAAAGGTCTGACATTTAAATAGATGATCCGTTTGGCTTGATCTCAAGGACATAAAGTATTGCATAAATACGTGCCAATGAAGGAAACATTGGCACGTATTTACTTTATGATCAAAAACATGACCAAACAGTTAATAAAATCAATGGTATCGTTATTATAGGTATAGTTTTATTGATTTTGCTGCCGTAATTTGTTTTTTGTTTTTTTTAAAAGAAACTGGGGGGAGTGAGCATCTCTATCAACTGGAGGTAAACGTGCACGACACTAGAAATAAAAACTACTGTAAATGTTTACATTCATTGTCTCTACTGGCTGAAAAGGTGAATATAGTTTGAGTGCAAAACAAGTGCATTATTACAGAAATACACGGACTGAAACAATGTGACAGAATAAATACTGTGCGATTCAACAGACTTTAATTTTTAGTTCACTCGAGTAAACTTTAAACTGCAGTGTGCTGTAGGTTCCCTCTGTCATTTACCGCCCTCTAGTGGCCAAGGTTCTTAAAGACTGGCAATGGCTCAATAATGAAGAGATGAATGTGTGAAGACAATATATATGAAATATAATGAAATGAAAAGATGACTCGCTGTGTGTTTGTGTGTGTGTGTGTGTGTGTGTGTGTGTGTGTGTGTGTGTGTGTGTGTGTGTGTGTGTGTGTGTGTGTGTGTGTGTGTGTGTCACACCTACCTGCAGACTGTCTGCCCGGCTGACGTACAGTTTCAGGTTAAAGTAGTCTGGTCTGTTTTCCTGCCAAAGCTAAATGACACATACAAACATGTGAAGTTCAGTGTTTAGTGGTAGTGAGATGAGTTTGGACTGATTTAGTGACATTGAGGATAAAATACAAAATTTATTCCATGCTTTCTTTCTTGCAAATACAAGAGGTAAACAGCCACAAGATGGCGTTAAATTCAACCAAACTGACTGATAGCCTTTACTGCAAGGCCTTGACTTTAAATGTTTCTCATTTTACTCATATAATGTAAAAATGTAAAGTTGTTAAATTTATATTGTTTGAAAAACTGCTTTATACATACATGCATACATACATGCTAGGGCCTGCTCTGCTGACTGTTTCACTATGCATACCAAAACGTTCTTTGCAAAAAACACACAAAAAATGAATCGTTGACAGTAAATTCAGAGTTATCGTTATGCAGAGTTTGATACCATGACCTAATGAGTGCTTTTATTTGATCAATCCATGTTTCTACACAAACTTTGTTAAACTGTAATAAGACCTTAAAAACACAGGTGCCACAGTAAGTACTCCCCTGCGCATCAGTGATTTTTTACATTCATAACCTCTGACCTTCCCCTGCCACTTAAAACCTGGAAAACGTTCTTTGACCTGTCTGAGAGCAAACACACACAACATTGGAAAGTTGCTGGCCCCAATAGCCTGTGGCAAGTGGATTATCTTTGCTAGTAAACTGGCTTAACTTACATTTTCTGAATGAACAGTATCAGCAAGGCCAGGCATAAACATTTTGAGGGACAGTGGTTCAGTTAAAAAATGCCAAATAAAGACTTTCAATTAATCCTCTCATAAAGTGAATCTTCTGACCCAGTGCTGACTTCAAGCAAACAAAAATCCTAAATGCTAAACCTAAAAGGTTTCCAAACTCTAATTATGACCCACAGTTTAATTCCCATGTTCTAATTAATATAACATGTAGGCTACAGCATGCTGACTTTGTCCTGACCTTGTGATGAAGGGCACACAGCAGCTCAGCAAACCAGTAGAAGGACTGAAGCTCCCTGCAGACCCAAACAAAATACAATCTCTGCAACCTGAACCCCGTCCAACCATCACTGGGTGTACAGCAGGGATCAGCGGAGGGAGAAAAAAAAAGAAAAAGAAACATCAAATACTTTCTCAAAGTATTCATCTCTTTCCATTATGTGACATTTTTCACAACTCACAGCAGAGCATGCAGCACACAGGCAAACGGTGTGACTCCTATTCCACCAGCAACACATAGACTGACGTCGTAGTTAAACACGTCCTCTGATGGACTTCCAAATGGACCGTCCACGTAAAGCCTGAACATATGATGTGGACAAAAAAAAACACAGGAGCAAATTAGCCAAGAAACTTGGCAAATATGCACACATATATTTATACTCTTCCCCCAGGGTTAAAAACACATAAGCAGACAAACATCCTGCATTTGAGATCTCACAGTCTGTGTGCAGCTTGTGTGTGTGTGTGTGTGTGTGTGTGTGTGTGAAGACAGACACAAACACCCATCTTCTCTAGAGCAGCTGCTCAAACACTTGTGTCACAAAACACACACACACACACACACACACACACACACACACACACACACACACACACACACACACACACACACACACAGACAAATACACTTTTCTCATACACACATACACTCAATACACAGATCCAAAATCATCAAGCACAGTCAAACCCAAACGTTTCTCTGCATTAACAACGTATACCCAAATATGCTCAGACAATGTTATACATCCAAACTGAGCCCAGAAAATGGTTGGTAAGGCTACAGCAGCACTTTAACACACCCCAACACCCGCCACATGGCCAAGTGAGGATTGGCTCAGCCTTACTCTCACATAATCACAAACCCTGTGCTCAGTAACACTTCTGAGAAAGTTTTATTCATGGCAGAAAATGTTGTGTAAAGACATTACAATATCGGTTTGTTGGTGACATTTGAAAAAAAAATGTCTTAAATAGTAAGCACTTCCTGCTTCCTACTGCTTTTATTGATTACCCTGTAACTTTACTTTAAGTCCTCCTGTTGGAGCTATTTGGTGTTATTTAGTTTAGTGTTTAGATTTCATTATTCTATTTTGATTTTATTATGATTAAATTTCTGTTAGCATTCTGTTAGTTTATCATTTCTGTAGTTTGGGTGTTTTGTTGTTATTTGTTTGTTTCATTTGGGCACGGTAGGGAGGCACCATAGGTTATATAGGTAAGCGCACGGTAGGGACCAGCATGCACCTGGGTGGGCAAAATGGTTTTTTACCGGAGCGGTTTGTTCTGTGTTTGCTCGTTATCTGATTAAATAAATCACGTTTTTGTTGAAATTTGATGGTTTGTTTAGCTCTGGTTTACGTTCACAAAACAAACTCTCATTCTCTCCGACCCCGCATTTCCCTCTCTCTATCTCCTCCTATCTCTCTCTCAAACACAGGGCAGGAAGAGCACAGGGTCAGAGGTCAGGAGGTCATAACCTCTGACCCCTCTGTGATCCTGAGCTTTCATGAGAAATCATGTCAGCCACATCACTCACACAGTCACAGACACAGACAGAAAATGTACTTGGGGTATCTCCTCTGTTGCACCATGGGAAGGATCTCCAAGTCGATCCTTGGCTGAGGAAGTAACAGCTGTGTGAACCGCTCTGAGGAGAGGAGAGGCGAGGAGAGGAGAGGAGAGGAGAGGAGAGGCTTTGTAATTACACAGTTAATAAATCCACTGGTCTAACCCCAAAGAACAGAGAGTGTCATACATAATGCCAGTATTATGTCTAACAAATACCACTACTATACATAGTTATGGGTCCTTTCTATACATCCTAGTTCAGTTTTTCCAATGTTTCCTTACAACATGCGTCATAGCAGATTAAGGGGCCAACATAAACAAATCGACTTCCCTTCCTGTGTTCTGAAAGCATGTGTCTGTGTGCATATGTACAGCAGTGAGTGGAAAGGAGTGGACATGTTCTTGCCTTTGTCCCCCCCCCCCCCCCAAGGGCGATCAGCTTTCCTCTAGTAAGTGAGTCCCTTTGGAGTCTGCTGCATAAATGCGCAACACACAGGTTATCTTTTATTGACCGCAGGATGACACTAGTGACTTTTCCTTTCTCCAATATACTTACATGTGCAGAAACACACAGAGAAAAGGACAGACAAACAGACACTCACTCTTGCTGTTACTTATCAGAGTCGACCGGATGGAGATCATTTTGTTTTGTCCTCCTCTTCATTACCTCTCCTCTCTGGGGAGGATGCATTTCCGAAAAAGTACATTTTCGTGTGTGTGTGTGTGTGTGTGTGTGTGTGTGCGTGTGTGTGTGCGTTTGTGTGAACCCACCAGTCCAGTCTCCCACGACTCGGAGATGGATGCCAAAAGTTTCCTTGTTCTCTGTGGGACACTGTGAGGAGTTAGAGAGCAAACAATGAGTCACAGCAAAACACACACTCACACACACACACACACACATACATATACATATGCAACTAATACAAGAGACACAGACATGCACACAAACACGCAATCCAGAGCACGTATACACAGCATAGCTACAGTTCTTTTCATTACATTTAACAATGCACACACACACACATTCATGGACACACACACACAAACACACACACACACACACACACACACACACACACACACACACACACACACACACACACACACACACACACACACATAGCCTTCCTGTTGGCAGACAGCGTTACTAGCCTCAGGGGTCTGTCTGCTCTCTGTCAGTGTGATTCTCTGCCCTCGTCCTCAAAGCTCCATAACACACCAGGCGCAGGCATGCACACAGTATACGTGTGTGTCTGTGCGTGTGCGTGTGTGTGTCTCTTTGTGAACGACTGTGTGTGAATGAGTCTGAGTCCATCCCTGTATGCTGTCTAAGCAGAAAGTTGTTTCTTTATCTTCTGCCTTTGTCTCATACAATCTGGACTAAATCTGAAACCATCAATAAACAACCTGAAACTGAATACTACTGCACGACCCAGCTGTCAATCAAGTGCCAGCTGACAGTAGAGGGGGCAGGATGTTGAAACAGACAAAGGACTGCATGTTCTTTGCCAGGGGGAAGAAAGTTTAAGAAACTGTAAAAACGTGTGTGTGTGTGTGTGTGTGTGTGTGTGTGTGTGTGTGTGTGTGTGTGTGTGTGTTTGCATTGAGTCATGAGGGAGGAATGTGTTGCAGCGAGTGGGAGAGTTTCATAAAGTCTTACCGTTGTAAGTGTGAAGGGATGGTTCTCAAATGAAGAGACACCTGGACAGTTAAGAAGAATATACTGAGAAAGAGAAGAACAGGGCGACAGCAGGATGACAGAGAGAGAGAGAGAGAGGGGGGAAGAAAGAGAAGAGGGGGATTCGAGAGGGGGTGAGAGAAAGAGGGAGGGAAACAAAGGAAGAATTAGTAAAGTTCCTAATAAAAAACAAGTGAGATGTAACAAAAACAAAATTTTTGGCGATAAATACACGTCAAGTCCTCTCACCTGTCCAGGACGAGCTCTGAAGTTCTTCTTTAGCATGCGCAACTCAAAGACATCACAGGGATGCCTGATGACCGTCACTATGGTAATGGGGTCACTGCTCCTCATGTAGCGATAGAAGCGCTCCGCACAGTAGAGACAGAGAGGACCGGTCACCCAAAGCCATGTCTAAGCACACGTGGAGACACAACACAGCACAAATGACAATGCCAAAACTACACTCGTTATCACACATGAGACTTTCCACATCAAATAAACGCTTTTTTTACAGTAAGTCACACAAAAAGTTAACGGAAGGTCATAGTCATCTTTGTTGGGTCTGTTTTTAGTGATGTTCAGAGATCTCAGCAACTTACAAATCATGGTTTTCCTTTAAAGCAGGAAAATCTCAGTTTATTTACATTCATACATTACGTTCATACATTATTCCTAGATGGTTACACCTGTCGATTGCCTTATAGTCACAGCAGATAAATGTAAATTTACTATTTTTAATGTGTCACATATTTGAAAACAGATACAAATAGACAGTGTACCGCTCCCGTTTAATTAGGTAAATCGACTGTTACATTTGGATTTTCTTTAGCTGTAACTGCCTGCAGTGGTGGCTCTGCAGACATTTTGCAACCAGTTCATACATATTTTTGTTGTTCCTAGCTGTCAGAGATTCAGCCTTGAAATTACAAGGCTGACTTGAGGCTGACTTAAAAACTTTTTATCCCCACTGCTCATAATCACCGTCCATGCGATATGACGAGAATCAGCCCTGATACAGGAAGCTTTGGGATTAGGCAGTTGCTGTCTATCAAAGCTTTCCAATTCTCACAACTTGTTCCCATTACAGTGACACAAGGGGGCTCTGAATCAAACCTGGGCCAAGAAAGACATTCCTGAAAATACATGCTAAATCTATCTACCTCTCCATCACAGTGGGTGGTGTTTCTGTTTCTTTCTGCCGGCAGTTACCTGTGGCAGACTAATTGCTCACAGCTCCAGTAAAGCTTTGGGAGCACAATCGGGTATAAAGGGGATTTTATGGAACCAGTTTGTTGCTTAACGACCATGTGCAAACACATAATCACACACGCGGGAAGAAACACACACAAACACATGCCTTGATGTAGAAAGAGGATGTCTGCTCCTCCCTAACAGCACTACACCTCTAATAAACTCCCTCCGACACTTCCCAAACTCAGCACACGTGCACAACACTTACACACCCGCTATAGCACAGACAGCACTTCTTTCAACCCAACACACACACACAAATCAATTTGAATGCCAGAATACGCGTAGCAGGCGCCTACACACCCACACACCTGAGGGTAGTGTGGCTGGAAGTGAGCCTCCTCTATGCATCTTCTCTCTTCATCTTCACCCTGGTCCAGCTCTTTGTCCTGTGACTCTGTGCTGCTCTGATTGGCTCTGAGGCAGCCAGGAGGGTGGGCCTCTATGTTGGTCTGATACTTCAGAGCTCCACTGGTGGAAAAGACATGAATCAAGGTGATGTTAGTTTGGTTATTTCATAGTAACTTATGCATAATACCCCCTTATAATTATGCATTGAGTATTATGATCCACTTTTTGGCTGGACTGCAGCAGTGGGGCCTGTCCTATAAATGCAAATGTCTGTGACTGACTGAGTGCGTGATAGAGTTGAGTGATCAAGTTAAAGCATTGGTCAGCTGGCCAAGTTTTGGAGTTTCCCCATCGGCTGTTGCTCTTTCAAAACCAAGCAGCACAAGCAGTCTCTATTAGGGGGGATATTTACAGCCTGCAGTGTTTCCAACTTAGCACAATTGTCGCTAGATTTAGAAACTTTTTCTCAAAACAAAATCAACAAATCTCATGACTCTTAGGAAAAACCTTAGATACTTTCCATAAAAGAGCATCGGCAATAATGCCCCACATGTGTGAGGCGCACCTCTCTTGAGTCTACTCTGTTCAGTGAGTGGCAGAGAGGCATAGTAGCAGTTTGCGACCCAGACAGAGGCTGTGGACTGTGTGAGAGGGCGGGTGATTTTGTAAGAAGACATCGCGGTTATAAAATCAGGATTTTGGCAGCAGCAGAGCAGCAGCTTAGAAATGGCTCAGAAGTTAACATGTAGTCTTAATGGGCCGCGTTTCAGTCACTACTTCATACTTGTCCTATTGTCTGATAACAGAAACAGAAAAACATGTAAATGAGAATTGCTGTATGTGAGCACAAAGAGTAGGAGAGAAGCAAACTGATAAAGAGTTGAAACCATCTGACACTAGGTAGAATGCAAATACGACACGATGATGTCAGTTTTTTACAGCTGTTCCACAACAGTTTTCAAGTACCTGTGTATGGTCAATGTGCTTTCGCACATTGACCATACACAGTCCAGTCATATACTACGTATTGAGTTAGTCTTGTTACAACAACATTGGGACCTCTTATATACAAAATAAAGAAAACTGAATGCATTCAGCCAATCAAAATGGGCAAATGTGCAAAAGCATGAAGATCATGTGTAATGGAAAGTTGCCTGTTAAGAAAGTGTGATTGTGTTTGTATGTCTGTGTCTGTTCAGGCCTGTGACCATAAATGTCACCTAATAAAAAATTGCCCAAAATTTGCAAGAAAATATTTTAAAAATGGACATAATTTCAAAAGTAGTAGTGTACCGCAGGTGAGTGACTGTCAGCGAAAGTGAGCAAAAAATAATCCTGCACCCTGATTATATGAAAAACTTTGTCATAACAAGGAATGAAATGACATTTTGTGTTGAATAAGTGACATGATTTTTCATACTGAATAAGTCAATAATATAATATTTTTTATGAAGTGAGTCAGTACACCATTGCATGATTTCATGAAATGAAAACTGTTAGTACAAGCGGATGGAGCTTTTATACTGAGGGAAAAGCTGAGAGAAACATGATTTTGTGAATGAGGTTTAAGCTACTGAAAGAAAGTTTGAGATGTCTCCAGCTGTCCAGCGGGAGTCTCCTATATTTGCTGACATTCATAAGTGAAGCAAATTCTTATCTCTGAGGTTAAGATGGGGACAAACTGTACCCAGAGTGAAGAAAAACTCAGCGACTCCTGCAGAGATAAACCCACATACACACCCACACACACAAACACACACCCACACATGTAGATTTAGTGCAGCCTTCAGTGGGCTAAGCCCCGAGACCTACCCGACCATGTGCACCATAAGGATGATGTAGAAGACGATGAAGAGGTTGTGTGTGTACCAGAAGATCTCATAGTTGGATACCCTGAAAAAAAAAGTGGAAAATGCCAACATACATTATTATTTTCAAAGAAACTCTTACTTCTACTTCAGACCAAGGTTGTTTTAAAAGAGAAATAACAACCAAAAACATAGAAGTAAATGAGTAATAATAACCTGGAAACATGACAAAAGGAAACAGGAGGAGGAGAGAAAGAAAACAAGCAGAGACAACAAAAGAAGAAAATGAGGACGTAGTTTGTTCAGGAGCAGACGCAGAGAGTCCCAGCTCAGAGCCTGAGTAAGCAGGACTCCAGAGGTCAATATTAAAGGGGTCATTACACACAAGGAACCCCCCCCCCCCACAATAAACACTGTGTTCTTCCTCTTTGATTGCAACTTCTTTCATGTTTGTTTTCTTTGAGTATATCCTGTTTCTATACAGGGACTCCACAAGGAGATTCTAAATCATCTAAAAAGATGTGTGTTAGCCCCTTATCAGTGGTCACGTTGTCATAATCCAAGGATGTTAACCCCAGAAAATGGATAGGGATTTGCAGCAGAAGTTAAATGAAATTTATTTATTTATTCTAAATTTTTAGATAAATTGATTAATTGACTTTAGTGTATTGATCCTGTGCCAATGACCTGTGACTTTGCTGTTTTCTGTTTAAATAGACAAACTGCACTGGACTTAGTATATAATTAGTTATGATGTTAAAGGTTAAAAATGCTGGTGCAAAGAATTGTAATTTACAAAATATGTAAATAACCTTGTGCACATTAATGTGTGTTAATAACACTGGATCAGTCGACACATTATGTAGGTTTTCCTCTGGTGTGCTGCAGCCATCATCCCACCACTCCAGCCACTTACCCGAACTCTTATCTAAAGCCTTAAGTGGTCTGGAAAAGCCTCTTATCCTATGTTCAATTACTGAGGAAAGCTAGGAGAGCGCACACACATGCACACAAGTCATACACACCTGCATGAGTTAAGACAAACACATGCAGAGTGGTTGACCCACTATGACCTCAGTAATGACAGAGCTGAGAGTGGAGCATTTAGTGGGGATTTGCTCACAGACCGCTGTTAGCATGTCTCCTTATGGTTTCCTTCCTCCATTTCTCTCTTCATCTCTCTCTCTCTCTCTCTCTCTCTCTCTCTCTCTCTCTGACTCACAGACACACACACAAACAACAGAGTCATAAACACAGTAGAAAGACAAAAGCATGGGTGCACCCATATGTACCCACATGCAGAGAGAGGCAGAAGACACAGAGGCAGAGGCACATGTATTTAAGCACAAAAAATGTATAATGGTTGTCTATGGGTAAAACACTGCTGCATGCAGCATTTGCCAAACTGCGTCCACCTCTCTTAACATATCCGTGACACAGCACATAACAAAAGACCTCTGATGATTTTGACGGAGGATGGTGGGTTAGGGGACCTACCGTACACAGTAGGAGGAGGACATGAACATCAGGAAGAGGATGAGAACCAACAGAGCACCCGTGACTCCTGGGACTAAGGAGAATCAACCAATGAGAGAGCAGAGACAAAGTCAACAAGTAAGTTTAACATCCTAGGGCACATACATGTACTCATCTTCAATGGCAGATTTATACTCACAGGTCTTGTTTTACCCAAGAAAAGAGGCAAAAATAAGAAATACAGGGAAGAAGATATTTAAAGAGAGAGAGAAAGAGAGGACTATAGTGTATTGGTCTATATTAAATACTGTATAAAAAAAGAGTAGTCCCTCTTACTTGTGGTCAGAATGATCAGCTTGGGGTCCTGGGAAGGAAATGCAACAAAAGAAAGAATTGTTCATGTTATCCTCAACGCATATTTTTGTAAGGACTAATTTGCATTTTAGATGTTGCAGGAGCAACCAACTCTGTACTATGGAGAGTAAACAATCCGCAGGCTTCATTCCAATACGTCACTTCAGTAGGTGACTTTATTGCTAAGTTTCTCCCCTCTACTTGAAAGCGTGCTTATCAGTTGGTGGAGTCTTTGATTGGATTGAAAACCTGCAGTTTGAAGGCTCTCCGTGGCACATGGTGTGTGTGAGGACATATTTGGAAGATGTTTACGTTTTCCTCACTTACTCAGAAGGCTGAGTTTAAATGTAGTAGTGTACAAATATGCGTTTGTGTCTCACCTCTCCTCTGTACCGAGCCAAATTGAGAGCAGGGAAGTCGTCCGAGTAGCTTACACTGAAGTTCACGACATTCACCAAGTGAGCAGACACATGCACAACTAGAGAAGGAGAGAGAGGGGTTACACAAAACTGATTTAAAACACACATTTTTGTGCACAGGCACTAGCAGCTATGCCGAACATCTCCTCTGCTTCAGACAGACAAACAATCAATTATAATGATCAAAATGAGCTGCAAGCGAGTACTTGTACAAACATCTCTTTGTCTATTCAGCAGAAAGTCAGCAAAACATCCTCCTGACTCACTGACACGAACTCACACACACACACACACACACACACACACACACACACACACACACACACACACACACACACACACACTTTCCTGACATCATAGGCTAACCATGCAGCCGTTCGACAGCTGATGGAATTAGAGGGCGTAATCATGAGACACAAGGGTCCTTTTTTCTCACTCACATCCTTTCTCACTCCCCCCCCTCCACCCCCACCCCTTCTCTCTCTCTTTCTCTCTCTCTGTCTTGTCTCAGTCTATGTCTCTCTCCCATCCCTAGTGCCTCTCAGTCTTCATTGTCATTTGTTGTCTCAGAACTTCGGCACTCCACTATTAGAACATGAGAACATAGCCTAAAGGGAAGAGACGTGTGTGTGTGTGTGTGTGTGTGTGTGTGTGTGTGTGTGTGTGTGTGTGTGTGTGTGTGTGTGTATGGTAATGGTGAAAGAAGGCTTAAGCTTTACAGATGATGTAATAGTGAAGAACAGATGCCAGCTCTTGCACTTCTTTTATTTCCATCGTTCTATTGGCTCTATGGATAGCAGTGTCAGACTGAAATATCTCAACAGCTATTGGGTGGATTGCCATGAATTTTTTTAAACAAACAGTCATGGTCCTCAGACAATGCAGCAGCAACACCTGCATGAGCTTGACATTTTTGGTATTAAGTGAACTACTTCTGATCACCCTCATCTGTACTTTGTATTTAGTGCTACCTCCACTGGTTTCACATACAAATGACTCAGCTTTTGAAAACAATTGTATAACATCCTCTGTGGCTCTGGAGGAGCATTGTCATCGGGCACATGTAGTGTAAGAAAATGGGCTTTTTAAATTCAAAGGCTTTTGGGCATGCACAAATGTTATTATAATGGGTACAAAGCAAACTGTATTACATCCCAAATCCCATCAGCCACCATCACAATATTACTAGTCAACAGATCTTTAGACCAGAGCAGGACCTCTGTATAAGCTTGGATCACTGCCGAGGAAAAGCACACAGCATGTTGTTATATGTAGGTGGCTGGTGCAAACTAAACTCGTAGTTCGTCTTTTTTCATGAGACTCTCATGTGTTACTGTAAAATTCAGATATGAGCCAGGCTCCTCAGAAAAAAAAACGCCCGTCACTGACTGATGAATAAAAGGAAGAAGCTTGTAAACCAGAGACCCGACGGACACACAGCTGCAAGGAGCTCCCATGATGTTATGAGAGGAGACTCTCAAGAACAACAAGAACACACAGACACACACACACACACACACACACACACACACAGTGACTTGACAGCAACAACACACATGACCAGCTGGGAGGACATCACAGCTGGTACCCCAGGAATGCTGAGCCAGCCTGGGTCCATTCATCTACACTTTACATACACACACACACACACACACACACACACACACACACACACACCAACACACATTTTACACACCCAGTGATACATTAGCTGCGCTGATAAGTGACAGTTTTTACCAGAAAAGATGCAGATGGTGACTCCACAGGCCACATGGAAGGTCTTGCTCTTGTCCAGCAGTCTGCGTGTCTTTCTGCTCGATACCTGCGTGAGTTCGTGTGTATGGAAACACAGACAACAGAGTTATTTTCAAGCCACGGATTCATGGGAACCATAAGACATTATGAATCTTTACTAATAACGTACCAAATCTTCAACTGTTTTCTTGCAATTTTACATCAAAATCTCACTAACTAAGCTCACTGCAGCAGGTAATTTCTAGGTAGGTTTACACAAAAAGATACTAACTAGAACACCATCACAGACTTTTCAACAAAACCCATATCTTTCTAAGTGACATATGATAAAATGTGGTGTAGCTGCCCATTTTTTAACCAAAAAAAAGTTGCTCCCTCATCTGAAACGACCTTGTGATAAGAGTTCCTTTATTTTGAAGGATATAAAATTAGCCACAGCTGTAGACATTGTAACTTCTGATCAATTTTCTCTTTCAAATAAAATTTTCCTCAGTGTGACTGACATGACATCACTCCATCCTTCTACCTATCCCTTTAACCCTCAGTTTCTCTTCTCACCATGTGTGTTCCTCGGACAAAGGTGAGCAGGGAGCGACACATGGGCAACAGCACCAAGCTGCAGTTCAGGTTCAGCACAGACGCAGACGCCCTGCTAATGCATAGACCAAGCTGGGAAAGACACACACATACACACACACACACACATACGCACGTACACGCACGCACACGCACGCACACGCACACACACATATATTGTTAGGCAGGTTGCTGCAATAGGGCCTATTCAGTGGATATAAAGTGATAAGAGTCTTGTGGATTATAAACATACTCTTTTGAGTGGACTATTCAGTGTGTGCACTAAGGGCTTGAAGCACGATTTCCCTGCTACACAGGGTTTTCTAAAACCATCTTTGTCCTTCCCAGTATGGAAAGCTAGGAAACGTTCTTCGCTTAGGCAAATCACTCTGCTGGATGATGACTTCACTGGTCAATAACTGCTTAAAAGAATATTTAAAATATTCTTTAAAAATCTCATATGAGGTTGGAGTTAATCTATTTTAAAAGATAATAAATAAGAAAAACTGTGTCACTACGTCCTACACTACTGAATGCAATTAAACTGTGTGCAAAGACAGACTCATGAATGTTTGTGCAATTTTGTGATTTCCTACTCCAATTAATAAAGTTTGTGACACTATAGTTACAGCAAAATACTATTTGTCTCAATTTTCATAGGCTTTCAACACTGGGAAAATACAAGGCACTATTAAAAGTATGACAAATTAATTAGCTAGTGGCAGTTCCTTTTTGCACCATAGCCATGGATATACTGAGAACTACCACTGGATTACTTTGATACAAAAGAAAACGAACGAAATGTTGATTCTCAGGAAAGTTCTTTCATTCTTCTTTCAATCTTTTATTCTAATTGGATTTATGGACATTTCTTCACAGTGGACATCACAAATATGTGCATTATGATTGTTTGTTCAGATCTGATTGAGTTGTGACTCACCTCACAGATCATCTCTGAATAAACAAACTCTTTGGGATTCTACTCTCTGATGGTGACGTTTGTACAGGCAAAGACAGATTCAGTTTCTGACACCAATGCATACAGATTTTACAATTTGTCATCTGTGCATTACAGGTTAGGTTAGGTTCACAGGCAGTGAAAGAAAAAGGCAGTGATATATTACCACTGCATCTCAAACCAGGATGAAAAGTGTGCAGCTTACTTGAAGTGACACGGGAGGGATGTCAGCCGTGTAATCTGGCTTTACAAATCTCAAGCTACAGCGAAATGATCGAAGCTGTTTTCAAGCGGAAACACTGGATGTACTTCGGCGTCTGCTAAACTCAGCACATTTAAACACTTTCTTGGCAGCCTCTGTGTGCACCACTGGTGCCGTCTCTTCTGATTATCCCTAAGAAACTGAAACAACCAGTGTGAGATGACGGTGTGTGTGTGTGTAGATCAGAGGAGTAAGGGAGGAGAGACAGCTCATGTGTGAAGCTGTAGTGCAACATTTTAAGGGATACTCTGAAGAGTACCTACTGAAGACATACGTTTCATCCTACCTGCTGCCACCACTGACCTCCCAACTGGAGAAACACCAGTTTTAAATTATTAGACAAGCGAAATGATAAACCGCCTCCAGTCAATGAGGACAAGAGGGAGCACAATTTATAGCACAACTAACTGAAAGAGATGGAAGTGCAAGACATGCTGCAGGGTTTCTGAAATATAAAAATGGAGCATGCAAACAGGTCAAAGTTAAAATCTATACAGTGCAAGTGAAGGTCAGCAACAGTGAACTTAAAAAGTCTGATCCGTTTACCCTTTAAAAACGTCCCACACACATTCACTCAATACAGCTTCCCAAAGAAAAGCAGCTGACGGCAAAACCACAAGCAGGAGATCAGATATCCTGCTTTCTGTACATCCCCGACCCCGGACAACCAAAACACACACACACACACACACACACACACACACACACACACACACACACACACACACACCCACACCAACCAGGTGAATAAGATAAGATGCTTTTTGAAGTTAAATCGAAATCCCCTTCAGCAGCATTAAAGCTTTGAAATACATCTCCATCTCGCCCGGGGACACACACACACTCACACTTTCGTGCATATACACACACTCAGCTACACACACACACAAAAACTTCAGCCCTGTGGCAAGGCATTCAGTTAAAGCCAGAGGCGTGCCCACACTTGCCCCTCTCTCTCCCCTGTGCCTCCCACTGTACAGGCAGTGCATGAATAGCTCACACATACTGCTTGCTGCCACATCTTATTCAGCCACTTATTTCATGCTGCACAAATCGTTTCCTCTGTTCAATCTTCATACTGTATCCTTTATGTTTTAAAGCTGTTATGTACCAATACTGAAACTCAAAAAACTGCCATGAATTCTTATGAAATGAATGTTGTGCTCCACATTTTCCCCTTCACCTGCAAAGTGATATCACATTTTATATTGCACATACATTCTTTCTTTCAATGGGCAACATTTAGGCTCATTGTAAGTATCTAATAATGAAGCCCTCAATAGGTCTAGTGGCTTAAAGCACGGCTTCTTAGTAGTAATACTTGCATTGGACTAAAGTATACAGAGTCTTCCTTTTTATAATATAAACATAAAATCACTGTTCTTGGGTTATTGGAGAAAAAAAAAGTGATGCTAATTTTGTCCTTGCTTCCACTAAATAAGCAACTAATATTAGTTCCAACAAGTTGCAACTAATAGTGGCAGAACTTGAATAAACTCAGCAATATGATGCAAACACAGGTTTCTGACATGACGGAAAAGACTCAGGTGATTGGACAGTAATGTCAGTGGTATTTGTAGGATTTTCTCCAAAAGGCAAGGAATGTTTTCTCTGGAATAAACACATACACGTACACACACGCAGACACACCAGCATGAACTTGTGACAACAATTACACGAAGGCTCACGTGGGTTAGCATGCATCAAAATCCTGATTCCATGTGCTTGTGTGTGTGTGTGTGTGTGTGTGTGTCCAGGGTCATGTCACTATTGGCCAGCCCTGGACTCGGCACAGACTGGCCAACTGATGAACACACACACACATGCACACACACACACACATACACACACACACACACACACACACACAGACACGGCTAATTGCTGTCACAGAGTTTATAGTCATAACTCAGACTCATTAAAGCTGCATGTGACAGATGACCATCCATCGCTAAACTTTTTTCAGAGATATTAATAGAAATATGTGAAGCCACTGAATACAGCAGCAGGTTTTGTCAGCTTATTCAGGCTGTGCTTCCAACCTCATTGCCATCTGGACAGCTACTAAAAAAGCATCACATGATCCATCCATGATATACAGTATGAAGATGCAAACATTACAAAAGCAGTGTATGTTTCTCTGTTATTGGTGATACGCACTGCACTTGTAAATATAATTTTTAACATTCCGTTTTTGTGCTGATTCAACTTATTATTAATTTCTTTACATCTGAACTGCTACTTTTTAACATTTTTTGTCCGCAGTGAGAATCTAGATTAATCTATGTGCACACAGTCAAAATCTACAAACCTAGATATGCTGATGAGGCAGTGAGGATCAGTGAGTTTCAATGTGATGGCTGTGGTTAAGTTTTACTAATGTAGTGCATGGAAGTGCAGGTAAAAGGCAACAGATGTTACAAGAAGCCTTAAAATGAGGTGTCCTCTGGAATATCAATTAGATCTGATTAGCCCAACTAGAACTCCATAGCAATATCCATCACTGTGTCTCTGGTTTTACGTGGGTTGCAGCTTGATTAATTAGCTAAAGAAAACATATACACAGTTCACTTAGTGCTCAGTTTTCTTTCTCCCACACACAGATATGCACCAGTGCATTTTGTCAGCCTTTCAGCCCAGAGATGAGAGATTCTCACCAGTCAACCATAAGAGGTATTATAATCAAAATCTACATATACATGTATATACAGCAAAGGAACACTGACCTACAGATTAAAAAAAAAATGTAAATGTAAAATTGTAAATTAAGTATTAAAACATATGAGGAAAATAATGATTGTTGTAGCCTATGGGCTGTATGTTAATGTGTCAGGTCTTACCCCGAGCATCTTGTAGAGGTAGTGATACTGCTGTCCATTGGAATAAAGCAGGAAGGTCTTTAGGAACAGCCAGGTGTTAGCTCCCAACCACAGCATCTACACACACACACACACACACACACACACACACACACACACACACACACACACACACACACATACACACACATAATCTTCAAATGGCACAGCATGTACAGTATAGTCTAACCATCACTTAGCCACATTTGATCTTAAAGAAATGTTAATCCTTGGCATATACAGTAATGCTTGTAGCAGGCTGTATGGATACAGTATAATGAACTCACTACTGAGCAGTGACAAACTGACCAACAGTCAATTCATTTAGTGCCTGACTTAGTGGTTTTTCCTCAGAATTTGTTAGAAGTTGTCTTGAGAAAACGGGCTGTAAAAGCTCATTAACAGGTAAACCAGACGAATCCGTTCGCAGCATACGATTTGAACGTGGAGCTGAACAGCTTTAAAATCTCTGACGAAAAGTATTTTTTTCCCACCAGGACCAGATGCTTTCCTCCCTCGTTGGCGACCCAGCTCCGCAGCGACACGACCATGATGCCCTCTCAGGGTCTGAGCAGCTGCCCAAACTTCTCACCAAAGCCTCGGTGTGGCTGAGAGGTACAGACCCGTCCTCCCCGGCAGCTCTCTCTCTCTCTCTCTCTATCCGTCTGCCTGCTTGCGCGCGCGCGTGTGTGAGTGTGTGGGTGTGTGTGTGTGTGTGTGTGTGTGTGTGTGTGCATTGACCTTAGACCGGCCGGTGTCTGCTCCGTCCTGCCTCCGTTACGCAGCTCCTGTCTGCTCTGAGCGCTTTTAGACTTCTCATGCCCCCCAAACCAAACAAGTCTCAGCGGTGAAGAGCTGAGCACCACCGCATCTCCCACTGTCTACTCATCTCACTTCAGCCTGCTCCACACTAGGCCTGAACGGCGACAGAGCAGCACCGCCCAAACATCCTGACTAAAAACTACACCGGGTCAAATAAAGATAACAGGATAGACAGGGGAACAATAAACAAAGATCCACCGCGCCTCGCTGCTCCTCCCTGCCACTAGAGGGAGTCATAGACTCACTTGTCTCACTGAGGCGAGCCTATAAACATACAGTATATTCCATATTTGTGACTTCCATCTAAAAAATAATAAATGAATAAATAAATTAAGGTGAGTAGGAACTTGGTAAACACATTAAGGGAATTAATATTTCATCAGTTTAACGTAATTACCTCAGACAACTTTAGCAACTATAGATTTTATGATTAAAACTCAATGTTAATGACTTCTTAACATTTCTAATTGCAAATTACATTAGCCTATTAAAACTCAATATTAATGACTTGTTAAGCACAGACTGGATGGCTTATTATAGTGACAAGCCAATGAATGAATGAATTAACATTTTACCAAAACCTGTAACAGCAACAATATCAAATAGAAACCGCACAGTCTTTGAGATTTGTATAAACTGGCAACCCAATTTCTTGTTATTGATAGGTTAAAACCGATGTATAAGGCATGAGTAAATTATTTAATAAAGCTATTAGTTAAAACCTTTACAAAACAGAACCTTGTTAGAAAATAAATAAAATGCTGACACGTGATTGCTGTTGTTATTGGCTTTAGTTGACCAGGTGGAGTGTAAAAATTTGTTGATTAATGATCTGATGTTTTAGAGAAAGAAGCCACTCATTTCCATGTTTACGCACCTCACAATTTGAATGTGCTAGGTCATCCTCTGGGCTGTCTGCGCCATCTAGTGTCTGTAACACGAAAGCTGTGACAGAAAATATCTCTAATGAAACATTTATCTTGAAATAAAGGATATTGCCAACATATGTACATGCTTGTTAAAAAATAAAAGAACATGAACCTCAGGTTAAATAGGTCATGACATCTGGTACACTATATGACCACAATGAAACAATATGCAGGCACCTGTATCCACAACATCCTCCAGTCAAATCATGTCATCTTTATCAGCGAGTGAGTGAAGCTTCGGAGAGATCTACTGCGGCCCTTTGAAGTGAGACTGTTTTAGCAACTACAGTGTGCTTTTAACTTTGTGGCAGCAGTTGTGGAATGTAATTTCCTGTTTCTATATGAACTAATTAGTGAGTTTGGTGTGGAAGAGCCCTGGACTCAAACCCATCCAGCACCTTTAGGATGAATGTGGAATGATGACTGAGAGCCAGGTCTCATCATCCAACACCTGTGGGGAATAGTCTTGAGGCTGAAAGGAAACCAATCCCCAGGGAAAGGTTCCTGAATGTTGTTGGAAGTCTTCCCTGAAGAGCGGAAGCCCATGGTTTTTAAATGAAATGTTCAATCACATATGGGTGTAATCTTTGGTTGTGGAGTGTATAAAATATGGAGAAAAAAGGCGACAATATTAAGTCATCATCAAAGTCTTCATCAGAGTTCGCTCACACTCATCAGGGTTTTATTTTGAGATTTGTGGATCATTAACATTTATTTTCTTCATCAGGTTTAACTTGTCATTTGGTTTAAACATGTAGCCATGACAAGTTTTTTAATTTTATTTCTGTAGATACAAAGTGCACTGGGTTTTTAAAATGAGGAGCAGAACGTGTTTTCTTTACTAGTAACACATACACTCATCCACCAGAGATCATTTTCTTGTTTCTGCTCTATATATTTTTTGCGTTTCATATGTGTGATGCTCTATAGTACTTACCTACAGAAGTAGGTAAGGTGTTTTTGTGGAAATATATTACACTCTCTTTCACCCAGCTGGCATTATATGAGCCTGTTGTTATATTTCATAATTCAATCATAAGTCTTGTTCATTTGAATGAAAAGTAATAAAAATCCAGCATTGGCTTTAGGAGGACCTGGGTACCCAAACAACACATTTCCAAACAAATCAAAATCAACCTCCCCATACCAGCAAACGACTGTTGGTTTATTTGAAGTTTTTCTTTTACAGATAGTGTGCTGCGGACGGGACAGAGCTGCGGTCTGTGTCCTTCCCACATTCCTGAGAGTAGAGTCTCCTCCCCACTTCACGCTCCAGCCCACCAGATGAAAGAATCTTCCTCCACCCCACACAGCTGTTCACAAAAGCGCAAGGGGTCAAGCACGACTGAGGCCATGTCTTATAGTGTGGGAATATATGTCTGACTATCTATAGTAACATAAGCAAAGTAAACAACAGCAGACATGTATGGAAGGCCAGGTCTGCAAGGAGAAGAAGAAACTAGAAGAAGAAACTACCATCTTGCGGCTGTATGCTACCTCCAACCAGTCACGTTGCAGTTTACATCCAAGTCAGTCCAGACTATAATATATCTAGTGAAGACTTTTCAATCCAATGGCACAGAAGATCAATGCAAAGTGGGCAGTTTCAACGTGGGCAGCCAAGATTAGTGTCACCAATTCAGTATCCAACCAAATATGAAATATGGTCACAATTTCTCTTTCTGTTCCTATGTTGCTGAGTTATAGCATTGTTGAACAATGCTTATTTTTGTTGAACATTATGATGTCACAGTGAAGTTGACCTTTGACCTTTTGGATTTAAAATGTCATCACATCATTATTTTATCTTAGACATTTGCCTGAAAAGTTGTCATAATTAGCGTATGAAGTCTTATGAGGTAACAGTGCCCTTAACCTTCGACCTTTGACTACTAAATTCTGATCAGTTCATCCTTAAGTCCAAGTGAACATTTGTACCAAATTTGAAGAAATTCCCCAAAGGCGTTCCTGGCCATTATTCAACGCTGTAACTCAGGGAGGGGATATCGTGAGCATATTTCCTGCAACTTGAACTGTTGTTGGAGGCATACATCCACAAATTACTTATTAAATTTGAACTATGTTCAGCTATTGTTAGCACCGGGTTAACATGTTAACTTCAATAGACTGCTGTGGAAAATAAATATATGCAGATGGGTCACACATTAATCATTTTAAGGCATTGTTCCATTATACACATTTTTGATTATTTTAGTATTTTATTATTGCGTACAACTTATTGAACTCAAGACAACACATCCGGTTCTGATTATAGCGTGTAACCTCAAGACACCTTCTCCACATGAACTTAGCAGATGTATCTACTGATCCTGTGGCCATCCAGTTACAGTATACAATTCCTCCCCTTTCTGAACGTCTGCTGTTCACTTAGCCTACAGTTGACCCACATTACACTTTTCATTCAGTTTACCTTTGCACATTACAGTTAGTGTACTGTTAAATTACTGTTAATCTAATTTGCACATCGCTATTTTTGCACTGTTGTCCATGCTGTGATTCTACATTGCACATTACTTTTTACTTTTTGAGCTTTTGCATTTGTATATTTTCACTTCACTTACTGTGTTTTTATTTATTATCACTACTATTTTATAGTAGTTTTTAATTTAATTGTAACAAAGAAATTTTCCTGCGAGATCATTAAAGTTTTCTGACTGTTTTGGGAAAAACTGTTATCAGAGTGGCTTCTTGGCCATCCAGTCTCAGGTTTAGTAATTCAGCAATACTGAGTCAGCACTGGAACGGCCAAGGTGCACAACATAGTCATTAGTCTACTGGTCATTCACGGCGGTAATGACTAGCTCCCTCTTTGTATTCCTCTGCAACTTTTCACTCACTGCCTCTCCCTTTGCCAAATACTGACTTCAACCTACCCTCCTCCCTCTCTCGCTCTCTCTGACTCGCTCTGCCTTGGCCTGCCCCCACTGTGCACTACTTAAACAAATTGCTCTCTATCTCTATCACTATCTCTGCAAGCGTGCTCTGCAGAGGCAGTTGTGTCAGCGTGTGGAAGGCTCTGGGATATACTGCTTTACAATGAGAAAAGAGAGCAGGTTAATTTGGTGGAGCTGGCGGATTGTGGTTGTGGCAGCTTTGTTCTTCCTGGGCTTCATCATAGGTAAGCCATGAGAACACAACAGAAACTTAAACTGGACAGAGATATAAGTCAACAACCCAAAAGCGATATCTACTGCATGTTTGTTTTTGATGAAATATTCATTATTTAACAGTATTGTGACAAAGAAAATAATGGGAAAGTTGATCATAACAAGGGTATAAATGGAACTGAAGGCAGATGCTGAAATAACAAATAGATACATGACACAAAGAGATAAAAAAAATTTTTTTTTGAGTTAATTTCTTAAGATTAATCGCATAAACTATCAAATTTACCCAGTGCGGTCGAAGCTGAATCTTCAAGGTGTGTTGTTGTTTTGTGTGTTAGCTTTAGTTTGTCACCACTCTGAGACATTTCACATCTTTGTGCTCACAGCAGGTTAACACTTGCTATCCATAACCACAACTAATTTTAAAATATATTTTCTAACACGATTGGAAGCTTCTGTTCATATACGCAAATGGGCAGTGAATGGCCAATTTTAAATTCTGCATGCCCCCCAATGCTTTATATACATGTAATTGATTCTTGGAAAAATGATCACATCATGACATCACATAGTGATGACTATTGTCTTAAATGAACTTCCACTGTTGTTAAACTGACTTGCGGTTTGAACGGTGTGTGCCGCAGGCTGGTTTGCAAAACCCATACATTCAAACACAGCAAGCAACACAGCTTCCAGCAAGTATCTGAGGGAGTTTCTGGATGAAATGCAGCCAGACCAGATCAGAGAGCATCTCAGGTAAAAATCACACACTAAACCTGCCCTGTTTATTAATGTTGGTTGCCATGGAATTTGGTAAAGTTGTTAATAGTACCATGGTAGATTCTAATATCTGTGGTAAACACCAAAGTTGAATTCTTGGTATGATATCTCTAAAAAATATTGAGACAAACCATTGCCACCCATAGCCTCTACACCACACTGACTCATAGAACCATGATGTGCAGTCAAACATTGTTGAAACCCAGAGAACCCAGATGACCTTTTTAGACATGGATCATGCTGTGTTCATGCGAATTCAGACAAGAACAACAGATGTGCGTGCATGTACTATTTTCTTTTACTTTATATATTTTTTCATTAATTTGTTTTTGAGAATTATAAACGAAAAAAATGTTATAAAAAGACTGCAGTTTTAAACTGGTCAGCTGAAGGTTCTACATTTCCCCTTCCTTTTTTTTTTTTGGACATTTTAGTATGAGTCTGTTTTCCCTTAACTTATAACCTTATCCTAACCCTAACCACCAACGGGGGACGCAACGCAAAAAACTGTCGTAATGGGAGGGAAACACTTTCTCACAGGAACAGGCTTCAGCACCTGCCTTTTTCGAGTGTTATGTACCAGGTTCTCTTAGTGTAGAGTATTCCAAGTTATCCAGTACCGGGTGCTGAGCGTCTTTCAGACCACAAGAGTGTATGTATGGTACACAAAGGTGTGGAAACTAAACAATTTGTTTCATTTTCCTCCTTCATATTAAGCAGCATGCAACGTAAAGCTCAACTTATGACATCAAGAAGTGTTCTAGCCTACTTATCTTATTGTGATAATGTGTTGACGTTAGGTGTATAATTTTACTGTTAATAAACAACACTCTACCAACTCCTGTATGTGTTGTATAGTGGGAGAAGCAAAATGAGTATTAAATCAAAATGCAAAACATTTATTAACACTAACAGACACAAAAAGTTGCGTAACTTAACTGCAGAAGCAAGTCTCCATTAAAGTCCACAAGCAGCAGGAATCTGGAGTGATATCCACCGGCTAACAGGCCAACAAGTACTGAGTGAACTCTGGTACATGAACAAATCCAGACAGCACCAAATCTCCCATGTGACCTTCTCAGTTCGGCGTGAACAACTGTCAGCAGCTACAACAACTACCTGTATGCTTAAAGCAAGCTAAAACTTATCACTAGGCTCTCAAGCGAGTTTTTGCACCTGTTTAGAGATGTACTGCTTTCATTTTTCATCCTTAAAAGTCTTACCTCCATGACATCCTCTGCACAGGAAGTTTACACGACTCCCCCACCTGGCTGGTACAGAGCAGAACCTGAGATATGCGGAGCAGATCAAGAAAGAGTGGCAGGAGTTTGGCCTGGACTCAGTGGAGATGGTGCCCTATGACGTCCTTCTGTCCTACCCCAACAAATCACAGCCGAATTACATCTCCATAGTTGATCAGCTTGGTAATGAGGTATAGTAGCTACATGTACACAAACAAAAGATAAATAAAAAGCACATATAATTTCAACCTATATCAAACACACACCCTGCAAAAATCTCTCTACTTGTTTCTGGTGCAGAATTGTCATTGCTCTTTGCTCCCATCTATTATAGCATTAGGATGGCAGTCATACCCTCTGGTGAGCCAGTTACAGATTGTATTCACAGTGTGAATCTACTTTTAAAGTACTGAATGCTTTAGTTTACTGATTGCCAAACATTTATTGATTTTAATCTTTTTCTACCACTGCAAGCACTCTGATGAAATGTTCCGTTCTCCACACTTACCCCTGGTGACTAAAATCTCAAAGGGATTGTAAATTTCTCACACACATGAACAAAAACACTAAAGTCCAAATCCCTGACAACTCCTCAGTCTGTTTGGGGAAATAACAAAAGTGCAGAGTGCATGTGTCGATCACACAGATACATTAAAAAAAACACACCAACATTCTTTTGCAGGCCTCCTCTCCCCCTCCCCACTGTTAGTCTTCACCACAAAACTGCAGGACAGCTCATTCAAGTCCAAGGTCATTTTACAGCCTTGTTGTGAGATAAACGTCTGTATGTGTCTACAAGCGGTATAATGACACAACACAGAGGCAAACAAGTGACAACATATCCAGGGTTACCGCACGGCCATATTACAATACGCTGCAAGAATGCAGCTAGGTTCTTAAACACAATCAGGGATTACATTTCAACTAATTCAGTAATAGATTTCAGCTGATAACCATTCAGCGAACAGCAGATCAAAGATCCACACATGATCATCAGGTGAGTAGATAATTCATTTTCCAGCCGCAAGCAGACCAGAATCAACTGGTATCTGCAAATAATTCACAGAATTCATTTTGGTACATAGTATGAAAATAATGTGAATAATTGTCTGAGCATCATTTACAGTTTGATCCCTCATTTACAACAGGGGAGAAAGAATTCAGATTCTTTACTTACATGCTGCTTTTACTCTTGATTAATCAATCAACTGATTGTTTGGCTTGTAAAACTAAAGAAAAGAGAGAGAGAAATACCCACCACCATTCCCCAGAGTCCAGTGACACATTCAAACTGCTTAGTTTTTTTCAATTATTGGACAAACTGAAAAAAATTATTAAAACAATTTCAAGACAAAGCAGCAAATCCTCATATTTGAGAAGCAGGAACCATGAAATGTTTGGAATTCTTGCATGAAAACTGATTAATCCACTAACAGTTTCAGCTCTAATTGTATATACTGTTGGATATTTTAATCTGTGATAAAGCATCATGTTTTATCATCAATCAATAATATATGGGAGTAGAAGTATAAAGATGCCTGAAAAGATAATACATAAGTAAAGCGCAAGTTTCAAAGCATTTACTACAGAGAGTATAAGAGTATCTCATATTTCATCTAATTTTATCTCACCTCATTTCATCTAACTTTCTCAGGTTTTTAACACGTCATTGGCGGAGCCGGTCCCACAGGGCTATGAAGATGTCTCTAACATTGTGCCTCCATACAGTGCCTTCTCTGCCAAGGGACAACCTGAGGTACACACACACACACACACACACACACACACACACACAACTTTATCATGACAGTGACAGTGATGTGTAAATAGTTTTCACTGCATCACTAAAAGTAGTGAACACTAAGATGTTCTCTCTTTCTGTCTCTGTCTCCAGGGGGATTTGGTTTATGTGAACTATGGTCGTACAGAAGACTTCTTCCAGTTGGAGAGGGAGATGCACATCAATGCAACTGGGAAGATTGCCATTGTCAGATATGGGAAAATATTCAGAGGCAATAAGGTAGGAAAAGTCTTGGTCAGAACTCCTCATGAAATCCCAGTTATATCATTCTGATCAAAGCTCTGTAGTAATAGTGTTTGAGTATTAATTCCTCATTGTGGCATTTCAAAACGTTTTCACATCATCAGACATTTATTACTTTAATGCAATTCACAAAAGTCAAAGTCAATTTGTCGCGACACATACAAAAAAGACAGCTATAAATACAATTCTGACTCATTGCTCTCTGTCTGTCTTCATCTCCCCACCAGGTGAAGAACGCCATGTTAGCCGGAGCGAAGGGGATCATTATGTTCTCAGACCCAGCAGATTACTGGGCTTCAGGGGTCCAGGTAGCGTGATTATGAAACTGTGTGTGTGCTTATGTAACTGCCATTGTTAATGTAGAGGAGGTATGAAAATATTTTTGACAATACTGACACTATGCTTGGCCTTTGAACAAGTTTTGGATCAGCGGAGGAGTCTGCGCTCGACAACTATGAAGTTACAATCCAGATCATAAATGAAAAAGACATGAAAATGGAAAAGGTAAGCATTTTGACACGTGTTTGCGTGTGTGCAGCCCTACCCTGATGGCTGGAATCTGCCGGGTGGAGGAGCTCAGAGAGGAAATGTTCTCAACCTGAACGGAGCAGGAGACCCACTCACACCAGGATACCCCGCTAAAGGTGCGTACGTCTGTGTCTTTGTACATGTGTTAGAGCCTATATGAATATCTACATGTGTAAGTTTATCTCACATAGTCCTGTCTCTTCCCTCACAGAATATACCTACAGATTTAGCCTTGAGGATGGAGTGGGACTTCCCAAGATTCCTGTGCATCCAATTGGCTTCCATGATGCAGTTCTCCTGCTGAAGTACAAATTGTTCTTTTTGCTTTTCTTTTCCCTATTTTAACTTAACTTTAATCTGGAATTCAGGGCAAGAAACTAAAAATTTTATTGAGGTCCTTGAGTGAAATAAGCAGCTGATTTGTATTATTTACAGAATATGTGAATTATTTACCATTCAACAGGAACATGGGAGGACAGATTCCACCCAACAACTGGAAAGGAGGTCTGAATGTCTCCTACAGGATTGGTCCAGGCTTTGCTGGTGACTTCAAGAGCCAGTAAGTGCCTTTGTGAAGGTTTTTTCCTGTGCAGTATTAAAGTGATCCTCCTTTTTTCAAAATAAACCTCCTCCCTCTCCAGTTATTAGTTTCTCCTCTGCAGCTTCACTGCTGTCTACATTCTGTATTCTAGTGTTCGTACTGTCTCTCCCCTTTTGTAGCTCCTCTTCTCTTGTTCAGCTTTAATGACCCAGTGGCAACTAGCCAACTGAAGTACAATGGAGGCCCTTGTAGCTTCTCTGTGTGAGGGACGTACATACACATTCACGCACATATACATGCTACACAAATTAAGTACGTGGCATGCACCCATATGCAAAAACAGTAACGTAGGGGTGTGGGGGTTTTCAGGAGCAACAACCCCACATAACAACAAATAGAATCAACTATGTGTTATTCTCTTACTCATTTTTTTTAGGTTGGAAAACACTTAATAAGCGACACCCCTCTACTCATTTCTCTTTTGTTTGTCTATCCGTCTCTGTCATTATATGAGATAACATGTCTCTGAGGCTGCTGTCCATTAAAAACTAAAAGAAAAACATTCATCTTTAGTAAATGTTATAACCTTCTCCCACTTCCTTCTCCCTAAGTTCCTCTCACATCAGTCATTCTCTGTCAACTCCATTGATCTGCTTCTCCTCCGTCTCTTCATATGTCTTTGTGCCTATCACTCATTCCGTAATAATTTGCCTGTCCCAGGAAGGTGCGTATGAACATCCACACTAACAACCAGGTGACCAGGATCTACAACGTCATTGGCAGGATTAGAGGAGCTCTGGAGCCAGGTACAGCAACACAACCCGCCCTAACCCTTCATTCTGGGTTTCTGCAACATTTTACACACAACTAACATATGCGAGTAACACTGATAATGCCATTATGGAGACTAATGCTGATATATTATTAAAAACAGGTTAGAATGGGAGAATAAAATCATTTGGCAGAAAATGTTGCCCAATATTTTGCAAGGAATATTCAGACAAACAGTTTCAACACTGCAGTTTTAATCAGAACTCTCAAGAAATACAGTGTATCAGTCTCTTAAGGAAGTATCTGTTTTTGGTGTGAAGGCTGTTATATTTGGTAGCACTAGTCAATTGTTTAAAAAATTAGGAAAGAAATTCTCATAGTTTGTGTCTCTAACTCCTCTTTCAACACATGTTGTCGGCTCTGCATGGTGTGTGTGTGTGTAGACAGGTATGTGATTCTGGGAGGGCACCGGGATGCCTGGGTGTTTGGAGGAATCGATCCCATGTCTGGGGCTGCAGTGGTCCATGAAAATGTCAGGAGTGCTGGCAGGCTGCTCAGTAAAGGTACATCTCTGCAGTTGAATGAATAAGTGAATCATGTTAGTACATGTAGTCAGTACTCAGTGTGTATGTTGTGTGTGTGTGTAGGCTGGAGGCCAAGGAGGACTATAATATTTGCCAGCTGGGATGCAGAGGAGTTTGGACTGCTGGGATCTACAGAATGGGCAGAGGTACCATACTGTATACATCAATATACACACACACACACACACACACACACACACACACACACACACACACACACACACACACACACACACACACACACACTGACCACACTTCCTCCTTCTTAACAGGACAATGCCAAGCTGCTGCAGGAGAGAGCTGTGGCCTACATCAATGCAGACTCTGCCATAGAGGGTGTGTGTGTTTGTGCAGCTCAATATTCTCACTAGATTGTAGACAGTGTAGAGGCTGAATTGGTTTTAATATGATTCGTGTGTGTTCCAGGCATGTACACACTGAGGGTTGACTGCACTCCATCTCTACATACTTTGGTGTATGACCTCACCAAGCAGGTGAGCAGATTTAAATGCATGCAAGGCAATAATATACTGTATCTGAAAATTTATATGAGTAAAAAACCTTTGTCTTTTATGCATTCTCTTATCCTGTATTCCTGCCTGTCTTTCCACCTTGTCCCGTGTCTCTTTCTTTCTCTGTTTGCATGTAGATAGGCAGTCCAGAGGAAGGAGAGGAGGGAGTTTCTCTGTACGAGAGTTGGCATAAGAGGGACAACTGGACGAATGACCGTGATGCACCCAGGTACAACGCGTGCATCAGCATCAGTTGCTTGTTTGGGTCAGAGCTAGGGTGTACATAAACTAGCAGCAAAATAATAACATTAAAATACACAAGGCTTAAGCAAAACTAAATATCAATGGCCATGAGAGTACGGACCGGTAATATCAGAACTGAGTAGAGACGATTAGGGATAAGAAGAGGAAGATGCTGAAATGAAAGATTAAGACAAACCAGGTCACAACTGAGGAGTGTGCTGTGTTTAAAACCACTTTGGAATGTAAAATTTGTTCCATCTCAGATAATTGATCAAAAAATCAAGACATTAATCAAAGACATTAATTTACCAGTCTGATGTTGACTCTGTTGTACTGTAGGATCAGTAAACTTGGCTCAGGCAGTGACTTTGAGGCCTATTTCATCCGTCTGGGTATCGCCGCAGGCAGAGCCAGATACACCAAGAACAAGGTATGTTTTATGCAGATTCATTTACTTTAACTGGTAGTGTGATTGTATGTATATTTGTGTGTATCTCTGTTCTATTTAGTTTACTTGAAAGACATTTTTTGATTTGAATGTACCTGATTATAGAAAATAGTACACTTAAGCTCCCTGTGAATCATAAAAAAACTATATTTATATACAGTAGTGTACATGCTTGAATGTTTGTTGGCTTGCCATTTTTGTGTATGTGTTTACAGCTTCGGTGTGTATTTACATTATTACATGTCTGGTTGAGTTTAGTTCTGTCCTATAATCATTAATAATTATGCATTTTAACTTAAGGCTTGAGTGAGATTATGGTTTAGGTTCAGACCAGAATTAATGTAATAAAGCTTTTGTGTATCCATGGAATGAACTACTGTAAGTGAAATGTCATCTGTGTGTGTGTGCATTCAGAAAACAGAGCGATACAGCAGTTATCCAGTCTATCACAGTGTGTATGAAACCTTCGAGATCGTGGAAAAGTTTTACGACCCATCCTTCAGAAGACTTCGGGCAGTGGCCCAGGTGAGAGGCGGGCTCATCTTCCTCTTGGCAGATTCCCAGCTGCTCCCTCTCGATGCCAACCAGTACGCAGACTCACTGAGGAAGTACGCACAGAGTATCGCACAGCTGGCGCAGAAGCACCCAGAGGAGATGGAGATGTATGAGGTTTCATTTGGTGAGTTGATTTCAATCATTGTGTGCTCACTGTGGTAAGTTTAAGTGTCACTTGAATGTTTGAATAAGTGAGCCAACTTACTCACCTAACATCTTTGCATGCAATTTTTTTTTCTTCCAATACCTCCAGAATTTCTGTTTTCTTCAGTGGACAACTTCACTGTTGCAGCCAGGGATTTCCATGAGCGCCTGCAGACCATTAACAGAGCAGAGTAAGAGTGTGTTTAACATTTCATACATTTTCAGTGTCCAAACAAAAGCTTAAATGTGTGGAAGTACATGCTTTGATTTCTATCTTCCCAGTCTTCCTACAGTTAAGTGTGTGTGTGTGTGCATTAGTCCTCTGCAGGTACGCCTCATGAACGATCAGCTCATGTATCTGGAGAGAGCCTTTATAGACCCCCTGGGCTTACCTGATAGACCCTTCTACAGGTTAGTCTCACACTCTCTCTCTCACACACACACACACACAGATTTCCTCCCATTTGGAGGCAGTAGTCTCACCAATTGGTCATGTACTTGACTACTGCAACCACTAAATGGCAGCACGGACTGTTGTTGCTGTAGTTGATTTGCAATAGTCAGTAACATTAAACTCAGCATTTCTAGCATGTCTTTACACCTACCTGTTTCAATGGGCTTCACAGGCTGTTCATGTTAGATTATCATCCACAGTGTTTGTTTATTTAATGCTCATTATCTTTCTCATCCACTTTGAATTTAAGCATGGCTGGATATTTTGGTTTCCCTACTTTTCAGAGACGTCTTGTTTTCTACAGATTCTTCTCACCTTGTCTGTTTATAAATATGTGGATTATTACTTGATTGCTGCAGTTTCTGTAATACCTCCAGTACAGTCTTTAACATAACACCCTCTACTCTGTTGCAGACATGTGATTTTTGCTCCCAGCAGCCATAATAAATATGCAGGGGAGTCTTTCCCTGGGATCTATGATGCATTGTTCGACATTGAGAACTCAGCTGACCCAGAGAAGGCCTGGGAGGAAGTCAAGCGTCAAATCAGCATTGCAGCATTCACTGTTCACGCTGCCGCTATGACCCTAACACCACCTGCATGAAGCGTGCACAAACAGTTGAAAGCCTCTGACTGAACTATCAATTGACTATTATTTTAGAACACCAAAATGTGATGAGAGGGAATACACTACATGCAACACACAGCGATGGACAATCCCTGTCATGTTCCAGGAACACCCAGAGCCCAGTAATACAGTGAATCTCTGAACACCATTACCACAGTACAACTTACAAAACTGTCCTTTTACTCTTGGTTCCTGATTGTTATGTGGCTACTCTAAAGTAATAATTTATGCTTTTTTTTGTAAAAACCGTCCGTGGCTAAAGGGAGCCAAATAAAATCAACCCATCCTTCACTTGTGGGCAGAAAACAACTTACATCTTGTCCATGTATTGGTCTGAGAAAAAAATGTGATGGGTGGTAAAAATGGTACTGAGTTTTACTTATATCCATGTTGATATTTTTGATAAATTACTTAATTTCCTTAAAGGCACACACTACTTTTGCACACTGAAAAGAACACAACAACATTTAATGATAAACCTGTATGAAACCAGATTTCTGTTGAAGGACATACAGTTCAAATCTGTCTTTAAATGATGAGTTAACAAAGCTGAATAAAGACAAAGAAAATGAGAATATTGTAAGATTAGGGATAACAGAACATATATGGCAACGTTATTACATAAGAGAAAAATATGTACTGTATGATATCTAAGTGTCACAGCTGAGTAGTAAATCAAGAGACAGAGCAGAGAATCAGATTCTAATCCACTATGGTTCACAGGATGAAAAAGGTACAGTGTAAAAATATGGTTCTGAATTAGTAAATGTGTATAAAATGAATGCACTAAGTTGGCAGTCTGGTAACAAAAGCAGTGTGCCTGTAAGTCTAATTAGGCATAAATATCTATGATAAAGGTTTTTGAATTTTTGTGACCTCCAAGAACATGCCTAATAAAAAAATGAATTACTCATTTGGACATCCAACTGAATGCAAGCTGAAATATACAGTACGTATCCTTGAGAAACACAGGAAGGCAGTGAGGTTAGAGGCAGCTATGTCTGTTCGGTTCCTCCCTGTTCTTGATCCTTTGGGAGGAAGGGCAGGTCCAGATGGGCCCACATGATTGGCTCAGCCTTCTTCAGAGACACCTCCATCTTTGCAGCCATCAGGTTCACCACACTACTGTTCACCTCCACAGCCTGACAGGAAGAAGAAAAATGTGGCTCATTGTCTAACACACATACTGCTAAAGAAAATATTTAAGGTTAAGGTTTCTTTTGGAAGGTGTTTGCTCACTCGTGCTACTGCATCTTTTGTTTGTTTGTTTGTTTTCTTCATATTTGGTATTTGAGAACTTCCTAGATTAAAACTTTGACTTTATTAACCATAAAGCTCAAAGGTCATCCTCATGTTTTCTGATAGTACCACAAGAGGGTGCCAAAGTCTGAACTTTTTTCTCAAACCACCTTACCTTTTCCATTGTGCTTTGTTTTTTTTTCATTTGTTGCCTTGTGTGTGCTCAACAAATAAAGATTATTGTTATATCACTATATGCACGACCTAAAAGTCTGTATTTTCTTCTTTCAACGCATATTTTGTTAATGCTTTTTGCACTGGTTTTACTATAGTAAAGTCAGTTTTATTATATTGCCCAATATCACAAATTTACCTAAAGTGGTTTTACAATCTGTACAGCATACAACACCCTCTATCCTTAAGACACTTGATAAACCACTGGATATACTGTTAGGTGTTCACTTACCCCCCATAAACTGATGTTCTGTTCAAACTCTTTATCTCCCTCAAACACCACATGCATGTTCACCTGGAACAACCAGAGACATTCAGCAGACAGAGTTATACTGACATATAAGGGAGGATGTGTGAGAGTGAGAGGACATATGAGAGAGCGCAGTGTGTGTGTATGATAACAAAAGTGTGTGCTGTTATTGTTTGCATGTCTTTGTGTGTTGTTACCGTGGTGCTGTTGGCCTCCACGTAGCTGAGCTCTGGTGAGGAGTTCTTTGCATAGATGGAGATGATGACCTGACTGCCTGTCTGGTGCCAGTCAAACCTACACGGCTTCACCTTCATCCCCTGGAAATACAGAGAAGCATGTGGATAAGCCTCATATAAAAAATTAAATGGACATTAGTATTGTGTGGAAAAATAGCATCATTTAAAAAATATAGAGAAAATATAAGTGTATAATTCATTCCTTTCTTATGGGAAAGGACAAAGCAGGACTTTGGACACTTCACAGACATTACTGTGCACATATGAAGTGAGTGTGTCACAGTGTGTGTGTATGTGTGTGTGTGTGTGTGTTAACCCTAACAATAATATCTCGCCTACATTCTTGCACTGTGATTTAAGTCAGGCTATTTCCTGTATGACCTGGTTATGCTTCCTCCAAAGGTGACTTCCTGTAGTGCAGCCCTGCTGGGACAAAAATGTGTTGAAGTCTGACGTTTTCTTCCTGCAGCAGCTCCAGTACTTCATGCTGCAGACAAACACACAAACACACACACATTTCATGAAGCACATTCAACACAAGCTCTACAACAAGTTAATGTAGTCTTAGAACACCTACACACTAAAGTCTGTTCAATGAACACTTTTCTAAAGCTTATTAGACAGAGGACTGTGTGTGTGTGCTCTCACCCCTCATGGAAAACAGGAAGTCCGGGGTGGTGTTTGCATTCTTCCCCGTCACTTGCTGATCCAGAGTAATACTATCGAAGGACAGAGAATTGAAGACACAATTTGTAACTAACCATTACACACACTGGACTTACTTCTACCTGTCTGCCCTCTTAGTTTCATTTTTTTATTTCTTATTTGAACTTTTGAAAAAATATATCTCCCCATATATCCCTCTCAATCATCGAAAACACAACAAAATTAGAGAATTAACTTGGGAAGACTAAGAAGTCTACCTTAGCGCATCCACCATTCTTACAGGAAGTACCGATCTTCACCTCATCCCCCTCTTCTTCTGTGCAGAAACAGAACCACAGTTTACACTTCATATCGCCTCCACATGGATCTGAATTTGTGTGTGTGTTCATGCTCTGTGTAGTACCATCTAAACACGCGTGTACCTGCATTGTCCGTGTGTTTGCTGCCATTTAGATCAAGTTTTTCAAGAGCCTGTCTCAGTGATGATGACACCTTTTGTTGCATTCTGACTAGAGGCTCTTCATCACTGAAACAAACACACGCACACACACACACACACACACACACACACACACACACACACACACGCACAGTTTTCTATTATCAGGACAGCACAAAATTCAGAGACATACAGAGACAAAAAAAACAAAACCACAACTACAGCAGCAGGCATCAATATAGGCTCCTCTCTTGTCATTTAGCATTTAGAGAAAAAAAACAAATTGATTATGATTGTGTATTTAAGTATCAAATGGCTATCAATATTTTGTGTGTAGTTTAAGATAGGAGACAAAAGAAAAGAAGAAAAAGCAAAAACAATAGAGTCCGCTAATTAGAGAAGAAAGAGTGGAAAAAACTTTCAACCTCGGGCGGTGAACCTGCTCCAGTGGTTTGGGAGCTTGAATAATGTAAGGATCTCCTCTGGGTTTCAGCTCTTGCCCAATCTCCTTCCTCTCTCCTGAAGTCTTCACCTCAGGACGCACCGCCTCTGCTGGCTTCTCACTGTTGTGGCGACCCCTGCTGCAGCCCTTTATTACGCACATTAAAACACACACACAGGTGTAAAAACCAGCTTAAATAATATTCAATTTGACCCAACATGGGAAAACTTAAGTGGCAAAAAACAAAAAATAAAGTTGTTAATGGGAATGTAACAACTACCTGATATCTGTATATACTTACTGTAATACTCAGGAAGTCTGAGAAGTCTGTAGTGCGTCTCTTGCAGCAAGACCAACCCTGTAGTGGGAACACAGACTCAGTAAGCCAAACCTGTCCCTGCTGGAGTTTCTTGAAACACTTACCACTTAATCATAAGTAATACCTAAGAACTGAACCTGAATACATAATACAATGTGACAGATTATACAGATGTTGGCTATAAGCTTGGAGACATAAAACTAAGATCACCTCTCCATATGTGCATCCAAATAAATTATCTGACTTGAATATGTATTATCCAATATTTTTCAAAGGGATGACCTAACTTACCTTGAGCGCATCGTGAAACACAGGCACTCCTGGGTGGAAGGTGCAGGCATCTGTGTGTGGAGAAACACACACTATGAATGTCACCTCCATACAGTCTGCTGCTTGTTGTTGTACAATTTACACAGCAGCTACAAAGGTAGTTAAAATGTGTCCTGTGTCTAAATGTCCTTTAATAATTCTGATCAAACTATTTTTCATTGGCATTGGTTAGATAGGTGAAATCTTCATGGGCCATAACCAAGAGGTTTTGCATGTTTTAACCTAATGATTACAAATTGTGTATTTCTTCTATACCCATCCAGGCAGCCATTGGTTTCCATTAATTTCTGTACAATTTGAAAATGAATAAGCAGACTCTTTAAATTTGCATATGCTGTAAAAAATTGTAATTTTAAAAATTGTAAAATTCATAATTTTTGTCAAAGTTACATAACTGGTGTGTCAGACACCAATATTAAACATTACTTTACCTCATAGCTATAACGACAAAAACAACTGCAGACCAAAAGTTTACTTTCATGGACTACACAAGTCAATCAGGTAGAAATTGATTTCCATTTTGTACCATTTTGTTAAAAAAATCCAAACCTGCACAGCTTACATTTGAAAATGGTCATCAAAAATGTTAAGTATATCTTAACATGTTTTGCAGTGAAGAGGTTAAAACAGACAAATATACTGTGGTTTTGTCTGACCAACAGTCAAAAGTCTAAAGCTATTCAGTTTATTATATGTCAAAGAAATGCATCAAATCCCTTTATGACTAAAACAATTATTCTATTGAAGTAAGTTGATGTCAATCGACTAATTGATTAATCAACCAATGTTGCAGCTCTAGTTAGAGCTTTAACAAAAAGTTTGAAATCACCATGGTGACAAAAAGAAGAAAAACCTCTAAGTTCCGGGACGCCGGGTGGTCTCGTGAACGCTCCATTCAGGATAATAATAGAGCATAAAAACGAGCTTCAAATCTACAGGTTAAAATTAGGATTTAATGGCCAAACTCAACTGCATTACAAAGTCCAGTGACTATAAAGCACCTAAGAAAATAAACCTGTGAGTTGTGTTGAATATATTTTAATGTTGTTACCTTCGGGGTTGTTCTCCGGGTCAAACCGCCGTCCGCAACTCCTGTTGTAGCACAACAACGACATGCTCCCCTTCACAAAGTAAACCGCAGGGTCATTTAACAACACATAAGAATGGTGTCTAACTTATTTAATTTCTAACTTCACTCCTTAAGCCTGAGTCAAATTGTATTCAAAGTGTGTGTAGCAGCGTTACGGCTGCTGCCATGTGTGACAGGTCCAGTTGCTGCTTCTGAAGCAGCTCCCTCCCTCCGTCTCTAGCCGGAAATTCCCGAAGAGGCTTTCGAGAAGTTCCGCACACCGTCGAAAAATGTATGATTGATGTCTCAAGGTAAGTTGAAGATAATATTGTAATCTTTTACTATGTAAATGTCTTTAAAGAGGGTTTAAAGTGACGATAGGAGCAGGTTAGTTGAAGTTCATTACACAAACATTCATACACGTTTGAATACAAGCACAAATAATTATAAAAATAGATAATTTCACTTAAGAAAAAAAAAACTGTTGGGAGAAAAACACATTTAAAAAAAATAAAATAAAAAAACACGTTTAAACTTTTCTTTGTTTTCCTGGTGTAAACTTATGCTCCATAACTGGAAGTTTTAATATGTGGTGGAATGTGACAAAGTACAATAACTCATGTACTGCATAGGAACAAATCTGAGATACTTTTACTTGAGCTTTCCTTTCACTCCTCTACATTTCAGGGTACTTTTTACTCCACTACCATTCACTAACTTGTGGCTATGAGGACTTTTTAGGCTTTTAAGTTTTACTGTCCCACTTCATGAGACAATTTACAGTATTTTAGCAAATAATACAGCTGTAAAGGTAAGACTATTGTTTAAAAGTAGGATTAAGATTTTTGTTTAATGACAATTTTAACGCCAGCTTTCTCAGTCCAAAACAGCATTCAATTTGTCAGTATGCTCACCATGAGGTTACACCAATCATTATATCTGATTATCGATCAGCTGACATTCAGAAAGAACTCAAAAACAGCTAACGTGACTGGCCAAAGTTAGCAGCTTATGTTACTGAAAATATTATATTGTATTTAGATATTATAATTAGTGGCCAGTTTAGCAGCTAAGGTACTCACATTTTCCAAATTGCATTACTTAAAGATTCATTAAGCTGCTTAAAATTTTACATCACTATTAACCTTTCAGTGGGAAACATAGGCAGGTAAAGTAACTGTCACTGATTCTTTTCAGATCAACATTGAGTTTGTGATAGCCAGAATTGGCGGTTAAAATTCTAGAAATTGTTTAATTTTAAAAAGGAAATGTATGACTACTGGCCAAACTTAGCAGCTAATGTGACATGGTGTTTTTCATCGTATCTTATTTGAACCTCAATGAACAAATGACCGACTAATGTGAAAGTAATTTTTCATTTTCTATGAACATCAGATTTTTGTGTTCCAAAGTTAGCAGCTTATTTTATTGAAAATATTATATATTTTTTTAGATATTCATTTTTTCACATTGCATTAATTTTACATTCATTAAGCTGTCTTTCTCTTTTTTTTTATCTTACTATTGACTCTGATTTGTTTTTCTAAGTATTATAAGCAAAACGATGCAGATGCTGGGCCATTATTATTCATCCAATCAAAAAAACAACTTATATTACCTATTCCTCTTATTGTGGTTTGTACATCTTTAATAATAATGGTGTGTCAAAAACATAACCATAACTCCATAATAAAAATCCAGGGTCGAGGATGATGACATGGCTTTAAATATATTAGAAGTACAAAAGAATTTACTGGAACCAATTACACTGTTGTTTGGAAGAGTGAAAAACTACAATGTAAAATGAACGAGAAATACACTGAGAAAATTCATTAACAAGTCCATTAGTAGACGACATTAAGTGCACAAAAAACGTACACATATATCATCGATTTCCACCTCATCAATGCTCCCTATTTACCTGAAATTGTTTACATTTTTTTTAACAAATAAAATAACTCTCAGGGACACACAAGGCCTTAAATATGCCTTTTTTTTTTTTACAAAGAGGACTCTTCAGTGTCATCTTTTTCACACAGAAAACACAAGTTAATTGCTGCAAATCAACCCCCTAGTTTGCCTTCTTACCTCTACCCGTGTAAGGTGGTTGCATTAAAACCTAAAACATATGAGCCCAAGGCTACACAACAACAAACCTATTCAAAAATAGCCTAAAACTTCATTATCAAAATAAAAACAACAGCTGGAAAACTTAAAATCCACTGTGAGAATGCATTTTCATTAGTGCTCATTGTAAGACATGACAAACAATCTAGTATTGCATAAACGCCGCTGTACTGGAATGCATAGCCCGACATTTTATTAAGCCTGGTGCAGTAATAACATTACTGACACAGACTCTTTGATGTAAATCAAACAAACATGAAACTTAATGTTATCAAAGCCAAAATGACACAGACTTGAACAAGTTATTTTGAGTTCTGTTGTCCATTTTCAGCATTTTGAGTGTCACATTTTTTTGACATGATTTCTACGATGAGCTAGAAACTTGAAGAGATCTATGACAGAGCAGGCGCTGCTTCTCTTTAATCCATCACATTTGATTTTCATGACGCAATCTTACCCCAACTCACTCATCTTGCTGGGTCAGTTCTCTAAGGCACTCCTTCAAGTTTTCCAACCTGATTTCTGGAGCTGGAGTCTTTATTGTCTGCTCTAGCAGCCCCCGCACCTCATCCAGTCCACCCACCTTCGGAGTATTGTGGGGGTACAAGTAACCACCCAGCTGATTAGCATGGCACTCTGGGGAGAGCATGCCACACAGAAAACGTAGGAACATGTCATAATCACCCAGCGGGGAGTTGAAGGTTCGGTCCAAGGCACACTGGACTAGACCTGCTGCAGTTTTGGTCTGATACTTAGATGTGAAGAACTTGGACAACATCCCTGAGTCCAGAACGTTCTTAGATTCTGTGTGGAACATTGCGAAGACGTACAAAGCGGCCATGAACTCCTTGAAGAAAGAAGAAGTATAGTTCTTTTTAAATCATTTCTATCGGATATCCTTGTAGGTGGTTTCTCAATTAAATTCACCGTAAATGGTATTTAACATATTATAATTACAGTAAACAGCCATGTAAAAAAAAGTTTCATGCAATATTGAGGTGTGACCACTGTGAGGTGGAAGGAGTTTTACCTGAAAGGTGAGATGTATAAAGCAGAACGTCCTCCTCTCATTTGAGGTTGCAGCTGGGAGTTCAGTGCACAGGCCGGAGAACACCGTCACCTCCGTCAAATTCAGGCCGTAAACCTTCACGTCCTCTTCAAAGAACACATTGGTTTTCTTCTCCAGCATCTTAAAGGCCATCTTCCCCATCTTTATCAGCAGGTTCTTGTCATCACTGGACCATTTCTAAGAAGGAACAGGACATCAAAATGACAAATTCTGACACTGAAGAGTAGCTATTCATTAGTGTGTCCTAACAACTGCTTCTTTTAGATGAAACTATCCTTTTAAAGTAACACAATACAGTTTAATTCTCATTTTAGTAGACACTGTCGGACAGATGTTGATTCAACTCAGCAGTTCAGCAGTTTGTAAAATTGTTGCATTCAAATGACATAATAATTGCAATGTGAAGGGGGCCGAAAAACACAAGTCCTTTAACATAATTTGGTCTGAACAAACACTGAAAATTATATATATAAAGATATTATTTTTAGATGTATCAAACTGCATCACATGGCACAAGTGTTCATAATATTAAAGCACCCAAATTAAAAGTTAAACTAGGGATTAGTAAATATCTGCTCGTAGAAAATAAATTACAAAATTTGAAGTACATTCTAGTAGCAATGAAGTAATGACTAATGGGTAATGAAAGTGTAATACAGAAAATCTGTGGTCCTATTGCATTCATTTTAGTGTTTTATTTTAGTGCTTGTGAAAAGATAATAGTTACATAGTTAAGAAAATGTCAGTCGTGAGCTGGTTCACTAGGAGTTATAACACAAAAGAACATACTGATGGACATTACCAGGTTATTTTCACACTTTCCATAGTAGAACTGCAGCCTGCGATTGGTCTGGACAATCAAAATGTTGATGTAGAATGGAGTCAGTCTAGGGGGATGTACCCCATAGCCCCGATAACGGTAGCAGCGCTCAAACACTGTTGCCACCATCCAGCAGACAAAGGGCTGTCGAGCAAGCATAATGAGTGTTGGCAAGCGCCTGTAATGTGCAACAATATTCGCTGCGAGCGTTGCATCTCTGAAGCGTCTGGTCAGATAGTCATCTTTCATCTCATCACTGGAGAAAAGAGGGGGAAAAAAAGAGATGAAACTGAACTGAAACAGACTGGTTAAATGGATTTAACTTACCAAATTCTGTTGCTGAACCCATTTCAGCAAATTATTTTAAATAATCAAACATATTTACAGGATGTCATATACATTAAGTATACACAAAAAGCGAAAAACAAAGACACTAATAAGCCATACAAAAAGTAAAAATAAGACATAAAGACATAATCAGACAAGACAGACAAACAGTACATCTACACACACACACACCTAAAGCCCTGTATTTCTGTGACAACATCTATGAATTGAGATGGGATTTGTGAGACAGCAGCCCGTCTCCCCAGGATCCAGATGCGGGCACCACGGAGCACAGTGCCTCGGATGATATTCACAATCAGGACATCAGGCTGTGCTTCGGTGTTATTGTCATTTATTACTGGAGCCTTCTGGAGAGAGAAACCAAAGAAAATATTTGTACAAATATAAGTTTCTGCTCATCATATGTTCAATTCCAAAGCAGTAAGTACATGCTCAAATTATTGTACAAAAATAAGTATCTCTTGATGGTAAATATTTCAAAACAGTAGACTCTGAAATATGGCCACCAAAAAACAATAAAACTGAACTAAATTTGCCTAAATTTGAACTAAATTGTTTTTTGAAGTGTAATCCAATGTGTACTTTTTTCCTTTAACTTTTCAACCAAAACTTTGGGTGACTTTGATTAACACTTGATGAACAATACATAATAATATTTAAATATTAATTTTTGTTTTCAATTATATAATTATATATTATTGCTATTTGGGAGTATAATAATTAAGTAATATGTGAAGATATATAGTATATTCTAAATTATGTTAAATTATCACAGGATTTGTGTATTATATTTGTGTTACACACACACACACACACACACACACACACACACATATATATATAAGTGTATATGTGCACTGATGGATACCTCCCAGTCCAGAGGAGCTTGGTAACAATCAAAGGAGTCCATTATGATGAGAAATTTACAGTCCTCTTCTTCCAAGTATTTCATTTCTTTGCACTCAGGATGATGATAAGCTATCACTTCCATGATGGACATCTTCTGAGAAGGGTTTTTGCTTCGCAGAAACCAGAAAGTGCGGAAGGAAAGCTTGATGACAAACTGCAGATCCTGAACAAAAAAAGCACAGAACACACAGAAAATGAAAACAACAAAAACTTCAGTTGTGATCATTAAATGTGTGAGAGAACCACTCCCACATTTCACCTAGGGCATGCACATGTTACATCAACTTTTCACCTGTAAAATTATCAGTAATTGCACAAATTGATTATAGTAAATTAAGTAAAATATTTTCTCAAAAGTAATGTTAAAACATTTATTTGTGGCCTGGTGTTATTCAATGTATTAAGCATGTTATTAAGCAGGGCTTCCACCCTGTTTGGTTTTGTTGTATTTTGCTTGTCTTTAAATTGTTTTCCTTTTCAGTTATAGTCCAGCCTTGAGCCAGGTTGTGACAAATTGGGGGTTCGTCCGGGATAAAGTAGTTTGGTAAAATAAAGCTTACTCCTGTGGCAATGGGGGTTTGTTACCTAGTATGTAGACATTTGGTGCATTTAGTATGTAGGCATTTAATATGACTACCCTATTTTACTCCATTCGGAGTAGAGTTAGCAGCATACAGTGGGTTAATAAGAGCTTTTTCACCTCAAATCTCACCTTATTGGCACGCAGTTCTGCCCAATCCAGGGAGAATTTCGCCACAGAGACAGACATGCCAATTCCTGGAATCCCAGTGGTCAGCACTGTCCTCACTGGCTTGCCGTCCTCCTTCTGTAGTCGGAACAAATTGTTCACACCAACGAAGGTGTCGGTGCTGGGGAACTGGTGAGTTGAGAGATGGTGTGATTCAACCTCATGGGAAGGGTGAACTCCTCGATACCCACAGGTGGAAATCTGGGGCTCAACGTAGATAATGTCTAGAAGATTCTGCTTCCCGGCTCTAACCACCCCCTCACGGATGACTGTGTGTTTTCTGATCAAATACTCCTTCAGATGAATACGGATCAATGCTGGTGGTGAAGAAAGATAAAAAGGAAGGTAAGAAATCTTTATGTATAATTTAAGCATCTTGCTCAAGGAGGACACTTATCTACATGGGGCCCACATTCTACCACACCTACTACACCTGCCTGTATACAGGAGTGTCATGTTGCTGAACACATTCTCAATCAATCCTAAATGCTATACCTGTGTGCTGACTAATGCAGGAAGCTTGTAATATCATTCCTGTTAAAATGAGAATATCACCAGTATTTGAGTAACATATCCATCAGGGGTGCAACATCCATCGATCATACCTTTCCCATGATGACACATTGTTGGTCTTTTTAGAGCATTAAGTGAACCCTATCCTGCTGAAAGGCTAAAGAGGTAAAAATCCTCCATCTGTTCACTGTATCCTAGTCCTACTTCTTTTTTTAAAGTGTAGGTTAAGTAAGGTTTTAAATCTCATGGTTGACATTTTAATTGTTCCCTTCAAACACCTTTCCGCAGAACAAAAATATCCTCTATTTTGAATATGTTAGAAGCACCATCCAAAAACTTATAAAGAGAGCAGTCTTTGCTCAGTTAAAGAACCTTTTGAGAAAATAATACCCATGGATAATATCAGTTACGTTTTGAAGGTCATAGTACAGAAACTGCTTGTGTTTTCATTACTGCTGTACTATGAACTTTCTTGAAACATGAAACATGAGCAAATTCTAGTAAAGGTTTCAAACAAGCTGTGAACAACCAAGAGATATCTTTTGCAAAAAAAATTACACAGCCACAGGATTCAGATTTCATTCAGACTGAAACCTGTTTCACCGGTATTAACCCATGCCAAATGTTCACTTACCTCTCTTGCACTGATTCCGTAGTTCATCTGCCTCTGCTTGCTTGCCAACACTTTCTAGAGTACTTATTGTGTGCATCAGGGATCGATCCTGGCCTGCACAACAGAGTTTTAATAAAAAACAAAAACAGTAAGCAATCAGTGAAAGGCTCCTTGTTTTCATTAACAAAACTGTTTGTGTTTGTGGTTGATGAAACAATAACTGGAAAATTAAGTAGATTTCAAATGTACAACTGTCTTCCAGATAAGTGTTTAAAAAAAAAAAGAGCTCACTTCACATAGAAAACAGTCAAACTCCGCTTCTCTAAATTTGAAACTCTATTTGTACCGTTCACACTGTGTGTACTTTCGCCTTGCATTCTTACCAAGGATCTCCAGGATCTTGTCCACAAAATCAAGAACGTCTCCTTCCATTACTTGTTGCTTGGTTATGCCTTTTTCCCATTGTAGAAACCACAACTTAAATTTGTACAGCTCATCCACAGTGAAGCCTGTCAGACTACTCTGGATACTCTATAGACAGAGAATAAATAATGAAAATACAAGTTAAAACATATTGCCTTAGATTCCCTGTGGGCCAGATATTGACAAGATTAAACTTTTTTTTAATTATTTATGAAAAACTGATTTGTTAGTTTTGCATTTTTAATGCAACAAATGAAGATTGTGAAGATTTTTTTTTTTTTTTTTTTTTTTTACAAATACACTAGACATCAATTGGTAAATGTTCTATTATTGGGATGTATCATAATCACTATCATTGTTATTTATAAAGTTAAAATGCATCATAAGTATCAAAAACAACAACTGTGAAAAAAAAAGAAAAGACAGCAGTGCAGATTATCATGCCTTAAATATATAGGGCAAGTCTTGTTCTGAGTGTAGTCTGCCTGGCTGGCTGTTCTCATCAGTCTGTATTGTGTCATCTGGTTCAACAGGTTCAGGTGGCTCTGGAGAATTAGTTATCAAAACTTCATCCATGTCCTCCTCATGGTCTTCTTCATAATCCCCCAGATCAGAAGACCTGAGAGACAATGGGATGGGAACCCCAGGGTTAAGGTCAAAAACTGCACAGCAAACACTGTCCACTGATCATAATTATGTTTAACTGCATTTTATCTCAAACAGAAATCACAAATACAAGTATACACTTGTATACATGAATAAACCATATATTGCATACTTTAAATGTTTGTCAGTATAAGTTTTAAAATACAATCAATCCATTTAAATAAAGTCATTCAAATCCTTTTTAAATTGAACTTTTCACGAAAAATACACATGACTGACATGAAACTATGGTCTTGTGGTTTGACTAAGACACACAAAGTTTTTTTGTCACATATTTGCATATTTTCCTGTCAAATTTCTGGCAAGTGACACATTTTTAAACAATGGAAAGATTTCCACAAATTTTACAACTACATATTGCAATATACTGACAATTATTACATTAATGTAAATAAACAGGGAAGTATATTAAATTACATTACATTTACTCATTTGACAGACGTCAGTTGTGTTTAAATTTTCTGATGCACAAGAAAAAGTAGCTATTGCTTGCCTTCACTACACATTTTACAGATCTACAGAGGGTGAGTGTTTGAGTGTGTGTCCTTCACCTGGTGTCAATGACAGCAGCTTCTGGTGGTTGTTGCTGTGTTGTCATAGTGTAGAGGGTCTCTGGAGACTCTGAGCGAATCAGCTGAAACCTGGCAAGAATTAACATGAGTCATACATACTGTATGAGCATTTCAACCTCATATTAGTCATTTCAGAGCCACTAAAAGTTCCACTGCTTTGTAACACTGTGCACTCAGATGTTGGGTGTAAATAGCCAGCCATTAGGTTTTACTGTAAAGAAGTAAAATAGAATATTAGCATTTACAAGTTGATCCTACTCTTAAACCAGATGGAACTGGATGAAGTTCCAAAAACATCAGCACTTAAAGGGGCTGGTCATGAAGCTGTCTGATGTGACAGGGAAATCAACATTAACCCCAATGTCCTTGATTATGAGCTAACTTCACATTTTCAGCTATGCAACTCTATGAGATCATGAAAAACACATTTAGTTGTTTTATCTTGGATATAAAGTTGGGTGATCAAATTTTACTGTTCAGTAAATGTAGAAGATAATCTTGAAAGTTTGAATATGGAAAGAAGCCCCTAGTATTATGTTCATCTTCTTAGTAAGACTGATTAAAGGCACTCCACTTAAGTCTCTGCAAACTGACATGCAGACTATACTAAAATTAACCCAAACCAAGGAGAGCCTGGATGGTAAGAAATCAAACTTGTGCGTTGGAATTTTTTGAAACATTTGGCACTTTTTAAAAAGCACAACACCGGCTCAGGTACAGGGTTAAACTGACCAGGGTACAGATCACAGCGAAAAATTTAAATTAGTAGTAATGTGAGGTTTATGCTATTTGTAGTAAAATGGCCAAAAGACACAAATGCATTAGGACGATGCTCAAAAATCAAACAAAGACAGTACCCTGTCGCCTCATGAGCATTCAATTCAGTTAGTACAGCAAACATTTCTTCATTTCCTTTGTTCTCCTCCTCGTCCCTCTTCTCTTCCTCCTCCTTGTCCCCCTCCTCTTCCTCCTCCATCTCTTCACTGTCACTTTTCATTGAACCATAGCTGGAGGGTGGCCTCTTCATCTTCTTCGTCTCCCTGTCAGTCCCCTGCTTTAAGATGCTGAGGGGACGAAAAAAGGTGAAGAAATCAGGACAATGTGTATTAAGTATTAAAAGTACTCAATGCAGAACAATGGCCACTATGACTGATATAATATCATGCTTTGTATCATTAGGTTATTATTAATCATTATAATATAAAAACAAAATTTTCCTGTTGGAGTTGGTTGAGGTGGATGTAATTTTTAACTTTTTTGTATAAGGTTATAACTAATGATTATTTTCATTATGGACAACTGCTGGTTACTTTTCAGATGATTCACAGATTGTTTGGTTTGAAAAATTCTGGAAATAGATGAGTTACATCTTCACCATGCTTGTTTTGTCAATTTAATAGTCTAAATCTGAAAATTATATTTAGAAAAGTTAAAATTAGTAAGGAAAATCAGCAAATCAGCAAATTTGTGAAGTTTGAACCATGAAATGTTTAACATGTTGGCATAAAAAAAAAAGATAAAACAATTATCAAAATAGTTACCTCTCAATCGACTAATCGTTTCAGGTGTATTTGCATAGACAGTTGGATAGTTTTAATTTATCATGAAGCATTTTATAAGTTTTTTATATGGTAAGCATTTTAAATTTACAACGTAGCTAACAATGAACTCTTGTCAAATTAATGTGGCGTAAAAAGTTCAATATTTCGCTCTGAAATGTGCAAGTAGGGAGTTACAAGAAAATACTCTAATGCAAATTTGTTGTAAGGGTAGGTTCCAACCATTGGTTAGTAACCGGCTACTAATACAACAAATGACTTCGAAAGCTAACGTGACTCAACGTTTATAGATTAAAGTATTGTAACTTGTCATGTAAAGAAAGGAACAAAATACGTCGTTAAATGACACAGCACTAAAATGGCAGGTAAACTCATGTCCGGCGACAAAAACCTTTTCGACAACACACACCTTTCCACTTCAGTGTCTGGGTCCATATCTCCAGTCGTAATAGACTCACACACCTCAGCAGTAGAAGGAATTTTAGTCGACTAAATGTTATTTAACGAAATAACTTTTCCATCCACAAAATGACTCCCCCGTGCTGACATTACTTTAGCATACACGCTGACGCTCTCCACTGTTACAGTTATGCTAACATTAATACTTGAGAAAACATAGTGGAAATTTTAAGACATAGAGGCGTTAGAAATGAACGTCTCCGAGCAAATAATCTATATAAAAAAGAAACTAAAAAACTATATGTTCAGTTCACCGGTCGTCCGCTTTTAGTCTTATTGCGCCATGTCTACTCAGCTCTAACTTTCGGTTTCGAGGGGAGGGTTTTTCCGGCAGCAACAACTGTACGACTTCCGGACCACATCCTTCAAAATAAAAGCATAATCTCCACATGCGTCTAAATTAACACCCACAAGCAGTCGATACAAATTATGTATCAAAATACTTATCCTGACGTTAATATTATCATGTCATTTGTACGTGTGTATGAAATAAACACCATGAATTCATAATCAGCCATACTGTACAACTGAAACTTGCTGAGCCTGAATTGTTCAAATGTAAAATTGGTGGTGACACAATTACTTCACTGCAATATTGTCCCCTTTGACTTTAATGCACAAATAAGATGTTAAATTACTTGTCTTGTCAATCACATACTAAAGTCACCATTGTCCAATATGTATTTTTTTTTTTCTGTTGCAAATGTAAAGACTGTGAGGGGAAATGGTTTAGGCCAAGAGTGTGTAGATATACACATACTGTATATATTTTGTGCACTAACTGTACATACATATTCATTTATGAAATGCCCTGACTGGCTACATTATAAATCCATCATTTAGCCAATCGGTAGTCTGTGGTTGATTTATTGTACATGACTGCATGGATATACATTCAGTTGACAGTTTTAGGTACACCTAGGTACACTTAAAACTAATGTAGTCTAATACAGCAGTCCTGCAATAAATCCTCCCGTCATGAAGGTTATGGTGTTGAGGTTTTGTTTAAACTTTTCTAGAGGTGTTGATTCAACTTTATGATCACTCTGGAGGATGTAGTTTGTGCTGCTGTTGCACCATATTGCATTATAGAGAGAAGTGTTTCTGTTATTTAGGCTACCCTCATCAATACAAATAGGGTGGACAAACTTGTTAGTGACTGAATATTATGACCTTCATGAAGGTTATTGCAGGACTGCTGTATTAGACTACATTAGTTTTAGCTAGATGTACCTTTTAAACTAACAACTGAGTGTACTTTAAAACCACAAAATTACCCTGCTTTTATTCTGAAGGGCATAGCAATAAAATCCAAACCACGATACCAGGAAGTCAAGTCAGCAGCACTGATTGGTGCTTTGTGGAATCACAAAGGTGACTCTTTTATATGTTCTCAAACAGCCAAGCAGGTGCAGTTAAAGCATGTTTAAATAATCATGAACTATAACAAAAACATGAATGACTGAATTTAAACTGACGTGTTCATGGAAAAACGCTGGACTTCAGTGCCTCCATTTTCCCCCATTTATAACATGTTGATACACACAATTTTGTATTTGAGACAATGGAGTCCAATTTTGTTGACAATTCCCAGTAGATCTTGGGATCTTTACAGCACTGCCTTAGCATTTTTTTCCTGTCAATCAGAGTCAGGATCACGTAAACTGGGCTTACATGATTTGTCAGTGCCTTTCAAATTGGACTTCCTATATATTAAATTCTTTAATTAAAAAGGCAACTCATTCTACCAACTGGGCAACAAGGACCAAACACAAATGAATGAGCTGACAGAATGAGCCTCCTCACTTAAAACACTTATTACATTGGTAGCTGATCCTGTGAGCAGCTCAAATAGTCAAAATTAAGCATATTACTTGGCTGAAGATGCTGAAGCTCATCAGAGAAGCAACCATGAGTACCATAATAATTTGACTAGTAGAGCTAGCTGTGGGATAGTACGCACAGGGTGATAGGCTGTCAAAAGCAATCCATGTCATTATCAATTATATTTTCAGAATATTTTGATGCTATGAAAGATATGTCATAAAATATGACCCTGCCTCAAACGTGAGGCAAATCTCTCTTTCAATATTACCTGGACCACCCATGGGCTGCACTCAGACTATCTGAGAATTGTAAGGACTCGACAAGCAGGCTTTTCCTCAATGTGTCATGTAAATGTTTATTAAGAAACATGTAAATATAATTACAGAAAAAATCAAAAAAATTAAAAAAAAATCAAACAAAGACAAGCTTTAAAGATTTTTTAAAAAATCCTGAAGGACAACAACAAAAAATAAGGAAGTATGATCAAGTAGAACTGTCCTCACACCTTCATCTTCCTCATTATCATCTGTGGGATTTAAAAGGAAAAAGAATTGATTAAACTAAAGCTCACAGAGAAACACATTGAAATACAACATGATTTTGACATTCAGTAAAAGCTGAAATTGTAAGGATTTGTTGTTAGTGTTAACTTGAGGAAAATATGTGGACACCCCTTCCTTTAAGTTGATGCATAAAAGAAACACACTGTGAGTTAACATTCTATGAAGTGAGAACCCTCAACCATCCTTTAAAAAATACCCTCATAAGAACCAAATCCCCATGAACTAAATTAAAATTTCATTTATTAACCTTTTACGACTTCCAGCAAGGTTTTTCTTCATTTACAGACACAGACTTCTGAAAACAGTGTTCAAATTCATCAATTACTGAGATGCAATGACTGAACACATATTCCAGGCAAATTCTTTAACTAATAGTAACCTCAGTAGTAGCTCCACTAACTGTGGACACAAAAATTATCAAGTATAATCAACACCTCTAACCAAGTGTCAACAAAAGTTAATAATTACACAATTCTTCAGCTTTAGACTTGATTTTAAGATGTTAATGATTTCATTTAAAGTTGTTAATGGTTTAGCTCCTAGCTATACTTGTGAATTGCTGATCCCCTACAAGCCACATTATTATCATTATTAGTATTTATAATACAGTGAAAATGAACCAGTAAAACAGCAAAGTAAATAGTGCAGGTTTGAAAACATTCAAATAAGGTTTTGGTAATCTTTTGAGGTAAAAATGTGAGAAATACTGAATGTACATTTCAAATGTGGGTGTGCACCATTTCAATTTAGCAAACAAAACAGCACAAGCTGCTTACAACTTGAATGGACAGCGCTGTGCGACAGGTGAACAAACCATATTTATCAAAAGAGTTGTAAGTAATCCAGACTATTAACATATCTCATATGGCTCATTGTGGCTGAATACCAAATGAGAAAGTTAATGAACTGTCTCTACCAACAAAAATAAAAAGCTGTAAAAAAAAAAAAAAAAAAAAAAAAAAAAAAACTCAGTATCTCCACTACCTGCTGCTGTTTGACTGTCAGCTGATAAAAATTCTCCATCATACCCACTGCCTCATATGCCACCTGCACTCCATCTAAGCAGCGGTTCCTACCCTTGCCAATACATAACAAGCTGCATGTTGGGATGGGCAGATCAAGTTCAATCAAAAAACTCAAAAACCAAAGAATTAGTTAAAAATGATTATTCAATTGTGCCCTGTAAACCCTGAATGGATTGTCTCTGTGTGTTTACCTTGCGAGCACTAGCAGTCAGTCCAGGAGACTTTGCAGTCCTGCTGGTGGTTTGTGGAGATTTCTGTCCTTTAGTAACTCTGCCTGCTCGTCCCACTCTAGTGTGAGGATTTCCTGAAGGTATGTTTTCTTGGTACTTGCGCGCACTTTTCTGAGCAGGCGACTTTGAACTTTTTCCTGGGGATTTTCTGGTGGAGCTGCGTAGTTTGTTCAGCCCCTTCTTCAGGTAGTTGTTGGCTTTAGGGGTGTTCTCAACAGTGAACATCATAGACTGCCTCCGCTCAGCCTGAGAGAATAACACAAGAAAAACTGTTGCATGAAAAAAAAAAATCATATGTACAATTGAGGAAACTTATCAATCCACCAGTCAATTCTAGACGTGTGTGTGTGTGTGTGTGTGTGTGTGTGTGTGTGTGTGTGTGTGTGTGTGTGTGTGTGTTCCTGTGCACTATATATTACACTCACTGGACTGAGGGCAGGGTGAAGCTGAGATCTGGAAGGACCACTGTTCACATTCTTGTTTTTGGGGGTTAGGGGGAAGCAGCTGGCCTTCATCTTTTTCTGTCAAATTGAGATAAAAACAAACAGGGTTAACAGTAAGTATCAGAAAACAGTAAATTCTGAACTCTAAACCTCTAAAGCAATTACATTATACATAGCTGTAAATTAAAGCAAAATGTACCTAAGAAAAACATTTATGTTGAAGGAAAAACAATCAAATACAAGGAAAACATTATGTTACAGAAGATGTAACAAATATGTGTGTGAATATTAATAAAACAAACCTCAGGCGAAGTGTTATGTACAGACAATGTAGATGAAGACCGCTTTGTGCCTTTCGGGCTTCTCAGCTGAGAGGAGCTGATTGTCTTTGATGGCAGCTGGCCGGGCATCAAGGACAGACGAGAACGAGTATTGGCTGCAGCACCTGACGGTCCCATCATGAGAGAGTGCCGGTGGGAAACGAGAGAGTCTTGCAGCTGCCCAGGCATCATGGACGCCCGACGGATTGTGTCAGATGGGTCACCTGTACGTAGTTCTTCATCTGTGAAAATGAATGCACCGCCACGGCCAGTCTAGAGGAACAGACAGGGAGGGATTACATGAAACTACTGGGAAAAGAATGAAGGGCACAAAGTGCAACAAAAATACTGTAATATTTAAAGCTGCCATCTTAATTATTCAGCATGTTCAAACCGGCCACTCGAAAAGTCAGCTGCTATAACCACTGGTCAGCGTTGTGGGTAGTAGTCTAGGTAATATGATTTTAGCCAGTATCACCAGATTTACAGTAGTAAATGAGCAACTGTATGCCTGGTGTGTTTACTGTGTGTCCAAGTGTCCTTCTCTCCTCACCTCAGACTCCACAGGGTAGCTGCTCTTTAGATGAGGAAGACAGGCCTTATTCCTGCTCTGGAGCTCAGCAATCCTCATCCAATCTTCAGGCGCTCCCTCTGGCTCATTCTCTGCCCCCACACAAAATGTACTAGTGGCTGAAGATAGACAGATGTAGAAAAAAGTTACATACACATCTTTGAAAAATCTCAGTTCTTGACTACTGTAACTGTATACTGATCAGTTACCATTAATCAATAACTAGTTTGAGCTGCATTCCTAAACACTGATGATTTAAATCATTAATTGGGAAGCACCAGAGTTGACTCTCTGTCTATCTGTAATAGAACCGTGATTGAAATGTAAGGCATTGCAATGCAGTCATCACGGTCAGGTGACATGGTTTGCTGCTCCAGTGCTGAAGTGCTAATTCAGCTAAACTACTCTTAGTGTACTCTTACATTTGTACTACCTCCTCTACTGTCATACCGGGTAACTGACTCTTTGGCTGTGAGGAAATGTAATGTTTTCACATCATCGTCTTATAGGTAAGACACAAGAACCATGCAGGCTGTTACAAGAGTCAAGCGTGAGGCAGCTTCTGTGGACGAGTTGCATTGTACTTTAAGTGGGGGAAGGCAGTGAATAATACTATTCTCATAATCATAGGTAAGGTGTATTGAAGAAAAAAAAACATCACAAATAATGTTGAATGCTTATAAGACCATGGCAATTTAAAATGCAGATCATAAAATGCACCATTGTGGCCTGTTAATATGGATAACCCAGGTTTCTAATGACATTCATGTTTCTTGAAGTAAAGTGGAGCTGTAAACAACAACCAGTTATCCGGGCTTCAGGATATGAAGCATTTTCAGACAACTTCCTGATAGAACTACAAAGATTAGTCAATTAACTGATAGAAAGAAATTTAATCAGCAATCAGCACTACCTATTAGGAAGAAATGCCAAACATGTGATGGTCCCAAGTTCCCAAATGTATTTGAAAATTTATTTGAAAAGCATTTTCTTCTTGTCTTGGTCTTATACATTATAGTAAATTGAATATCATCAACGATAATGATTAATTGCAGGCCTAAATCTATATTAACCACATGCAGTTGAGAAAGATAAATGAAATGTAACCGTTTTCCCTTGTGGATTCCTGCCCTGCATACTGTTTTGTTTTTTTCCCCAGCCTGACCTCTCAATTTTTCACCTTTCCACACAACCTCCTGTGAGTCAACCAAATATCTACTTACTCTGTGAATTGATTGTGCTCCGTCTGAACCCTGGAAGACCAATGAGTTGATCGCTGGCAGCTCCCGTCATTCTGGCAGGTGTGTCAAACAGCTCCATAGACACGGGTCGTGCAGAGTGAGCACTGGAGAGGTTTGGGTGGGAGCGAGCTGAGACCAGACTGTAGAAAGTGTCATCACCTTCATTGCAGCCTGGGGTTTTCTACGGATCAGAGTTAAACAAACAGTCACTTATGGCTACAGTGATAATGCAGTGAGAGTGTGGGGATGTTTTTGAAAGGACATCTTAAAAGATTCAGAGTTTGCATTTTTACACCCCTGCAGTGCTCATTAAAAAAAAGGTAAAACAACATCTTTGTCAAAGATAAGTATTTTAAACAAATAAAGAAAAAGAGTTACAAAGCCAAACAATTATGTGCAGCTGAACCCTCAAGATCCACAAAGTTTTCCAACTTCATTGGCATAAAGACTACATTTCAGAAAAATTGAGAATCACTATGATTATTAAAATGTACAGTGATTGTTCAAAGTCTTCAGCAGTGTGTGTGCAATACTATGAACATGCTGAACATGCAGTGTGCAGGTAAGTTTCCGCCACCTTGGTCAGAGTGATGTTTATAACCTGCGTGGTCCTGCGCCGTTTGACAGATGAACTTGGATTGTTCCGGGCTGAATCCAGTTCCATTTTGTTGTCTGTACTGGTCCTAGGTGATGAAAAGGAAAACAATAGTTAATACCAAGTATGGTAGAAAAAAATGTGATTGTGGTTCCACTAAATTCAGAATATTGTTTGTATAAGGAAGAATGAATTACCTGTGCAAATTTAAAAAAAAAAAAAAAAATGCTAAATATTACCCAATAATGACCTCTAGAGGAGCTTAAGTAACTATTTGTTGCTGCATGTGGTTCAACATATGAAGCCTAGAGTCAGGACAACTATTTTCATTTGGGTTGGCTAGACTGAAATTTATTTTAAATAACTGTAAATGATATCATAAGAGTTCCATCCATTTTACTTCCATTTTCAAGTGATATGATGTTATTCTTATCAGATATATGATTAGAAATGGAAACACGGATAACATACTCAGGCCAAATAAAAGAATTTAAAATGGTCTTGAAGAGCATTGCTTTGCAATCATACTGGTGTTTAGGCTAGATGACAGGGAACTTCAAACATACAGTATTATACTTTTTTATACTACGTAAAAAAACTGACTGGACTGATTTTGACTAAAATCCTAAAATCTCACAGGAATACAACAAGAAAAGCAGCTGAACTTTCCAAAATACATGTTGACAAAATAATGTAGGGCACTGAATGCATTTGCAATTCAAAGACGCCACAATTTTAACAACTCTGTGACATACCTGTTAATCTGTCTAGTGTTTATTGGTGTGAAATACAGTGTTTCCAATGAATCCGCCTGTAGACCCCGACGTTTGGCTGCCAAGCGCTCTGAACTGCGAACAAGTGGTGTGCTTGATTCATCAGGTGCTGAAAGTTTCCTGCAAAAGGTAAGGAACAGTGTTGTGCAATGTGAGAAATCACAACAAATTACCACTATGCCTCTAATGTAAGATTTTATTGCTCCTCTGCTTTTCCCAGGTTTTGTTTCTTCCATGTTCATATTGTTGGTGCAGGAAAAAGGGCAGGCTAAAAAGCCAACTTTCAGAGATGTCTTTGGAACAATGGGCATTCCTTGAAAACTAACACCAACCCTACCCAAAGGTCAAGTCATTATAAATCAATATAAAATTCTAAAAACTCACACAGGTGAAAAGCAGGCACTAGATTAGCTTGAAATTGAGTTTTTAAAAAAATATATTTTAATATTTAAAAATATTCAATTCGAACAATTTTGGGTGAAAAACTATTGAGAAATGTGAATGCTTTGAGCAGTTTTAAACCACAAAGCAGCTCTTTAGAGGATTGGTGGACCTGTAATATGTTTCTATACATTTAAAAAAAGAACTAATAAAACAGAAATGGCTGGATTTCATGAAACTGTACAGAATTCTATGGTCCTTTTTCATTCTACTTATCTGGGAGGAAAATTACCTTGTGTTGTTCAAAGAGTCTTCCAGAGAGCTCTGGTCCAGGCTATCAGAGCTCATAGTCCTCTTCACCCTCATCTGAATACTTGAGCGTGTGTTGGGAATGTCCAAGTGACACAAGTCTGTTGCACTTCCTTCATTACTATGAATCTTATTCTGTACCCGCAGGATATGGTCAGCATTGGCCAGCTAAAAGGTGGACAAATGTAGTGAGAAATCAGGGTTAAAAGTGTGGAAAATGCCCTAAATCCTTGAACTCAGAAGGTTTCCTTCTTTTTACAATAGCTGAACAGTGTTGCAGTTTAATATTTCTGAGAGTGTGTACTCATGCTCACTCCTTTCAATTCTCTTCAAAATACAATACCAACCTGCGCCTTCAAATTGGCCACTGTGTTCAAAAGTTTTTTCTCACTGGTTTGGGCCTTCTCCAAATCCCGTTGAAGTAGCTTATTCTCCGTGGTAATAGCGTTTACTTCACTCTCTTTAACTTCTAAGGAATGCTTGAGTTCAGCCACCTCCTGTTGGCTTCCCTGGAGAAGCTGCTTCTTGGCATTGTAATGACTCATTGCTTTCTCCATCTGTGGCATTGCAATGATAAAACAATTATCTTAACATCAGTGTTTCGTTCCAGACTGCTCATAAGATAGCAAACAGATCAATCAACCATCAATATACATGACAGTGTGATACAGGAACAAAACTAATTGATGTCACTGGTCAATAAGAAACAGGAAGAAATTAAAAAATGCTCAAATAACTTTTGACTGAAAAAATGAAATGTACACAGAGATATGTGTGAATATGGATTGTTTTGTGATTTGTGGTTACACAAACCTGTCCCTTGTAGTGTTCTGCTGCCTCTGATTTAGATGAGAGCTGTTGCTGTAGGTCTCTCTTCAGCATCTCAATTTCTTCAGTTTTTTCATTCTCTTTCAAGATTTTCTCCTTCTCTCTTTCTCTCTTCAATGTTTTCAGTTCCTGCTTTAGCACAGATTCCAGTTTACAGGAGGCTGTGTTCTCTCTCTCTATGGCCTGCTTGGCTTGAGCAAGTCTCTCCTTCTCAAGGGCCATGTCTTCAAGCTGTTTTTCGAGAGATTTCTGACCCTTTTCCGCCTGATGTATCCTGGCCATGAGTACCTCTTTTTCCTGAACAAGAGCCTCTTTTTCCCTAAGAGTGACAACCTGCAGCTCGTGCACATCCTCTTTCAGTCTGAGCTCTGCAGCATGTCTCTCTTTGTGTTGGTTCAGCTCTGCATTTACTGAGACGAGCTGCTGCTGGAGGAGGTCTATCTGCTCAGTGGACTCCTGTCGAGTTTTAAATAACATCTGCTCCTTAGCCAGAAGTTTCAGAGATATGTTATTCACTTCCCCTTTCAGATCCTGGATCTCATGTTGAAGAACATCTGTCTGTTTGGAGCTCTCCTCCTTTATCTCAGCCAGAATTTTCTCATTGGCTTCAGCTTCCTCTTTAGCCTTTTGTACCAAGTAAGCTTGGGCAGTGACCTCCTCTCTGAGAATGTCGAGATTTTGGTCTTTATCAGCTATGAGTGTGTTGACAGCAGACAACTCTGTCTGGAAGATCTGAAGCTTCTCTTCAGCCTTGAAGAGGAGGCTTTCTTTGTTACTCTGAGATTCTTTGAGTTTTTGAATCTCTTCTTCACATTGAGTCAACACATCTTCCTTGGACTGCATATCTTCCTCAGCCTTCCTCAGTGAGGAACCAAGAGTCTCCACCTGTTCCTTCAAACCTTGGAGTTCTTGATTTAGCAAATCCGACTGCTCTGAGCTGTCAGTCCTCAGCAGTATCATCTGTTCCTCTTTAGCTTGGATTTCCTCCCTCATGCTCCTGACCTGATCCTCAGAATGAGACAGCTGTTGCTGCAGAAGCTCCTTCTGTTGAGCACTCTCCTGTTCCTGCTTGTTAAGCATAACTAGCTGGGTCTGAACCTTCTCCTCAGCCTTTGTGAGAGAGTCAACCATGTTATCTAGTTGGTTTTTTAGACATCTGATCTCTTGCTGTAGCATGTCAGAATGTGAGGAGCCCTCTTTCTTTAGTGTGACTAGTTGTTCCTCTTTAGCCTGGATGTGTTCCCTAAGCCCTTTCATCTCCTCCTCAGTTTTTGTCAGCATGTTTTGATGTGTATCCTTTTCCTGAGAAATCTCCAATTCTTTTTGAATCAGCAGATTTTCTTTAGCCTGAACCTGCTCTGTTGCAGCCTTCAGTGATTCACCCAAACTTTCCACTTGATTCTTTAGATTCTGGATCTCATTTTGTAGCACTTCTGACTCCTTGCAGTTCTCAACCTTTAATATGTCTACCTCATGTTCTTTAGTTTGGATCTCCTCCCTCAGCCGATTTAACTCCTTTTCAAGGACTGCACTGTGATTTCTAAGTGCCTCAATCTCCAAAGTGCTTTCCTGCTCCTGCTTGGAAATCAAATATTCTTTAGCTTGAACCTGGTCTTTGGCGACATCAAGAGAATTGCTCATGCTTTGTATTTGTTTATTCAGGCCCTCAATCTCCTGCTGTAGCAATTCAGAGTCTGCAGAAGTCTCAGTCTTTAGCTGAACCAACCGTTCCTCCTTGGCATGAATCTCTGCGTTTAGCTTCTTCACCTCATCTTCAGACACAACTAACTGCGCCTGGAGTGCCTCCATCTGCTCAGTGTTCTGCAATTGCTGTTTGGCAAACAGATTTTCCTGTGATTGCAAATTGTCCTCAGCAGACCTCAGTGAGGAACTAAGACACTCCACTTGTTTCTTTAAATCACAGATCTCTTGATGAAGCAGTTCTGACTGCTCTGAACTTTGATTTTTTAACACATTCATTTGTTCTTCTTTAGCTTGGATCTCCTCCTTCATGCTCCTTACCCTGTCTTCAGAAGCAGACAGTTTTTGGTCCAACAGCTCCTTCTTTTGAGCACTCTCCTGCTCCTGCTTTTTAAGCATAACTAGCTGGGTGTGAACTTGATCCTCAGCCTTTCTGAGAGAGTCATTCAGACTTTCTACTTGGCCTTTTAGACCTTTAATCTCTTGCTCCAGCAATTCAGCCTGTTGAGAACTCTCATTCTTTAGCATAACAAGCTGCTCATTTTTGACCTGTATCTCTGCATTTAGCTTCTGAACCTCCTCTTCACAGGTTGTGACCTGCTGTTGGAGTCCTTCCCTTTGCTGGATATTCTCTTGTTGGGTTTTAGCCAGTAAATCTTGCTTAAGTTGAATTTCCTGCTCAGCCTGTTTGAGAGATGAGTTAAGGTCTTCCACTTGGACCGTTAAGGTTTGGATTTTGTCATTTAGGATTTCTTGCTCATTAGACTTCTCCAGAAGTAATTTGGCAAGCATTTTCTCTTTTGCTTGAATTTCACCTTTGACTTTTTTGGTTTCATCTGTAAGAACAACAGCTTCTTCTTTGAGACTGTTAATTTGTTGGTCTTTGTCAGCCAAGAGAGAACTGGCAGCAGATAACTTTGTCTCAAGATCTTTCACCTTTTCATCAGTCTCTCGGAGAAGGTCTTCCTTCTCTTTCTTAGTTTCTTTTAGTTTTTCAATTTCTTGTTCACAAGCAGCAATATGGTGCTGTAGTCTGGCCATCTGCTCAGTTTTCTGCTGTTCAACTTGCTCAAGTTGAAGCTTGAGATTCTGGATCTCTTGTTGAAGGACTGCTCTCTGCTCAGTGATTTCCTTTTGCAACTTTTCCAAAATTTCATCCTTGGCTTGAATTATTTCTTCAGTGTGGCATTTCTGTTGCTTCATGAGTTCTTTCTGTTGAATAATTTCTTGTTGGTACTCTGCTAGCTGATCTGTTTTGGCCTGAATATCCCCCTCTGCCTTTTTCAGAGAGAAAAATGTACTCTCCAGTTCATTCTTCAAACTGCTGATCTCAGTCTCCAACAGTCTCTGGCAATTTAAGAAAATAAGTTAGTAACCATCTAATCCAAAATGGATTTTAAAAATTTGAGAAAAATGCAGACTATGCACTTTATTATATAATGTTATCTTTTACATAGAAGTGTGCACTTTACCTCCATTACAGGCCCCATATTCTCTCCTACTTCTTCCTTAGTGGCCCTGCTTATTTCATCCTCCAAACAGGAAATCTTTCCCTGGAGGATCTGAATCTGTTCAGTCAGGAGCTCCTGAGAAACAAAGAGTATAGCATAGTGCATTATATCCCCTTTGTGTAGATAGAACCCAGTTTCTCCGTTCAGTTTTAGCCTATGAAGGTCAAATTGATGTCAACCTGACAGACCAATAGAACAAGGGTACTAGGATGTCCCTGCACATTAATGATTGTTTGATTAATGATCTACGAGTTGTTATTACATGTTAAGTGACACATTTTGTAGTGTTTTTATATACCCAACATTTAAACTATAACATAATATTGTTATGTAACATAATTATTGATTTGAATCCTTAGAAACACATACGATACCTTTTGAGCATTAGCTTGGTTGAGCTCAGACTGTAGGTCGCTTGTTTTGCTTGTCCACTCCTCCTGAACTGATGCTTGGGTTTCTGTCAGCCTGCCAACTTCTGCCTCAAAGATGGCCAGCTTTGAACAGACTGCCCTCATCTGAGAAAATATGGGGAAAGCGTTTATAGTCTGTTCTCAGTGAAAGCTTTGATATCAACATTCCAAGTAATGTGAAAGGGTTGCCACTAGTGAGACTTGACACCACCATCATCCGCATGTTAGCTTCAAGATAAGTTTGCTCATGTGGATATTTTCAAGGATGTAAGACTTATATGACTGTTATTGACTGCAAATCCCATAAGATAGAAGTCAAAGATTCTTTTACAGCAAGAGAAACTTTGCAAGTGTCATTACCTGGGAGGAAAGTACACCATTTTCTTCTGTCAGTTCATCCACTTTACGCTCCATAAGTGAGGATGTACTTTTGAGGTCTTTATTTTGCTTTAACATTTCATTAAGATGTATTTGTAACCTAAGACCAAAAAAAAAAAAAAACAGCAAAGCAGTTTATTCACTTTTCCACCAAAGTCTTAGTGTTTCAGACATGTTTAGGTATGTATTAAATATTTTCTTCCGCATACAAAATGTGAGACTTGTTACAAATTATTATTTGCAATAAGTGTTGTTATCATTGTCATGCATTAATAAAATGCATGACAATGCACTTACAGTTAAAAAAAAAATCTATATTTCAAAAATTGACTTAGCTCTGTCCTGCGCACTTACGTGTTGCTCTTGGTCTCGAGATCATTGATTTGTTCCCTGGTAACCTGCTCCCTGTCACCTTGATCTTCTTTCAGCTTATCCAAGCGGTACTGCAACTGGTTAATGTGACACTCTGAAGAAAACAATTACATCTAGTTAACTACAGTAGAACTTTTACAGAACACCCAAAGTTTGTTAAACATTAGATGTCAATGAATCAAATCAAATTGTGAATCATACACAAACATTTCGATGTTGTACCATTCTGTGCAAGGAGCGCAGTCTTGCTGATCAGCTCTCTCTCCAACCCATCTCTGTAGTCTCTCTCTTTGACCATCTGTCGTTGCATCTTTCTCAACTGAAATTTAGGGGTGTTCATAATATCCTGCAAAGGAGATTTACTGTGGGAATAAAAGCAGACAGACAAAGTAAAGATTTATAATGAAAATGCTAACATCCCATGGACCTTGGATAAGGAATGACTGACATAAGGCATGTGTATTAGTCTTAATGATGATATTGATGATATGCTGTTTTGTTATGGTGTGAAATCAAAGATCTTAGTTACTACAAGTTTAGCTAAGCTTGGTGGATTAAGCTGCTCATGCTGATAAAAAGCCTAACTACGGGTTTTCATGAAAATGAACACAAACAAAGCTGTTTTCTATTATTGACAAGCATGTGCATGATCACAAAACATTATTTCAAGAAACTGTGGTTTGTATTATTGTAAATGATCTTAATCACATTTGATTAATATGTTGAGCACTATGCTGGATAAATTCAAATCCACACTGATACCTGACTGAGGAAGAAGCCACAGTTTGCATGTCCACAAATGTGATTTTCTGTGTCCGGTGGAAGACGGGCGAGTCTTCATCTGAGAGCGAGGAGATTGTCGGCACACTGGAGGTAGAGGTGGTTGCTGATCGTGCAAATATTTCACGGGAAACAGGCAAATCTTTAAAGAGATAGGTTTTAACAAATTTACAGCTTGCACGTTAACTTTAAGGCAGAAAGCTTGTGTTATCCAGCAGCATTGTGTGTATGACACTAATTTTGCTTAATATGACATAATCAAGACAAGGAAGACATAAATTTGTGACTTACTTCTCCTTGCCAAATGGGCTTCAAGTCCATTGCTCAGATAAACACAGCCCTCACTCTCCATCACAAAGGAACCAGTTAGAATTGCTATCTCGCGCTAACAAACAAGAGGGGGAATATATATAAATTGGCACAGAATTAAATGGTAGCACAGCACAGAATATGATGAATAAAATGTTATGTATGTCTCAGTGGCTGATACAAGACAGAAAAACAGCTCTCTGCTTACCTCGCCATCACATTCCAACATGTTAAGAGTGCAGCGGTCGTTCATCATGTCATGGTACACAAGCAACAGAAGCACCTGGTGATATCATAAACAGTGAGTAAGAACGGGTCTATGTTGTCTATGTTTTTTTTTTTAAATATTTATTTCTTCTTTGTCTTGTACCTTTGCAATTTCTACAGTAAGGTTGATGCCATCTCGTATGTTGTCCCAAGATAATGAAGTGCCTTTGGCTGCACTAAATCTGCAATCCCCTAATAAACAAAACAGATAAAGATATGTTCATTCTCAAAGGACAGCATTATTCAACATCTGTCTGCAAGATATTCAGAGTAACAAGCAAAAACAATGGTTCATAGGGTGTGTTCAATACACCCTAATATCACTGACTAGCACAATTACAGGTGCAACAGGGCACAACCAAGACCACACCCAACAGTGATGGGAGGTGTGGTGAAAGGAGCAAAAGATACTCTGACCTACCACACTGACATTTTAAGAATACAGCAAACTTGCTTGCTGTGATAATCATGAATGAAAAGGTTTAGATCATACATGTAGTGAGCACAGTGACAGGTCTGGGAGATCCTTTCATAGCACAATGACTGGAAGCAGTGGGAGGAAAGAAAAGTCTAGCACTCTAAAATGCTAAAAAAAAAAAAAAAGGGGGTGATACATCATTTCCCAGTCTCAAATGAAACCAGAGACTTTATGACAACTTTTTGGTAAACATATTGACTGGAATAAAATCTGATAAAGAAACTCACTTTCCACAAAGTCTGCAATGAGTTTGAACCGTTCCTCAATGGAATGACTGAAACAGGGGTTGGGTTCTTTCTTCCTGAGATGACACGAAGACAAAAAAAGAGGAAAATGGAAGGTTCATTCCAAAGAAACGCCACCTTTACACCTAAAAAACCCACTAACAGGAGAAGCCATGTTTAAAATGAAAAGTAAGGCTGGTTAACAGTCAATGACCCTTCCCATGGTTACACATACAGTACCAAGCATTTCAACACATCGCTTCTACTTACAGCATATAAACAACTTTCAGTAAGATTGTCCCATCTTGTAGATCAGGGACAGTCATTTCTCGGTCGGATAGTTTTATGCTGTTGACCTGTAAATAGAGTTTGAAAAGTCGGTTCAATACAACTGCAACTATTTAACGTTAGTTAGCCTTGCTGGACTCAACGTATTTACACCATATGACTGATGTTACTATCAACTTACCCAGCCGAGAAGAGCTTTAACACCCAAGTTAATCGCCATCTCGGCTGACCCTTTATCTCAAAGGGACTTCAACCTGGAAGAGAAAAAACAACTTCTGAACAAGCTTGTCTAGCTAGCGATGCCAATCTAGTAAATGGGCACATCTTAATTTAGCAGCGGTCGTTACCGTTAACATATTTCCATCTATTGTGACTCACCTTAAAAGACAAGGACTTTGACCACTTTTCTGTGTATTAATTCCAGTATATTTTCTCTGAGGTTCTCTGAAGAGAGGTGCAGACACAGCGACTACATGAAGCTACAACTGTGAAATAAACAGTTCTGAGACAACGCACAATATTCAAAAAGGGCTGTGGAGATTGAACCAGCCAATCCGTTCGCATGTATCGACGCATCAGAAAAGAGGCGACATTGATTGGTTTAAAGGCTGTGCGTCACCTGAATAATGCGCTCGTTACTTACGCCGGGGCGGTCGGTGAGGAAGTAGGCGGGGAGACGCCACTAAATTAAAGTTTAAATTGCACCCTCTCTTCGCAGTCTTTCAATATTACGATTATTTTATTTGTTTTGTCTTATGTTTGTGTGGCATTAGTCTCAGTAGTCAAGTTTGAGCTGCTCGAACCTGTCTTAATAAAATCTATGGGTACTGACTCCGCCATCCCTGATGAATTTCGGAGTACGCCAGTCAAAATGTGTCAAAATGAAAAGGGATTTCCAGCACGCACGCGCGCACACGCGCGCGCGTATTACTTACTAAACTAACTGTTTGTATTTTTACAAATGCTCATATTGTACTGAAATCCTGTGAGAATACGCAATCCCATCGTATTCTAACATAACTACAATTCCCATAACGTACCTGTTTGTTTCCTTGGAAACATGTCGTGTTGTCTCTCGTACAGGTAACTAGCTAAATCGACATTGGGCTTTCCAAATAACGTAAGAAAAGTAGCGTGTTGCCATTACTTGCTTAACACTGTGGGTAAGTGTATGATATTTGTGATTGGGTCGAAATGGTTGATTTGTTAAAGCTTGGCTTGTCTGTGTATTGCGTATACAATGTTATGATGAAGCCTTTGAGGATTAATATCTCACTCACCTGTAATTTGTCATAACGTCACTATCCTCCCAACAGGTGAGTGAACCTTTTACAGGTGTGACTATGTATGGAGCTCCTGTGGATTTATCTTTTAAACACATCAGCAGTTTGGCAGGTAGTACACTGTCATATTCCTCTAAGGTTTTTCTCTCCTTATATTCACACTAATGTTTATGTCCTGTATTATCACACAACATTATTACAGTTGTAATGGCTGCACATTACAGTGTACTGCTGTATAGCCACTTAATTATAACCCAGAAATAAGTTTTTTAATATATCAAAATATTGTATGTAGATTTTGCTAAACTTGTACATATAGGCTGTATATGTACTTCTCTAAGTGGATGCATGTACAGTATAACCAAACAACTCATTCCATCATCAAGCCAGTACCTAATATTCACTATTTCTTATACTTGTGGTCTCAGATGCATGGACAGAGGAACCCACCAGTGGCCTACGGCCTTTAAAGAGAAATTCAGAGATGAAGTACCAAAGCCACTCACTGCGTCTCAATAATAACAACATCACTGACCTTCATGACCTCCAGAAGACTGTTAGCGACTTCCTGGCTGAGCCATTACAGCTCGCCTGGCTGGACCTTTCATTCAACCAAATCACACATGTAGAACATGTGAGCTTTCTTTGCATGCCTTGTTTGGGTGCGGTTTTCCTGATTTTACTGTGGCATCAATTATAGAGATGTATATTTTAAAGAGATATCTGTTTATCGACACCACTCACATCTGTTTTTAATAATGCAGGAGTGATTCTTGTTAGATTAAACGTCTGCAATTTGGATGAATATGTGTATTTGTGTTCCAGGTTTTGTGTGAGCTGCGTGAGCTGCGTGTGTTGTATCTTCACGGTAACAGCATTTTTATTCTGTCAGAGGTGGACAGACTGGGAGTGCTGCCACATCTACACACCATCACTCTACATGGAAATGTCATTGAAGCCAACAAAGCTTACAGGTGGAGACTGTCTTTGAGTAAAGTTATCCCAACACACATCACACACACATCCTGCACAAACATATTATGTCTGGTTGTGCGATACCTTTACTTAACAGATATTGTTTTGTGGTTTTTTATAAGAACATAACAATATTATTGAGCATAGCGACAGTAGCACCCAGTAGCACCCCCATAGCTGCTGGATGTTTGCATACAGAACAGAACCAAAAACAGAGTCAAAGTCAGCACCTCATACTGTCATACACTTCAGAGGTGTAGAGTGAGGGACTACTCTTGCGCAAGAAGAGTGCAATTACATTGTGAGTGTGTGTGTGTCTATGTGAGAAATGAATGCTTGGCAAGCTTGTAGGTGCATAATGTTCTAACAGGTGCTTAAATGTAAATCAAGCTCATATTACAGGTCCTAGTCTGCATAGCAACACTACTTACAAACACACACACAGCAAGAGGGCTGCTGGTTATACCTGATTCCACTGAACTGAAGAGCTTTTTGATTAAATTGTATCGCAATTTCTAATATATGTGTAGCACCACTAAAGTAGAGATAATGCCAAGCAAAGAGAAACCTCTTCAACATTCAGTTTGGATTTTTCTGTGAAGACACATAAAATGTACATAAACTACGTAGTCCACATGTATAATTGTGCATGTCTTTCTGTGTTAAGGAATCGTGTGATTAATGCTTTGCCTCGGTTAAAGACAATGGACTTCAGTGCTGTAACACGGCAGGAGCGAGTCATGGCAAAGATCTGGCATCACAGCAACAACCACAGCAGACGCAAGGAAACTCTCCAGTGACTGCTCACTCATCTCCATTGTGGTGTGTTAAAATCATAGTTTCACTCAAATGACCTGTGCTCCACATCCACTGCTGAAAAACTTGTACAATATTGAATATGCAGTATGTTTGCCTGTGTATATCTGGTCATATCTGCATTGTTATTGTTTGTTTATTTTTTTTTATCTACTGATATGAACAATTTATTATTAGATAGTCCAAACAGGAGTCAGGGCTACAGCTTTCCAAAACAGTCTGATAGTGAACAGTGAGTGATCCTGAGATATCGGCTCTCACATGCTATAGATGCATGTCAATTCTTTAATATTGTTGCAAACATGGGTGTGGATTGTGGAATATTTTACATTTAACCTTGGCAGATGCTTTTATCCAAAGCAACTTACAAGTGAGGGACATCACTAAAGCTATGCTAATATTTGAATATTGTTATGGATTATCTTGCTGTAACAAAGAGAAGTAGTTATTATTGTCAGTGATGGTCTCTGAATTACTGCACCAGTTACTTCCCAGATATAAGCATGTGGATGTTAATATTTATTTAATAAGACGCAGGTGCTTATGTTGAAAGTCTTTAATGAATTAATTAAACCAAAAAAAAAAACAAAACAAACAAAAAGAAAAAAAAAAATCTTAAAACTTTTTGGTACTAGCCTAAGATATTACAAACATATTTCAGGTAGTATTACACATTTGAGTAACAAACAAAACTGAAAAAAATGCCAAGAACCCCTTGCAAAAAGCTCAAATCAATTGCGTGGTTGAAATAATCACAGCCTGGCAGATCATCCCTTTAGAGACTGAAGAGCAGCTCACCATGCTCACTGCCCACGCATAGTCATGTGCTCTCCTGTGCTCTCCTGTGAAGAGCAAATATACATTTAAAACACAAATAAATAATCACAAAAAGGTTTCGGATCATTTTATCTGCTGTAGTACATAGATTGTTAACGCCCCCCCTCCCAACTCCCCCACACTGCTACAATGGTTAGTTTCTGATTAATATGAACAACTCAATCATATTACAATCTGCAGCGAAAAGCTTTGCAGGCCTTAAAAGTGTTCGTGTTTCATAAAAACATTTGTAATCACCACAAGACTTTAGCCAATCCTGGCCAATGAACTCTCTACAAAAAGAAGAACTTCATACAATCCATCATCTGTTTTTATATTCAATCAGAAAATTCTGTACAAAGAAGGCATGAATACACGATATCTGTCCCTGCACCCTCTACACACCCAACTCCTTCATCTCTGTATGTCTCCACTGCTATTAAATATGTGAAGGTCTGGGATTTAAAGAGTCTGCCAGCTCATTATTTTAGTGCTAGAAAACTGCAGAGGACAAATTACTGTCTGTAAACTTGAGAACTTGTGCCCCAAGAAAGCTCCAGCCGTTCCCGCCCCCTTGTGACATTAGTAGGCCCACCCAGCACCCACCCAGCTTGTGTTTGCATCCTCACCCACCACAGGACACCAACCATGGACAGGTCACTCAACTAAAATAACAGATCACACCCTGGACAACAAATTACCAACCTGTTTCACTGTCAGTTTTTAAACATTATTACAGCTAAAAATGTCAAATGAAATTTACTCAAATCAGGTTAGTTCACTGATTCATGTTGATGCAGAGGGACACCAGATTACTGTAGGATGTTTGATACCTAGATCTTGCCAGCATACATCATTACAACCCTTTAAATTATAATGACAACTTTATCTTAACAGAAAACATATTCTTTTCTTTGATTCTCATCTTTACATATTTCTTGCTGTGCAAGGAGAAACACTGGGGAATGGGCAGTGTCAGAACAGAGTTAAAGACACACAAAGTGCAATCTTTAAGCCCCGTTGCAAGTTTTTTTTAATCCAGATAAATGGTTAAACTACTCAACCACTGAACTTGCACATATGGTACAGTGATAATTTTGGTTATTCCATGCCAGTGAGATGAATCATTTCTCTTATTCCAGTAGAGATTGTATGTAAGTAAATACAGCAAAATCCAATGCCTTGTGCCAAAAATCCTACAGCTCTGCCAAAGGTGAATATACTGTGCATTCTTCCATGCCTCCTGATAACAGTCTGGGGTGTAGAGCTAGCCTTGCTTAAGTACAGGCTAGGTAAACTAACAAAATAAAGAAACTGAGACAACCGTTAAGAGAAATCACAAAGAAGAATGAACAATGATTTTTCCACAGCTGGTTCTGACAAAGCCTCTGATCTACACATTACATACAGTGAAGGCCTGGTTGTTGTAAATATGAGATCGTACCCCAGTGCCCATCTACAGGAAACCATCTTCCATGATGACAATTTGTCACTGACCCATAATTAAGTACACTAGTGGACAGCCATATGGTGCAAACCTACATTGTCTCTGTCTTTGTAGCAGTTAGAGGCATAGCTAAGAAGCACAAGGACCAATATGCTTTAATAAAGGGTGGGCTGGAGGGTGAGGATGCAGGAGTGACACAGAAAGAGCGGGATGGGAGGAACAATATGTAGGCCAGAGTTGCAGAATCAGGGAATGGCAAACTGGACGACCAGTTCTTCTTTAGCATCCACTTTGATTTGAGAGATTGCACTGTAAGCATAAGCTGCTATCTTGGACACCTGCAAAGAAAGAGGAAGACAGTTAGAGTTTTTGAGAAGTGTACAAACTAACTCAAATTCCCAATTTCGCTGAGAAAAATAAGACTAGTCCAACAACAGACCAACGGGATATCAGGTAGACAAAATAGGCAACAATGGCAAAGCATTAGATATCTTTAGGATCTATTTTAAGTCACACATTTCCTCACACCCCCACTCAATGAAATACTATACAGTTCCACATGTAGTATACTGTTTCCAAAAGAGTATCTCTCTGATGATTAATGCAGCCAACAAGGAAATCACACATGACAAGAAGCAATGTATGCCAACGTATCTTCCGTGTGTGGTAGTGTATGATTACCTGCTGTACATCTGAGTATGGCACCAGGTCACTCGCAAGCACTTGGTGGGGCTGGCTGGTGAGGGAGGGGAGAGCAAGGGCTTTCTTCTGGGGCAGACTGTTACTCAACACAGCGAGCTTCGTACTGAAACAAAAAAAAAAAAAACAGACGCTTACTGGAGCTGTTGCCCTGTCATTGCCCTGCAGTTTAGAGTTTATGTTTAAAACACAGTTTGTACAGAAAACCTCACCTCAGCTCTTTAACCTGATTTCATTTAATCTGTACCTGTATTTCAGCATAAAAGTAGCTGCTGTGTTTGTTAGTATTCTTCAAACTTCCACGAGGTGTCACTGGATCTGAGGTTTAAGGTAACACCAGAGGGGAAAGGTCTACGTTTCAATTTTTTTTTTTTTGTTCACTTCCCTGACCACCTTCTTGAGCCACTGGATTGGTGAGAACATTTTAAACACCATTTACAATTTCATTCTTCTCAACCAGTATATGTCTCTGCTGGATATACAGCTGGCTTTCTTTTTGGTAATATCTAAATCATCTCATTAATTCAAATGATGTACTTTTACATTCTTTAATTTGATCAGGTACAACCAAAAAACAATGAAGCACCTTAGCAAGTCCGTATAGCAGCTATAGCACAGTGTTAAGCTCAAAATCTTGGAAACTAATAAAGTTTCTTTTATATGGCTTTGATTGATTTGAAGACATGATTTAGCTTGGGAATGACAACTATCTCCTGATGAGTGCATTGACATTCATTTCATTGAAAGCAAATTTATGTCCAAACAGAGACCCACACCCTTTCCACACCCACACACATAAAACAAAAACAACAACTGCAGAAGAGCGACAGCCTTCCATAACAATTATTACTTGACCACTCACTCACATACCTGTATTGCCGAGCTTTGTCCATGTATTCATGCTGCTCCATCATGACAGAGTCAGCTGCTGAGACATCAATGATGTTCCTGGCAGAGAGGAAATAAAGGTAGGTTTATTAAAAGGACCAGATGATTTACTGCTTTATTATCAGGAAACACATGCTGAGTCTGGCTTGTCTATGGTTGCACGAAGAAGCGTCTTACTGTGCTGTCTTGTGGAGGATGGATGTGAGGAGGGCCTGTTCATCTGTCCGTGCTGATGGGACATTGGTAGTGATCCAGTCTGTCCCATTTGGAGGTTTGCTGACAGGGTTCGGGTGGGGGATCAGTGGCTTACGTTCATCAGGGTCCTAGAGCAGGTCAATCACAATATAACTGAATGATGATGATGATTCAGATCATGGCGTTTTAACAATTTTTGTTACAATTGTGCAGCAACTCAAACCGTAGAAAGGAGTGCCAAAGGATGTGCTTATTCATTTTTAATTCAGGAACGTGATGAAATTGTAATAGTTGAGACTATAATATTAAACAATTGAGTATTTTGTGATCCGTTAACTGTGGTTTCTCCACTGGATACAAAAATTAAAGTGTTATGTTACAACATAACAATTAGATGTTGTGAAAAAAGTATTAGTTATCAATAACACACATGGTAACACATCATTACAAGCCTTGTAGAAAATGTTCAAAGCTCAGTTCTCAGTTCTTGCACTCACAGAAAAACATTACGGGAGTCATGAACCAAGTTCCTTAACTAGGGTTGCTCATAAGTAACAGCTTACAATACAAATTTTGACCAATTAATACTATCAGTTAAACAGTTAAAATATCCCAGAACATCAGTGCCATGTGAGAAGGGATTCTTTCCTGTCTGTGTGTGTGCATGCAAAACTGTCAGCCCACCTTCAGAAAATAAATTCAAAATGAACATCCCTGTAGTCAACCACCCTCTCTAAATTGAATTACACCTGAAAAACAGTTCAAACTAATCCTACAGTAGTTCACTTAATGCAAGTAAAACCTGACTGAATCATTGAAAATAATCAAGTTGACATTGACTTGAACAAGCAGCACAATTCTATTAAGTAATGATAAATACAACCAAAAAAGCTACATTTTCAGACTAATATGCAATATATGGGCATAACACAATAGGAGAGGTTAAGAATTATTTCCATTGCACTCCAATTGCTATTGTTAAGATAAAGTGCATGAGGAAAATATTCCGCATGAGGCTAAAAAGGAGCTGTTTCCGCATACTAAAAATAGCATGGGAGTCATATGACATAGCATACATCAAAAACACGGTACCCAGAATATAAGTCACTTCTGTTGGTGGTGTACCTCTAAATGTCACAACTGAGGACTGAGTAATTTAGTAGTAACCCACTACTCTCCAGGTTTCAACAAAGAATTAAACTAACTAAGCTATAAATTATCATTCCCTGCTGTTCGTAAAAGTGGCTGTAAATAAGCTGCCATTTGTAGTTTTCTTTTAAGCATGCAGATCTGCACAGCTCTTCATATCTATAACCATTTTTCATCTATGTGCCAACTTCCCAGGCTGCTTTGGACCAGGCCTTACCCGTAGGCTGAAGCTAATTAGCTAAAGCTACTTTATAGGTGTCATATAACTTTAACCAACAAAACAGCGGTCACATGGTAACCTCGGTACAGTCCCTAAAATGCATTTTTATGTATTAAACATACTCTATGAATAAAAGTATATTACATACATTGTTTCCTTAATAACCCATCTTGTATTTATCGGGACAGTTTTAGCCACTTAGCGGCTAACAGCTACCTGCTCTGTGGTCTCGTTCTCGCTGCTGTAACAGCAACCCATGGCAGCGTCCGAGGGTCGAAGCTACACAACCCCAGCTTCCCTGTTCTCCGTCAGAAATGGAGCCGTGTTTTATCCTCTCCAACAAACATAAAACTTCTTTCCTGCGCGGTTATGTGTTAGCCTCATCCAAAGGTAGGGAAGCTACTGTCAACAGCAGCTCCTCGGTCGAGCTATCACATGACAGCAGCTGTGGTGCAACAACACAACGACCACTTCCGGTACTTGAGAAGCGGCCGTGGCCTTCGTCATGTGATGGTGCAAATTTCAACCGTGAGATTTGTTAAATTAATAAATAGATAAACACAATAAACATATGAGCAAGATCATCATTTAATTTCAGTTCGAGGTTTCAGTTAAGTTACATAACTAGTGTAGGCTTTATTGTGCTTATGCTTATGCTGCACAACTAACCTACAGTAAAATGTCACCCACTGTAACCCTGGAAACCCAGGATTAAACTTGAGGTTAGTTTGCTAACTCCAAATCCTGCCTGTAGTACAGGCCTCTGATGTGTCGTCTGACTGTGTTGTTGTGAATGTCGTCCTGTTGTGTGGTTCTTCCTGTCATCAGATTGTGTTGTGCCACTTCATCAGCATTGTCTCAGTAGCATTGCACTAATACATAATGCATGTGCTTTGAGAAGAATGTGTTTTAATGTAAAAACTGTAGGCCTTGTTAAAAAAATATTTTGAAAAATGACAAAAATAAGAATTTTTTTTCAGTTTGGGCAAACCTTATACTTTCATCCTGTAATGTGACACCTTGTCCCTTTTTAGCTGACCTATGGACACACAGAATTGCATAGCTGTTTCTGTAAGGTCTGTATTGAACAATACCAATATTCTACATGAGAACTATGCCTATTGCATGTGCTAATAGGGATGCACCCATCTGATGTTTTCTCACCTTAGCGAAACTGAGGTTTTTTTGGCTGATACAGAGTACCAATCCAATACAAGCCCTTTTTATAAATCAATTCAAAATCTTCATCCCTTCACTATTTATAATTGATTGATAGACGTTCATACAACATCATACGTTGTAGTCTTGTGTAAATTTTAAACACCAAACAACTTTACTTAGATTTTCCTTTTGTTTTCCTCACAAATCAACAACCTTTTACAATACATTAGTTACATTGAGAATGTATGTATGGTACATATGTTTTTGTGACTGATTTTGCTTTGCTGTTTAATTCAGTTGAACTAAAGACTGGTGCAGGCACAATAAGAGCTTTCTCTCTTGGGCTGGTGGGGTGCAGGGTCATCCCCTAAATATGTTGATTTAGTGCTGGAGACTACACAGGAATATGTGACTGTAAGCTTTATAGGTTGGCTGATTTAATGCCGACTGGCTGTTCAGTAGTGTCTTCTTTGTTCTATAGCTCTTCTAAAGCTTTCAATTGTTTCCCTCCTCGGGTTTTGCTGTGGAATACTGTCCAAGGCCAAGTTGAGTGAGACGACAAGGGTGATTTGGCAACAGGATGAGGCTTGTCGGTGCACATGTGGCAGTCTCCTTGGAAAAAAATGAAAGGGTCTATGACACCCTCTGGCTGAGTATGATGACAGAGTACCACACACACTGCTTCAACTACTACAGTTACAGTTTATTTCCAGTACTGACAGGTAACGCTACACACACTAAAACAGCATCCTATTCTGTTTTTACAAAAATGTATTCATTTCTTACAAACACAAGCAAATTATAGGCAGCTGTGTAGTCTGTTTTATAAATGTTTCTCCCTTTTCAAAACCTAAAAACTTGAAGATTATGCTGATTGAAGTTATTATGGATCTACAAAGCATTTGAATCCTGTAGGCTAAGAAATTGCCAAAAAATAGAAAAAGAAAAAAAGTATATACAAAGGCTGTGAATACTGTATAAAATGAAATAAAATGGGCCTGAACTTCAAATGTTGACAGTGTTGACAAATAACAAAATGTTCATATCCTCAAGACTGTACAAATATAATTAACAAAATGTACAATAATGCTGAAGATGGAGAAAGAATGGCTTTTGAAAACATTTATTTTATTTATCAAATGTGTAAACAAAGTGTAGAGTCTGCCTTTTGTTCATAGAAAGCAAAATTATGGTTGTGTCTGTACTTCACTGCACCATCATTGTCCGGCTATGTGTCTACCACAAAGTTTCCAGTTTACAACATGAATGACAAACCAAAGAAACAAACAGTACATGCCCCCGTTGTCAGGCAGGCACCAGTCTGATGGGGTGGGATGATGACTGGGAGGCGCCTGCCCTCTCATTTACCCCCCGTTTCCTCCACACCTCTTTGTTTACACCTACAAGCCGGTCAAGTCCAGGCAGAAGTGCCGCAGCTTTTTTGACTTCACTCTGTGCTCGCTGGAACAAAAACAATGTCTGTTTTTCTGCTCAGCTTTGTTGTGCTGTTTGGAGCTTCTCGTGCTTCTGACACCGTGGCTCCTGCCCAGCTCGGGCCGCCGTCGCTCGGGTTCAGCTCCTCGCTCCGCTCGGTGTGTAAACCTATCCCGAGCACCCTGTCTCTGTGCCACGGGATCGGCTACAGGCACATGCGGATCCCTAACTTGCTCGGCCATGATTCGCTGAGAGAGGCCCAGCAGCAGTCGGCGGCCTGGCTGCCCCTCATCTCCAAGCTCTGCCACCGGGACACCAAGAAGTTCCTGTGCTCGCTGTTCGCCCCGGTGTGTCTGCCGGAGCTCAGCGGGCCGGTCAGCCCCTGCAGAAGCCTGTGCGAGGCCGTGCGGGATGGCTGTGTGCCCGTAATGAGCGCCTTCGGGTTCCCCTGGCCCGAGATGTTTAATTGCACCCGGTTCCCGCGCGGGACCGATCTCTGTATCCCGGCAACCGGAGAGCAGGAGGGGCGGACGGCAGAGGAGGTGAAGCACGAGGAGGCGCTGAAAGGTCAGTGGATGGATCTGGTCTGTGTTCAGTAGGTTTTCTATTCAGGAGACCAATGTTTTATTTGATCCTATTTTATCCTAAGGTTGTTTTGCATGCATTGATTCTGGAGTTTCTGTTCCAGAATCAGAGTGTCTGCAAAAGCAGCAGTCCTACTCCACCACTGTGATTTTTTTTTTTTTTTACACCCGCTCTGCAGACACTCACAGTTATCTAATCACCTCTATTTTCCACCCCCCAGGCAGTGTAATCTGTGATGCCTGCAGTCTGGCTGCTGAGGGAGAGACTGACATCCAGGAAAACTTCTGCCACAGTCCATATGGTGAGAACAATCTGATGTAGATAATGTAGACTACAAAATACTGTACATACCTTTTTCTAAGATCTGTATTACTACTCAACTTTTTTTCAAACTTGATTCTCACAAAGCAGGCCACAGAACAAGTCATCTTATCACAGAGATAGAGAGGTTTTTTTTTACAATGTGTCTGATGTGACACCTGTTAAATCGTGTTCTCTCTGTCTCTGTTGCAGCATTTAAGATGCGTCTGGGCAGTGTGTCGACAGTGGGAGGGGACCGTCAGCTGGTGCCTATGGCCCGCAGCCGCATTCTGAGGTGGGCAGGGGGAGGTGCGGAGAGGGCCGAAGGGGTCGGAGGCGCAATGGCCCACAGTGCTTTGTGGCTGCAAGAAGGAGGCACCTGTACCTGTCCTGGCCTAGACTCTACAGACACAAACGAAGACAGGGTGTTGGAGGAGGAACAGGTGGGTAAAGGACACGCTAAAGGAGGGAAGGATGGATATGGGGCTCCAGGTGGATGGTACCTGGCCCTTGCTCAGGCTGAAGAGGGAAGGCTGGTGTTGACTCGGCTGGTGAGGTGGACCAGAGGGGACAAAGAGTTGAAGAAGTTTATCAGAGCTCTCCTTAAACAGCCCTGTCCAGAGCTGTAGACAGGGAGTCATCAACCACTGTAGTCCTGCCTCATGGACGATGCTTTGTGGTCATTGGTTACCAAAGAACAAGTAAGGAACACATCAGGAAACAAGTAGTTCGCAAAGTAACACTGAATAAATCACACGCACAGATTTTTTGATACTATGTAATGACTTTCTCAATGAATTGTTCCTGATTAACTCTGAAAACACCACTCAATCAATAACCAATCAAATCTTCATCACTAAGTACATATTATTTTGTGTCATATGAAGTTGTTACCAAATTTATCATGACACCATAATTTTCATTATTCACCGTGTTTGTGTTCCCTCAAGTAAAATCGAGCATCATTTTTACCAAACTGACAAACCAAGAGGTTTTCTTTGTACTGAAAATGGGCTTTTCAATGACAACAAACAGAGAGCAGGCATTTGTGCAGCTTGCTGTAAAGTTATTAGACCGTAATTCTTTTAGTGTGACAGAGGTATTGTGACAAAAGTTACTTCTACATGTGGCACACACAGGTTTATATAATTCCAGCTGTGGCAAGCTGTGTATTTTTTTGTATTTTTGTGTACATTTGTGTATATAGAAGAGACAAAATGGTTTTGGTAATAGACTGATCTCATCAAGTTTTCTACTGATACATATTTGGGGTGAAGCAGTATAATTGTTGTTATTCCTGTAATGATAAAATATTTTCTTAAACTGTACTAAACTGTTATCGTAATACTTATATATACATTAAACATGCGTTTTTCTTTGACTATTTACAACTATTTTATCATTGTTTTTCACAGGCGCTCAAGCATCAGTAGTTAGATGGGTGAAAACACTTATGTTGAAAGACAAGGGGGTGATTATCACATGTTGGGATGCTATAATCTCAAGTCACATGAGAAGAGAAGCACTGAAAAGAAAAACAGGACAGGAAATGTGATATGATATGAACAATAAATCATTTAGATTTGGGTTTGGTCTCTATTTTTGTATTTTATTACATTTATTTTTACCCAACATGATTCTATTGTAGGTTTTAAATATTTGGTTGATTTTTATTCATTTAAATAAGCTTTGATTAAAAAACATTTATATTGTGTTGAGTAATATTAGATAGTATTTCATAAATAAGCTTTTTCTTTGTGTGTGCAGTTTCTCTTGATCTTTCCATCATGACTCAGTAAAAGAAATTGGACTCCATACAACCACACAGACACACACCTGTTGATGTTAACTTGATATATCAAATGTCTGTTTCACACTGCCTCTCACTGTCTCACTGTCTGCTCCTTTTTAGTGTTGGTCCTATTCTAAATATCTGGACAAGAGGTTAACTGTATGTCTTATCAAGAATGACAAAGAGTGATGTTTAACAGCTAACACTGACACCAGCTTCAACAGCTGTTAACTGGAAAAAATTACAGGGCATATACTACTCATGCACGTGATGTATAAATTATTTATATCCTCAGGTCTCTTACCTTCTCTTACACACACGCAAACACACACCTCTCTGTCTTTCTGCACTTGTCTCAGTTGAAGTGCCACTTTCATCTTTGCTATCCTCAGCGCAGCAGCTCTGCTCCCACCAAACCTTTTCTGAAAACAGGTAAGTTTGTCTGTTTATCACGGGACAGTAAGAGAGTCTTTATGTTGGTGCCAATATTTTGTTGTAACATTTACTGTACATCACGATGTTCTGTGTGGAGCAGAGCACCTGTGGAGTCTTAAGTTACCTGTGCAGTGGAAATATCTAGAGAGACAGCACTTTCTCTCACGTCCACCACAGGAGCAAAGCATTGTCACTTGTTTCTGTGTAGATTTCATCTCCCATTGTTCAAAACTTGGAGAGCATTTGTCTCAACATGCATTTAATCTAACATTTTCAGGTAAAGATGATTCCATCAATAACATTATTACTATTATTTCAATCATATAATAGTATAATAATAGCATAATAGTCAATCATATATCCTATTGTTTACTGTGATGCATATTAATTCCTTTTTCTTTTGACAATTGTGAGTTTTGCTGTAATTATTAGTGGCTTTTATAATTTAATACGTTGAAGAGTGTAGAAGCCACACTTTGCAGGAGGGGCTTGACACCACAGAAAGAATTGTGGAGTCACCATTGACCGTAATCATGAAGTAAGGAGGAACAATGAATTTGTGTCTTAAAACACAGATAAGCTTTGATCATCAACGATGATCACCTGAAATGACTCAAAATCTTACAACCTCCTCCCAGATATTTTATCAGTCCAAACATTTTGGCACATTTAATGCCTTGCTACCAAGGGTTGCAGGGTTGAAGCAGGTCAGGATTGGGGCCTAAATACTTGCAAATTGGCAGTGAAATGATTTGTGCAGCTCCACTTTTGTTGATTCATATGATAAAATTCCAAAGGTGGCAAAAAGCGAGAGCAATGATTTCCCATTTAACCCTTTTTTCAATTTGAAGACATCAGTAAGTGTATATTAAGAAAAAACTATTTTTTGACACACCTGTAGACTGATAAAGAGAGATAAAAAAGAGTTTCTCTTTATCCTCATACATTACCTTCTTATCTAATGACAGTTGAAAATGACCAAAAAAAAGTTTCTAATGAGACAGAAACTTCTGTTTTATGCCACAGGGAATCACAGGTTGAGTAGAGATACTGTATAAAACAGTAAGAATTCACTGGTCTTGTGCAATGAGTGTAAAGGGGGACAGAAGCTTAGAAGTCCTTCAGTCTGTTTCTGGAACAACATTTTGGTAAAAGTTCATTTAAAGAGACACATGGCTTCCACATTGTCATCATAAATATATTAGATTTTTGTACATAACTGAGCATTACAAACCAATGAATCTACTTTTATGTCTGTGTTTCTGTCTGTATGAAACAGGATGGTGTCTCCAGCTATCGCTCTGGCCTTTGTCCCCCTCCTGCTGACACTGATCATCAGGTACCGTTACTACTTTGCACTGTTCTATCGGGCGGTCCTGGTCAGGATATGGAAGGACTGTGTGACTGGCCTGAGTCGAGAGGAGCGTGCCTACCAGTATGTTCTCACTCATGCCACCCCTGGAGACCCTGACAGCATCCTGGATGCCTTTGATGTCTGGTGCAGCAAGATGGAGTTCATCAGCAACATTGGGCCTAAAAAGGGTGAGGGGATCATTTAAATAACCCAACAAATTCTCTGTCTATTAGCAACATGACTTGAAAGTCTAAATAATGCCTAAACACGTACAGTACATATGTGTATGTTCGTGTATGTGTCTGGCTCCTCTGTTTGCAGGGAAGATCCTGGACCGCCTGCTGATGGAGCAGAGCCCTTTGACAGTGCTGGAGCTGGGTGCTCACTGCGGGTACAGTACCGTGCGGATCGCCCGGTCTTTGCCCCTGGGTGCCAGGCTCTACAGCATCGAGATGGACCAGAGGAATGCTGCCATCGCTGAGAAAATCATCCGCCTGGCAGGGTTTGATGATGACACGGTGAGACATCAGAAACGTGACCTATTTACAACATTTCACTGTATGTCCAAAGCATATAAAAGCTCCAAATTACCTACCTACGGGGCAACACCATTATTTGTTTTTACATAAATTTGGGACATTTTTATTTCATGTATTGAATATGGAGAGTACTATACCATTGAGACCTTCATGCTGTGTGTTCTCAAGGTGGAGCTCATCGTGAATCCATCTGATGAGGTGATCCCTCGCCTGCGGTCTGACTATGGTTTGGAAAGGCTGGATTTTGTCTTCATGGACCACTGGAAGAAATCTTACTGCCCTGATCTGCAGGTAAATAGAATCAATCATTAGAAAGGATATTACCATATTAATGAAAATGCTGTCTCATAGTTTATTGTCCTGTCGGAAGTATGGCGGGTTAAGATGTGCAAGTTGAGCTGAACTAGTGTGTGACCCACATGCACAAATGCCTCTGACTGACTGAAAAGGGACTTACACTTTGACACTAACTTTAAATGACGGTTGGATGATAAGGTAAAAACTGTCTGAATGAGCTAACTACTTTGTGTATGTTCACTATGTGACTATTTAAGTACAACTATAAAGATGAATATTTACTTTGAGTTTGCAGAAATGTGTTTGTTCAAAAATACTATTAAGGTATTTTAGTGATGTACATACCTGAAATTTTACCAAGTATAGTAAGTTATAGTTGTGATCACTCCCATTGTTACCTCGTCAACTCCCGCAGTTGCATTATATGTGTTACAGATGCTGGAGGGCTCTGGTCTGCTGGGAAAAGGGTCCATGATCTTGGCCGACAACGTGCTGTTTCCCGGGGCTCCAAAGTTCCTCAGACACATTCGCAAGAGTGGCCTGTATGAGTGGAAGGTCCACCGGGCCACGCTGGAGTACAGCAAGGGCATCAGGGATGGGATGGCTGAGCTGGTGTACCAGGGAATCAAGTAGACCATGCAGACTGGGATATCGCACACTACAACACAGATACACATTTTTGGAGAGGGATGAATTGATGATTTTATAGCCCCTGTTAAAACTATTTTGAGGACAAATGTGATGGAAAAGATGACTATAAATTCCTTGCCTAAAAAGCTATTCATCTGAAAACTGGAGCATCTCAGCATCTAGTTTTTCAAACTCAAGGAACTGCACATCAAGACTACTATCTATCAGGGAAGTAAATCCTCATGTACCCATGTGCTGAACACTAGCATCTATATAGATATCTAGCTTATTTAAATATACATAACTGCCAAATTTGAAAAAAAAAATGAATTAATAAGTGACCACAAGAGCACATGTACAAGTTTAATACTGAAAGATGTTTGCCCTCAGGTGAGAAACGTGATCATTGCCTGTTTAAATCTTACCTGATATTAAATGTGGACTTCAGCACCAATCAAATTATCAGTTTTAGCAACACCAAATTCAGATTACTCTTTAACTTTGCTGGACTTTAATTCCTTAATTTTTTTTTATCTGATTAGACAATGAATCAACAATGAGTCAAAATCCAACACACCACTTATTACCATGTTACATTTTGTGTTCTTTCTTATTAATAAGAAACCAAAATGTAGGAAGCAAACAAACAAAAAAACAGGAGTTCATCAAAATAATTTAATTTAATACAAACTGTCAAGACCTCTTTTCCTTTCAGTACAAATAACAAAAGCCTTGGTGAGCAATCTTATAAGACAAATATGAGACACTTTCAATGGCCACTCTGTGTGTTCATAATAAAATTTTAATTCATCCTTGTGAATGCATTCTTTTACCTTTAACATAGTTAAAAATATTAAAATTTGAACATAATACTATTCAAGAAGCTTTTCTGAAAATGCTACTGTAGGTATGATATCTGTAATGAAAGATTAGCAACATACACAACACTGTTATGAAACAGAATTGGACTGTATGGACTTAAATCTCCTTAATAGGTAAAAAATGATTTAGCTGACTGAACTGTAATTTGTGCTCATTCAGCTGTTTGGAGACGTAGAGAAGTGGCACATGACTGGCGATGTGACAAGGTTAAAGTTTAAATGAGAGAGATCATGGTGATGATTCCTACTAGTGCCACTGCGTGGGTGTGTGCCCCAGTGGTTGCAAAACCATAGGACATTGTGTATTTTACAGCATTGGAGATGTGTGGCACTACTGTGACTGAATGGATTGAATGGTTAAATGTATTTAACAGGTTTACAGATTACCATTTACAGATTTAAAAGAAAAAAAAAAACATGACATGTGCACAGCTGCTTAAACATACATCCACACATTATTTTTCATACACCTTCGCAACAGTGTGTTAAAGCAACCCTCACAGAGTTGTCCGCTCAGAGCTTTCAAGCCTGATTTCAGCTTCACAGGAGACACTTGAGCTGGATTTACCCACCCTTTATCTGAAGGATATCATGGTACAAGTTTTAATTCAACTATATTCCTTTCCTGTTAACACAAATAAAACAATATATTTGTGTCACAGACTGAAGGGGCAGCAGTCAAGTTTGAAGTGGGGAGCAGACATCCAGTGCCAGACATCTTGATGGAAACTAAAATTGTCTTTTGTCTTAAATCATCCATTGGTCTTGGTCTTGGTCTGCTCCCTCCATGTCCACCTGACAGACAGAAACAGAACCAGATTAAAGACTGTTATTTGTTTGAGAGGACAAAAGTAAGATAAAAAAGAAAACAACATTTAGTAGGTTTAAAAGTCATTCCAGTGAGTTTACGATATTTAGCAACTGTGCCCTCGATCAGATTATACAAATTATACATTAAAGCACCTCATTGATCTCGCCATCATCAGGTGACTCATTGTAATCATTCATCTCATCCATGTCCTGCATGTCCTCTTCATCTTCAGAGTCTTCCTCGCTGTCCTCCTCATCCTCGTCATCCTCCTCGTCCTCCTCTTCATATCCTGCCTGAGCTCAGTGAATGCAGGTGACACAAATAAATAAAGGAACACAATCAAAACAGAATTGCTAATTTAAAAGGCTTCTAAAAAGGTGAATACAAAATGCATGTTTCAGGAGTAAGAGAATCTATTGCACCAACTTTTACTTGTACCTCTTTTATACTTTCATACAGTGGCAAGGCAATTGTCAGAGCTGCACTTTTACTTAAAATGCATCTGTTGAGATCTGGTGATAGGTACTGTGGCAATTAATACATTACATGTTACAGGATAAAACATTTACTACCTCAAAAATAGGTTTCCCAATGGGCATCAGGTTGTTGTCCTTCTCTGCAATGCTCTGCAACTGTAGCAAGAAAAAAATACACCAACTTAGAGCCTGACTGATAATCTGCCATAGACGGAACATATTCATATGTGGACAATAAGTAATGACAAATACCTGTACAGATTTGACAAAGATATGAATAAATTTAAAGGCAGTGTCTCAGTTAAATGGTTTGGACACCAGATAACAGTGGCAAGTTTATTTCCACTCTAAATGTTTTGTACATATTCTGGTCACAATCCCTTAATAATTAAACTTTAGGAACGTTTCTTAAAAATGTTTGTGTTATGTAAAATCCTGATGTGGTATAAGTATATATGAGTAAGTGATATAGTATGATAGCATATGTTGTTAGTATGAGAAGGTGACTGTCAGTTTCAGCAGAGGTGTCGTTTACCCAGGTTTGGTGCTGCTGCTCCTGCTGGTGCAGCTCGGTCTCGTCCACACAGGGTCGGTCCAGGTTGAACCAGAGGGACTCGGTTATCCGCGGGAAGAGAGACGGGAACAGTGTGGACATGTCTGTTACACAGGAACAACAACAACACGCATACACACACTGTCAATCAGCAAGCGCATGTGTCCTTCTTTAGCCCAGCAACACAGCGTTAAACCCCGGTTCTTCATGAAAGAGATGTAGCCATATATATCCATATGGGTTATTGTGTGATAAAACGACACAGGACTCCTGGAAAGGGACATGGTAAGTTAATGTAACACATCGTTAACGCAACTCAAAGTCTTCCTATGTTGAGACAAAAAAACTTTAACATGTAATATCACCTCCGCCAATATTCTTGGTTAAAACGTAACGTAATATAACGTGCTACTTTAATTTATATATAGCGTAAGTACCTGACAATCTCTCGCTCCAGCTTTAAAGAAATTCAAAAACAAATTTTACCGGAAATTGCTGGTGTTCACCTACAAAGAGCTCTCTTCTCCAATGTCACTCCACAATGGTTCCGCTTTGGGGATGGCAGCTGGGAAAGAAAAAGAGTAATAGTAATGCAAATATCTCCTACTGTATTTTGTTGAATAAATACGGATAAATATCTCAACCAAGGGATTTAAAGATCGTGGCATATTTTGGCTAATGATAAGAATAAGCATGTATTTTGTCCTTTAATAACTTCATTGTAAATAAATAGAAAACACAAAGACTAATTAATTCCCTTTATTTTCACAAATTGTAGCATAGGGAATCTGGGCTCAACTGCTGTGATCCTAATTTCAGAGTATGGCCCATTAACAGAGATGGACAAATCAAATGAACAAATTCACAAACAATATCACTACCCCTATTTTAATTACTAATTAATGAAATGAAACAGTTAATTGACACAGTCTCCTCTTCAGACAATAGAAAGCTGCTGACATGTGCTTTTTTATGTTTGCATGTGAAGACAACCTCCTAGTCTCTGTTGTTGTTAATACCCTTTTCTCTAAATAAAAAACAGGTCTGGTGCCACTACAGTAACTTAAAATATGACAAAAACAAACTTTCTATTCTTCCATTGTCACCAAATACAATGATCAAGATAAAGACTAATTTGTAGCATTATGTATACCCACTTAAAACAACTCATGGCACACAGTTTTGGATATTTTGTTGAACCCAGCTGTGGTGGAAATTCCTGAAATAATGGACTCACTAGAAAGTCTCCTGTGAATGTATTCACATTCACATTATTCATTTACAAATGGGCTAAAATCAGTGGCATGGACTGTGAGAAGCCTTAAGCAACGCATGCATAGGATAAGAGCAGCTTCCTCTCGGCTTAGCCTAGTTTTATACATGTATCATGCAGGTGCATCTCATCGAGTCATGGCATCTCTAAGTAGCAGAGAAATTTCCCAAAACATAAGAGAATCACAACTCCATTTGGTAGACAGCCTTGAAAGGGTACAGGAAGAACTGCACTGGGTTCTGGGAGTGGCCTGTAGCAATGCTGAACCCTAGTTACGCTCTGTTGAACTGTATTCAGACTGTTTTCCACTACACCAGCTTTTGCAGCATTAAATGCCTTGTACTCTAAATTAGCAGCTGTATTTTCTGAGATACACGCACACATTTACACTCATACAAATTAACTGTCCATTTCAACAAGCTTGTAATGTTTATTGTAGAGTCTGAAAACCACCAACACACATGCAGCAGAAATTTATCTTAACTGCCATCTTTTCACTCTTATTACCCTCCCAGGTCACACTGCCCTTTAACACCAAGTGTCCACTGTGTGTGTATGTGTGTGCATGTGTGTGTGTCTGTGTGCGTATGTGTGTGTGTGTGATAAAGAGCAGTGTAGACCTTGAGATAAGACAAACCTCCACAGTAAGATCCAATAAAACTCAGATTATGACAAAAGGACACACACATTCCTGAACAAATACTCTGCGTCTTTCTCGTTCTTTCTTTGTATCTCAACGTGAGACAGACTTTGGACTTTGGAAACATATTAATTGAGGGTTTTCACATTTTGCTTGTATTAGGGGCAACCTTGATTTTAGTCACACTCCACTCAAATACACACATACACACACACACACACACATACACACACACACACACACACATTGATGTGTGTTCTCCAAATCTTGTTTATAAAAGGTGACTGGAGATACTAATTTGTGGGATCATCCCTTCAGGAAGGAATCATTACAGAATCTAACAAGGTACGGTGAATCTGTTCATTATTACATGATCTTCTCATTGGTCTCTAGATGTATTTCCACCGTACATGTAGCCATTATATTTTTTAAACTATAAGACAATTCATGACTTTATGATTTATTCAGTTTGCAGTGTAAGCTTTGATTTCTTTTACAAGATGTAAGAGGGCCTGAATGGTTCACTTATACGTTGTGGTTACTGTTTATTTTTACTTGTGATAAAATTGTGAGCTTATCTTTGATTGATTACTGTAATATATAGTCATTGTCATTTTGTTTCTAAACTGGATACATAGAATAATTATTTATTCTTACAGATATCAGCTACTTCTGTTATATTCGCTGTGTAGTTTTACTTGTTTGCGGCTGCATTCAGGAACACTAGGGCATGAGTAGGCTACATTGTTTACTTGTGTCCCCGTCTTAATTATTAATAATAATTCCCCTCTTAGTAAATACAGCTTTTTATCATCTCCATCCATTGTCAGACCAGGGGTGAAAATAGGCCGGTACGGTCCGGTACTGTGTACCACAAAATGATTCAGTGGCAGTACATAGTACCGGTATAAGGGGAAAGTCGCTGCCTGCCAAAACCCACATTCAAAAAAAAGTCATGGTCACATTTTCAGCCAAAAAAAAAAAAAAACACGTGCTAACGTTATAGCATCTTAAACAACACATAGTCTCCTTATTAATTGCTTCTAAGTCATTCAGAATTGCTTCTGAACCGTCCGTGTTGTGATCCGTGCTGGACGGAGCCCAGTTGCCTTTTATTACCGCTAGTTAACGTTAGCTCGAGCTTCCGCCAACGCGCTGCAGTTGACTGATAATGAGTGTTGTGGGGTTTAGCAGGCAGAAGTTTGTTGCAAAATCTCCCGAGTAAAATGTGTAGCAGAATAAATTGTGATGTTTCATGATATTCTGTTTTATTCCAACAACACAAACAGCAGCTCTGACAAGTTGTGTGTGAGGTGTAGACCAGGGATTACTCTGCAACTCTTATCAACGGCACGCGACTGCGCATGCGCATCTTTACTTCCCAAACACAGCGTCTGTGAAAAGTGCGTTTGATTTATTGTTCTGGCACGCTCGATTTTTTCACAACCAGACCACGGACTCCATTAATGTCGTTTGCACTGGGACAGGATGAACAATAAATGATTCCAGCAAAATTCCAAAAATTCTTGTGGTTGGCCACAGGCTCTCAGTGCATTTTTAATATCTGTGATTATTTTTTAGATATAGTTTCAAAAACTAAAATAACAAACGATTGAAAAACGTCAAAGTAACAGCCTTTAGTAGAAGAATGCCAAGCACACGCAAAAAGGAATAATGCAGAGAACAATTATTCAAATGTTTAAGAGAAAAGACAGAACTGCTGAAACTGAAAATGTACTGGCTAAACACTCAAAAAGTGGCATGGCTGGCAATTACTCAAGAGGATGACTACTTTAGTCCTCTTTGGAAAATCTTTTAAGTGTTTTGTTTTGATGGGAAATAAATCCATCATTTTGCACATTGTAGGAGACAATTAAAGACCTTTTTTTCATAGTAATCTATTCTTTAAGTGTCCAATGTTTTGAAAATTCAAAGATTTAGAAATTCAATATTAATCTGCGGCACTTACACCCTTATTTCACACATCACACCACACATTTTGAGACATCATCTGTTCTTTCATTTATGTGACACATATGTCAGAAAATCCAAAAACGAGACTGTTCAGCTGTTAAAATAAGCAGTTATAAATTAAAACTAGTTGTGAGGATTTTGAAAGTTTTGTCAACATTCCCATAGACCTATTAACCATTAACCATTAACTATTAAAACAAATTATTGCTATACTAAATGTCAAGTGTTTCTATTTTCTTTCTATTCCATGTTGAAAACTTTTTTTTGTCAGGGATGCATGAAGCCGGGGAGAGAGGCAGAAAATATGAAGTAATGAAGGTTGTGGTTGTAGTAATTTAAAACTTTCACCCCTGCTTGTCACACTGACATGAGAAAGAAAATTAATAAGAGAGGCCAGAGAGAGGAAACATAAATTTACAGTAGAGTGACATAGGATGTATAGTAATTCTCATTAAAGTAGCTCATGTTTAAGGAGTTAGAAGGTTAGTGCATAAGTGTGTATTATGTATTTCAGAATAAAACATTTTCCGGTGGCTTAGTGGGTTAAAGCTCATTAGATATCATGTCATGATAGTGAGTCATCCTAATTACCTGCAATAACAGTCAAAGGTTGAGTTGACCCTTGCTATAATTAGGTTCTGTTTGTAGTAGATAATGTTTTATATGGTTCTGTAATATATGCATATATTACAAAATTGTAGAATTAGTGAAATAGACACCATTTGTTTCTAAATTAATTAATTCATAGCAGTGATTAATACGTTACTCAATACATGAATGTATGTCAACAGTGAAGAAATCATTCTTAATGTGTAAAAATTATTAAATAATATATTTTAAAAAATGAACAAATAAAAGTAGTGTTGCCAAAACTGCTCGAAATGAATACATTCTACCAAAGCTCATCACACCCCACCCCCCTCTATTTATGCTACACTTGGTACATTCCCCCAAAACTTCAAAGCAGAGGCTAGTAAATTTCAGTGAGGGGTGAGAAACCCAAAGATAGTGATTAAATAAAGATATTAAAGTCTGATATCTGTGTGGTGTTACTAAAAGAGCTCTGCTGACAGTGCACAAACAGCAAGACTAAATACTAATAGCAGGCTTCAAACATTTTTAATCACTATCAAACAACCCAGACACCTGGTGGCTAGATGGTGGCAATCCGGACTTACAGTATGATGGCAACCGTCCCATTATTTCTCCTGTTTTCTTGATGATTTTATTAAGAACTTCCCATTGTTTTATGTTGATGCCTCCCTCCTGCAGAGCCATGTGGGTTGTCCTTGCCTTGCTGCTTGCCCTCTCCAGTGGGGCTCTGTCTCTGAACAAACTCAACATGTGTATGGATGCCAAACACCACAAAGTAGAGCCTGGCCCTGAGGGAAAACTTTACCTTCAGGTGATGAATGCAATACATGGACATAGATAGAACAAAATACACAGATAGAACAAAGTAAACAGATATAATGTTTCTTTTTTCTCTCTCTCATTTTGAGTTTCTGATCTTGCTGCATCAGCTGATCCAGACAAAAAATGTTTTCAGCTCAACATTATAAAGTGACCCCTCTTTGCTCTTCCTATTTACAGTGTTCTCCCTGGCGTGACAATGCATGCTGCACGGCCAACACCACCGCAGAAGCCCACAACGATAACTCCTACCTGTACAACTTCAACTGGAATCATTGTGGTGTTATGAGCCCCCAGTGCAAGAAACATTTCATCCAGGACACTTGCTTCTATGAGTGCTCACCACACTTGGGACCCTGGATACAAAAAGTGTGTACTATACATGTGTGCACCTCAGTCTCTTTTGTATGTCTGTAGTTGTGACACTAGATGGCAGCATAAGATGTTGAAATGACTAAAAGGGCTTGTCAGGATAGCTGAATCCATCCATACAGTATGTTGCCATTATTCTATGTACTTATAAAAATCACCAGACAATTATTTTTTAAGATAGACTTTGTAATGTGCCCCATTTTAATTTGTGGATACTTTGTACTTCACCTTATATATGACATAGCATTGCAACAGTTTTGTGAAAATATGGATCATACAAACTGGGGAATTATGTGTGTAGGTGGATCAGAGCTGGCGTAAGGAGCGTATCTTGGATGTGCCTCTTTGTATGGAGGACTGCCACAATTGGTGGGAAGATTGCAAGAATGATTACACTTGCAAGACTAACTGGCACAAGGGATGGGACTGGAGCTCAGGTAAGTGTAAAACCCACACACATGCACACAGACCAGTGGGTACATACAGACTTGCTCACATTTTCTTGTTTAATTCGCACCTTTGCATCCACATTAATGCACATGGTAAACAAATAGCATTAATAACTCAATCTGCACACACTACCACACCAGCTTATTACTACACTTAAATCAAATTCCTCCATTTATATTTGAGGAATATTTGTGGCTGCGATGGTCTGTCTGAAATCCCCTGCTCACTCCAAAACTCTCTCTCTCTCTCTCTCTCTCTCTCTCTGCAACAGGTGTTAACAAATGCCCTGAAAGCAGCAAGTGCAGAAAGTGGACTGAAGTTTACCCAACACCCAAGTCCATGTGTGAGCTAATTTGGTCCAACTCCTACCTTTATACCACCCACTCCAATTCCTCAGGTCGCTGCATGCAGCTCTGGTTCACCGGGCCAAACCCCAACACGAAGGTAGCTGAGTACTACCTGAACAACGCACAACAGCACCAAAGCTTTGCCTTGACAACGCTACTTTTCCTGGCTGTTGGATCTTTCTCTTTATGGATATACTAACATGATATCCTTGCCCCATCCTGTATCACTATTACAGGTATCAATAAAACTGATTTCAGATACTCTCCCGACTCTCCTGGCTTTCTTGTCCTGTTCTGAGTAACTGATGGGAAAACTCTCCCTCTGGTTTGCAGCCTCTTAAACACACATTTTAAATCTGCATTTGGTTTATTTTCTTTGTGATTTCCTACTTAGTTTATTCTTATACTATTTTTTCCTCATTTCTTGTCCAACCAACCATCAACTCTGTGTCCATGAAGCTGTGATCATTTACTACTTGGACATTGGAAAATATCCATGCAGTGCAAAATAAATGGGATCAAATTCAACCTCAAAAAATTGTGAGCAGTGATGGATTGTCAGCTCTAAATACAGTTTACACACACACAAAATACAAGATTATAGTTTCACCACCAAAATGTAGAAATAGCCAAAATCAAGACAGCACAGCAGTTTTGAGTCTAGGAAAGTATATGTAGAAGATTTGAAAATCTGTGTGGATAAAGAAAATAAAACAAAAATAAACTTGTGCCTCTGTACAAAGCATGATGGGACATGCCACATACTGTATTACTGCACAGCTCTGGGATGTCATTTCTCTTAAGTGCAGAGAAATCCACAAGACTGTGGATCAGCTTAATAACCCCTTTTTAACCTCAACCACCGGTGAGGAAACTGCAAAACTGACCCAGGATCTGCTTTGAGGGTGAATGTTTCTCTACATTGGGCCTAAGCAGTGGGCTCCACTGCTTGGTAATTATGGGGTTTCAGTCCCCTGTGTGTGTGTGTATGTGTGTGTGTGTGTGTGTGTGTGTGTGTGTGTGTGAGTGAAAGGGTGAGGAAGAAAAGGACAGGGAGAAAGAAAAAGAGAGAATAAGGGTGTGTTAATGTCTCTTTTACTCCCCCTATGTTTAAGTGTGTTTTAGTGTCACACAATCTCTTTACGTTTGTGTGTGTGTGTGTGTGTGTGTGTGTGTGTGTCTGTGTGTGTGTGTAAGTGTGAATGCCACGTGTATTCAGATCTTTGAATAAGTCTTATGATTGGTCAGCTGGTGTGTGTTTCTACAAGATTTGACAACTGAGGTCCTTGGCAGATCAAAGATAAATTTGAAATATACATTTAGTAACTTTTGTGCACTCTGTACTTTCGTAATCATGGCCTGAGATAATTAATCTATTAATTTAAAGTCACTTTTGAAAATAACGGATATATAATCAGGTGTGCCAAAGTGCTGCTCCATTTCTGAGGCTTTCACACCTTTCTTGATGATAGCACTGTATAATTCAGCGTTGCAAGTTCCACTGTGAAACCCTCTTTTCTCAGCATGAACTGTATGCATGCTGCTCCTATCAAAATAGAATTATGCCATTGCAGAAGTCTGGTAATTGGGACCATAACTGACCCAACAGTTTTTTTATTCAAACATGAGCATAACAATGCTTCAATATCATCTGTTACCACAACACTTAAAATACTCAAAATACTTAATGTGGGTTTGAATAACAGACCATGTTTCAACCACCACCATCCATATGTCATAATCCCATCAATTTCCATAATGCAGTTGACATCATGTATGTCTAATGATGTCAAGCTGAGCCTGAAAAGCTGACTCTGGGATATCCACACAGTGTAGTGTGGCCTGATTACAGTGGCCTCAAGCAACTCTATCACCAAAAAAAGAAAAAAGAAAAAAAAAGAATGGACTCTTTTGGAATGGACTCTGTTTTGCAGGTTACAACATGGTCTGTCATCTGGCCACATCCTCATGCTCAACAAAACAAAATCTGAAGAATGGCCATTGTCTGAAAAGTAGTTTACCCATTGTTCATCCATCCAACAATTTTGTTTTCAGTTGTGTATTCGGAATCACAGCCTCAGCGTGCTAGCTGTTGCAAGGCTATAGCTTTTGAGTCTTGTAACAATTGTAGCAGTAAGATACAGAAAAAGAAAATGTGCAAAAATGTGTTATTTGTAAGACATTTTGCAGACAAAGTAGTTTTATTATGGTGTGACATCTTGCAACAAACTTTTATGATCTCTGTATGCAGACATATTGTTAAGCCACACTTCAGTCCACTCACACACACACACACACACGCACCCACACACACATACACAGAGTGATGCCATAGCCAGAAATAGCTTTGGGATGGCTGCTGTCCCTGTGGCTATTAATACTCAGTTTTTCTGAGGTCATTGGCAACACACACCACCATGCCCAACTCTCTCTCTCTCTCTCTCTCTCTCTCTCTCTCTCACACACTTTAACTCTCCCTCTTTCTTGTGTGTGTTTGTGTGGTTGGGGGTGGGGGGTTGGGGATATCCATACCACATTTTAGGAGAGTCAGACTTTTTGTGGGCAACTAGAGGAAAAACAATAAATAAATAAAAGAACGACTAAAGTCAGAATAAAGTGCTGTGAACTCCAAATTGGGTTGGTTGTTTCCTGTGGTTTGCCAGTCCTGCCCTTAGGTGCACCTTGTCGGAGATTGCTTGTGTGTGTGTGTGTGTGTGTGTGTGTGTGTGTGTGTGTGTGTGTGTGGTCTGGAAAAGAAAAGAACTGCATAACTGGATTGGAGCTTGTGTTGAGAAATTACTCAGCTTGGCCTCCTCAGCGGCTGCAGGTCAGTAATATTCAAAGAAAAAGCCCTCTGGCATTAGTGAGGGCTTTGACCACGTAGGCTACAACTTAGAGCCGTGATACAAGAGTGGAGAGGAAAAAACAGGTAATTTATGAGTTATTTTGTGATCGCATAGTAGCTACAATATCTTTTAGTTCACATAGCTTTTTATACATATGGGTGAAAATTGGATTTCATTTGCTGATTTTATTCTAAATGGTGTGAGAGTACTTAAAGCAAGCATCACAGAAACTTGAGCCCATGCCAAGTTCCCACAGGATATACGATTTTGAAAACATATATGGTGGATAGGACAACAAAGGGGAAAACTGTACTTTGGTGCAAAATGTATTTGGATCTTAAGTAAAACTAGTGATACTACTTTGTGAAAATACTCAGTTACCAGTGAGGGTTATAAAAGAAGACACAATTATTATGAGAATGAAAAACAAAAGTAAAAGTACTCATAATGAGCAACAGCCCCTTTCATGTCGTTGTTTTATTGTATGTCATATTACTGGACTATTATTAAAAAGAAAGAAGCATGTAAGTGTAAAAAGCAATTGAATGTTGTAGGCGGTGAAGGTGGGGCTAGTTTTAACTGCTTTGTACACTGTTGGGTAGATCAGTCTACAACAATGCATTATGTTTTATTTGTTGATCATATATTTTGTATGTAAACTCTTAACTTACAACGTAATTAAAGCTGTCAGATAAATGCAGAGGAGGGGAAATTACAATAATTATCTTTCAATGTAGTGAAGCATTTGTATAAAGTTGAATAAAATAAAAGTACCGCACGATTTTACAGTAAATGTAGTTACTTTCCACCACTGCCCTCTTCTCTACCAGTCAATTCCTTTACTTCACTTTCTCTCCATCCCTCCTCCTTCCTCTCTTTCTCACAGTATCTCTATCCCACCATCCCTCCTTCCCAGGGAGCTATGTCAAGTTACCTAGAGCTAGACCTAACGGGAAACAAACGTTGGGTGAGTTTGCCCCTGGAATAAAGTGTCTCACTCTAAATTCGCCAACAGCCTGTTTTATTTTGAAAATTCTCACAGGAAGTGTTTTGTATTGACACTATGTAGGTGCTGACGCGGGTCGTCACCGCTGTTGCTCCCCGGTCTCCAGTGTGGATTTACATACCCTGGTTTCCGTGGGACTGGGAAGCGAAAGAGGAGGGTGGCGAGCCTTTCAGGAACCGAGGAATCAGCCGCAAACGGCGCAACTTCACAAATTAACAACTTGTTGCCCCGTTGTCCCGTTGTCGGTTTTCTCGTGCCAGCTCTCTGCCGTCGGAATAACGTTTACGGTACTTTTCTGCGCTTCTCTCGGCTGTCAACTGTTCTCTCTCTGGATTATTTTTCTAGTCTGGAGGAGGGCTGGGAGCTTTTTCTGAGAAGTCGGGAAGCAGCTTGAGTTGAACCCGGTTTGAAGGGCTGTGGCCATGGCCGGGGGTGGTGGTGGTGGGGTTTCTCCGTTGGGGCCCGCACCGCCAATGTGGTATCACCGGGACCTGAGTCGAGCGGCGGCCGAGGAGCTGCTAGCCCGGGCCGGGAGAGACGGGAGCTTCCTGGTGCGGGACAGCGAGAGTGTCAACGGAGCTTACGCTTTGTGTGTACTGTAAGTAACTTTGTCGCAGAAAAGAGAAACTTGTTTGAACCTAACTTTTGTTTGCGGTCTCGTTTTGCTTTGTTTACGGGAAAACGTTGTGCCCCTGCCAATGGTTTAGTTTAAATGGTATTTGAAGTTAACAGCTAGCACACATGCCTTCAGGGAATCTTGGGTTTTGTGTTCAAGTCACTGCCTCGTCTGTTACTACTCTGCAAACGTCTCTAGGTTGTGCATAAACTAAAGCATCATTTGCTTTTGTACAGTGTGTGATCAAATTGTTCTAGTTTAAGCCTGCGTAAAAAGCATTTGTTTATTTTCTCCTGGAAGGCAGTGAGTTGGAGAGACAGACTGCCTGTCTGCCCAGCAGTTAAACTCCTGCATGGCACACAACTTTAGGGCTGTCCCTGTCTGTCTAGAGTCTGATGTGGTCGCCTGCGGAGCCGTTTTTACAGGGCACACTGCTACAATCAGCCTGCGGGTTGTGAGCAGTGGCATTAAACTGAGTGCTGGTGGAGGTAAATATAAGCATCGGATGTTTTAATTGAAGGCTCGTTTAAGATCAGTGCAGTGGTGAAGCAGCCGGTTTAGCTGAGTTACACACATTGTCTTCACAGACACAGTATATCATAAAATAACAACAATCTGTATGTTAGAGTAGTATAGACCTTCTCTGTTTAAGAGGGTGGTGGAGGGCTGGGCGTCCTCTTTGCTAAAAGAAGTGATGAAACGCCCACCCACCATTACACAAGGGAGAGTTTGCCACCATTCATCTCCATGTTCGGTTAGACAATCAAGCTTCAATACAGAGACAGTACAATCAGTACTTACAATGACTCAGCCAAGTCAGATGAACCATGGAAAAGGAATGTTAAACTTTTAAAACTACAAATGACCAAAATGATTCACACGTCACCCCCATCGCCCACACAAAGTTAAACAGATGCATGGGCTACTGATAGTGCAGATGCAATAAATAAAAGGCCTGTGCCATGTGACACAAGACTCTGACATTGACTCGACCTACATCCCCTATCTGAAAGTTTACCCCATGCTGAGCTCCGTGTGTGTATATATGCAGACCAGCAGTACAAACTTTGCAAAACACATAAGAATATGCTAAACAATCAGTGGATTAATTGATATATTGATCAACAGAAAATCAATCAAATTATTTGAATAACAAATCATTTAATCATATCAGCCATTTGTCAAACATAAAATGCTAAATATTCACTAGTTCCTTCTCTTCAATAGTGATTTTGCTGCTTTTCTCTGTTTTACATCACTCTAAACTGGATGTCTTTGGGCTGTTGGTCAGACAAAACAATCTGAATACATCATCTTGAGCTCTGAGAAATTCAAACAAGAAATCACAATTTTTTGACATTTTGTACTTTAAATAATTGTCATGTATAAACACTACTGTTCTTGTCAAATGCAAACTGTCCAAAATACAATAAGTTTGACACACATTTGGCTACTAACCTATTAAAAATACCCAATCGAAGAGATTTTCTAAACATCAGTGACAAAACCCACGTTTCATTCTTTGCTGAATGCACTAGCAATTCAGTAGCTCACTCTATGACCAACAACATTCCTCGCAAACGTTTCCGGATTTATTCCCGCCTCAACCTCTCCCTTCCTCTCCCCTTTCACCTTTCATATCTTCAACCTTGTTTCATCTCAGAGATAGAGTTATGGAGAGAAGTTTACCAAACAGTGCCTCACAAAAAATGTTCCTGTTTTTTTATGCAGAATTTGTGCCTCCAGATATAAAAAAGTGACATAGTATCATAACATGGCAAAAGTGGCATGACATGGTCACCTTTACTGTTTACTATCACTCCTAAACAAGTAAGCAATACTGCTAGAATACTCTCAATACTCTCGTATAACATGGAATAAGTATAAAATGTAAAATGTAGTGCAAGTCCATCATCAAACTTTGCAGCTTTTCCGTTGCTCTCCTATATAACAGGAAACAATTAAAAGCTGACATTATAGTATATATTACAAAAGAAAAAAAAAGAACAACAGAGAGAAGTTACATAATTTAACCACATGTGTGCAGCCCCTAAATTACCGGATGTGAGCGGCAGTTGTTCAATACTGTGATTTGCTCACAACAGAGATATCGTCATTTAATACTCACAAGCAATCCAAGCTAAAGTCAGTGATCATTAGGGTAATGATTATGTATGTTGATTACCTTAAAAGAAGATGACACATATGAATTGGTGAAATGAATGTGGTTCTAATTTTCTGTACATTGCACCATTTAGTGTGTTAATTTTGAATTGTCAGTGGTGACTGTTTTTTGACAATGTATCATTGTCAATTCTCACTGATAACCTCATAAACACATGGGAAATTGCAAGGTTTCTGTTTATAAACCCTCTGAGGGACAGACAGTTCTCCCTGTTCAGAGGACCAGTATGTGTTACCACAGAATTAAAAAAATGATTTTAACTGTGACCATTTTAAATTTAAAGTTGAAGCTTCATAAATGCCTATCTGGGGAATCGGCATTGCCTGATGCTTTCTACTTTTCCTTTTTAAAAAATAAATGTTAAAATTAGATTAAAAAAATATTTGCAAAGCTTTGAAAATCATATGTCAGGTTGACTAGCTGATGTTGACCACACTGAAAGGAAGTCAAACTTTAACTGTGATCTTCAGTGTGACTTTTAGTATTTCAGAAAGTAAATGTTTTTTAGTTTTCATAAGATACACAATCAAATTATCGTGGTTCACAATATAAAAAACACACAGTTGCAGGTCACGTGGACAACAGTTGTTAGATCAGTTTCACAGAAACAAGTTGTCTATCTTATTATGTCTTTGAGAACAGGAGGCCAGTATATCCCAACAACCCCTGAAGATACAGAGGAAAAGATTATATGGTCAGACAATACGTTCATTTGTCACCTTTTGCTAATATTGCTTGGTTAAAAAAAAAACAAAAGAAAAAACCCCAAATTTCCAGGAAGTAAAATCTGAATCACCAGAGGCTTGAAAAGGTTCCAGACTGCTGAATGGTCGACTGTTTTTAGTCATGGCCCCGGTGTAGCATCCTGGAGGCTCAGGGCTGATGTGTATAGCAGGTCCTCTTGATGTTGAATGACTTTGTCTTTATCTCCTGAGCCCTTCAGCTTCCCCACCACACTGTCTACTGAAACAACATAAAACTCAACCTGAAATGTCACTGTAACTGCCACTGTAAGGGTTTAGACACATTTTAAAACCCATTTTTCAATAAAAAGGCAACATGTAAGTTAACCAAATTTATTTACTGTTGAACATAGTCAGATTGTCTTTGTCCAGTGGACTACAACATGGCACGGTGGAGGCTTGGAACACAATTGCGTCAATGTGCTGATTTAACATGGAAACTAGCTCATTTTAACTCCTCTACCAAGTGACCTCTTTTTGGATCCTGCCCACAAAACACATACATACCAAGACATTCTTTTTTAACCTGAACTAGACATAGCTTTTTGTTGAGCTTGCCCTTGTGACTTACATACACAGACATGTGTACTTCCTTTTTGAGAGCTGTGGAGGGACCAGTGTGTTTAGGAAGTGTTTCCACTCTGCTCTTGTCTGAGAATAGAAGCCGTAGCAGCAGTGGGACTGACTCCCAGGCCAGCTTGTTTGTGTAGGCCTTTGCCTTTCACTTCCTCTTACTGTACATCTAAGTCTGTGGACTTTGAGTTTTGTGTGTATGCATGCAGAGTTTAAGGTAATTCTGTGACTTTTGTAGGAAGTGACCACCATTTAGTATTTGTGTGCTAGGAGTGTTTGGTATCTATGTGCTACATATGGTTGCAGATAAAATATCTCAATGATATATAGTATGTGAAAGCACTTTCTTTAAAATTTTGCTGTATGTCTACACAGACATTGAGTTGTTTTCTATTTTTGCTGTCAGGACGATGTTCTTTAGTATCAGTGCAGCGCGTCTTAACATGTCAGGGTTCAGGCATGGCTCCCTGTGTTTCTGTAGGTGTTTGAAACCTAAAGGTTTCTGTGAAAGCATTCCTTACCGGGAAGGTGTGTGAAGTATATATTGCATTGCGGTGTTATCCTTTTTTAGATAGCTAGTTTTAGGTAGAAGTACTGTATGAAGTGATTTGGTTACATGATATGTTTTGCCATTTTATCCATGTAGCACACGGCTATCTTACAGCCTCCTTGCATCTTTTTTATTTTTTAGTTCTTACATATGAAGATGTTAGGATTCAGATCTACAGCTTTTATACCACCCTTATGCCAATTGCCATCAAGCTAAAAATCCTTCTGAAAATGATCCTAGCTTCTGTTTAACCACATCATCTTATGTAATTGGTATCAATATGGGATAGTGTATTCACTACATCAGTGTTCTTCAGAAAAGAGTCAAGCTAACCAATATTTTGTGATTTTACTATATCCCACAGTTTGTACTTAGCTTGCTCAATGCAATATCATGGAACAGGTAACATTTTGAAGTATATGTAGCAATAGAATAATATGTGGCTAAATATTGTAACTAGTCATTGATACACTGTGTTGATACACATGCTGTTTATGTTGCCTGTGCATTGTAAATACCAGAACTGAACGGACCCACTGCACTTTGAGTCAGTGGAGAGTGGAGTGCCTGATGACCAGGACAGACACAAAGTGGACAACAGAGCTATGAGGGAGGAAATTTACCTCTTGATTGTTGTTAACTTAAAGCAGTAATGAGTTTTGCCAGTGTGGGCTTCTATATGATCTTTGAGGAAGGTCATAGACTGTGTGTGTGTGTGTGTATGTGTGTGTGTGTGTGTGTGTGTGTGTGTGTGTGTGTGTGTGTGTGTGTGTGTGTGTGTGTGTGTGTGTGTGTGTGTGTGTGTGCGTGCGCGCGTCATTTGGATGAGACAAAACAAAAGGAGGTGACACTTTAAATTAACAGGGCAGAGGGAGTCAGTGGGGCAGTCATTACCCTTAACACAGACTGTTGTTGACAGGCCACACATACACAGTGTGCTTTGGGTCTGTGTCTATCCCATAATAAAGCCCTCTCTCTCTCTCCAGCCCCCCCCCCCCCCCCCCCTATATACTTTCGCTCTTCTCGACAGACAGTATTTACTTCCCAGACCCACAGAAATCTCATCAACTGCCAACAGGCACACACACACACACACACACACACACACACCCAGAATGCATTGTGTTTAAAAAATGACAGGATTAAATATGGATATGGTTTCACGGGCCAGATAGACAAAAGGAGCAATTCATCTCACTGACTGTGTTCATAGGTGGACCATGAGAGCAAATATTTTATATTTAAGTTTATACTTTTAGACATAACTCTTTTAGACATGATTTATGGAACTATTATTGGCAACAATCTAATGAATATGCTATGTTTAAATCAGTTCAACGTGGGGACCTCTGTTCTGTGTGGCTTAGCTCGACAAGTCCCATATCATTTAACTCTGATGCTCTGTGTTCTGTCAGATCAATTATGCCAAATCAAAAAACGTATCAAAATAGGACATCTAAAAGGTTTTGGCATCAGAACACTTACAGCAGGAATCGGTAATAAGCAGGCTGTAAAATCATAATTGCCCTCAGTAAGGAAATGGTCCAAAGGTTGAATGCAGTAAGAGGAAATTTAAAACACTTCATAATTCATTTCCAGAAACTGGAACCAGTTTTAAATTGCCTGTCAAGCACTGGCACAGTTTTATAGCTTGTAAAACTTCCTCTTGAATTAACACAAAATGTTGATTTGAGTTTCTGATGCCATCAGAAATGTAATAATGTTGGTCCACCTGTTATGGATGTTGTGCAGGTTTATTCCATGTCACTATGCTGGTCAATGGAAAAAATCAAGTCAATGTGACTCAAAAAGTTGATTCAGTCCAATTTCATGAAGTGAATTTAATACAACTGTGCCAGTATTTGTAAAAAAGTAATCCTGTAGTTGTTTGTTGTTGAAACACTCTCATATTTTATTCCACTTCGTGTCTTAGTTCCTGTAGGATACTGACCTGGAAAGACTGGAAAAACAGCTGAGTGGACAAGGCAGGATGAATTCCTGGCATGAATTTATCCTCCCACTGTTTTATATAGTGTATACAGACAAGTGCATACTGTAGGCACAGCGTGTAAGCAGAAGTAAAAGCATCACTGAGTTGTTTTGCATTGGATGCCATCCTCACACCCACGCTTATAAACAGATTCACAACCATGACGCACACATATACACCAACAGACATCAACCACAACATTTGCTTGGCAAAATTGGACATTGTGTGTCCGGTCCACTGAGCAGACATGAAGTGCAGACATGAAAATCATTAAACTCCAGCTTGTGGCTGCAGGCGTGTAGTCACGACTGTGCAATCACAATGTCAGCGCATTGATCTGTGATTGGTTTAAAAAATAAAAAAATAAAAAAAAAAGCTTGTGGTTCAATCAGAAATGCTGTTCACACCACAAATTCTGGGAGAAATTCAAGAAAGGATAGGAAGATATTTTTTGTGCCATCACTGTAAGTTTACAATGTATAAACACAAGGTTCAACTCTGTTCTGCTCTAATGTATCATGCTACTGTAAGGATAAAGCCCGCTCACAACTGTGACAGACAGCAACAGGTTGAAACTCTCTACAGCGTCTGAACCCCCTCGTGCTCATATATACATACACACACACACACACCCCTATCCACTGAGGTCAAGTCCAAGAGTGGGTGTGCGAATGTGAGACTTGAAATGGTTTTTTTTGTTGTTGAATCAAACAATAGTCTAAATATTATCTCTTCTTCTCTCATATCTCCCTCCCACTTTTGTTTTCTACATTTTCTCCAACTTTACTCCCATAGGTTTCAGAAGCACGTCCACACATACAGAATCCTCCCAGATGATGAAGGATTTCTGGCTGTACAGGTACAGAAAAGACACACACACACACACACACACCCACACGCTCTCTTTTTCTCTCTCATTTATATAGACACAGACACACACAGTCCACTGAGGTTAAGTGTATGTACATGTGTGCAGCAAAAACTGTATTTGCTTCAGTAGCAGCTGGCAGGCAGAGATGCTTTTGTTGGCTCTGAGCTCCCTCACTCTCACATATACACACACACCAACAGCAGCGTCTTTGTGCCTTGTGCCCAACAGCTGTGAAGTCCTCACCACCCCCAGCCACACGCACACACACATGCACACACACACACACACACACACACACACACACACACACACACACACACAGATGCTTCAGATGATCTATGTGGCTATCTCAGTTTAGACTGATTTTTAGGGTTGTAGCTGTGACATTGAAGAGAGTCTAAAAGTCTAGTTTTGTTTCCTGGTACTGAATTTGTTTGCAGGCAATGTTTACTAAAACAGTTCCTCCTGGTTTGAATTACATTTAGACTACTGGGTCATATGTGCTTACACAACATTAAATGTGGAACAATAGCGACCACCAGAGATTTCAATAACACGGCTAGTTGTAGCCAAGGAGTTTGGATGTAATTGTTATGTTCATACCATGTAGAAAATAACTCTCATTCTCTTCATCTGTCTCATGGTGTGTCCCTCCCTGTTTCTCTTCCTCCCTCCTTCTTTCAGACATCTCAGGGTGTGCAGCCTAAGCGGTTTAAGACGTTGCCAGAGTTGGTGTCTTTGTACCTGCAGCCCAGCCAGGGTCTGGTCACCACCCTGCTTTATCCCGTGGACAGAGAGGAAACAGCTGTCAGCGATGACAGAGACTATTCAGGTATCTCCAGAGCCTACAGACGCACACTCACATGGTCACAGTGACCTCCCTTTTGTCGCATTTTAACTCTCCTTTTCTGTGATTGGTAGATGGGGAGGATGAGAAGCCACCTCTTCCCCCTCGCTCTGCCTCCACCTCCACGCCCCCTGGACCAGACACACCCACAGACAGGTATGAAGTTTACACAGGACCTAATTTAAATGTGTATGAATTACTCTGATAATATGTAAGTGCAGAAACTACCTGCAGAGCTTTTTAACCATCATGCTAACCATTTAGTTCTCATCAACAACCATAATAGAAACACAGAACCACAGAACCACAACACACACACACACACACACAGGAAGGATGTTGTTTCACTGTGAATCAGATTATGTCATAAATAGTAAGCAGATGTATAATTGATGATATGAACTGATGTTATGACCGCACTGTGCCCCAGTCACTTTCACCATTTCTGTCACATGACATTAACACATCGTTACATATTAATATCAAACAATGACTCTCCTACACTCATGTTCATTAGCACGCACGCACACACACACACACACACACACACACACCCCCCCCCCCCACCCCCCGACTGCATATAGAGGGAAAGCCACATCCTGTTGAAAACCACATTGCTCACAGATGATGCAAGGCTTTAATGAGTGGGGGCTGTCATTTGTGTGCATGCAGATGTGTGTGTGTATGTTATTCAGATCTGTGTAGATTAACAAAAAACAAAGGTCAGTGTCTTTGCTCAGACTACTATGTGCTGTATTTTAACAGAGTTAGGAAATTGTATTAATCATTCTAGCAGGTGGTAGTTACTTTTTAAAGTTGCCGAGAAGAATTTTCTCAAACTGATGAGTGAAGTAACGGTAATCTGTGGGTTGTAGTAACTTTTGTCACAGTTTCAACTGTAGGTGAATTCAAGGAGCAACATCCTCCTTTCGTTCACAATGGTCTTCATTTGTGAAGTTGTCCATAGAAAGAAGTGAAGAATTGGCCATTGAAATCCCACTGTGACACTTTCTACACATGATTAATTACATTTTGCTAAACCACCAAAATGAGCGCAAAATACATGACAGATCAGAGACAGTGAAGGAACAAGACATCACCTTTTCGTTTTCACTTGACACTTGTAACAGTCTGCTGGTTTGCATGCTAAAAATAAGCCGTGGCTCAGGAAAATTTACTTAGCTTACTTAGAAGCCCCACTGTGGACCATATTAAAGGATTGTAAATGCAGAGATCTGTAGGTGCAAAAGCTGAAGTTTTAGTTGCAGAGACTAACACCTGGCCTTTTGTTGGCTCACATGGTTAAGTGAGTGTGTGGTTTTTGTTTTTTTTTGTGTGTGTCTGCATCTGTCCATGGCAGGGCAGACATAAGTCAGCTCACTGGTTCAGAGGAAGTATGTGATTCTAAAAACCCTGACTGCAGAGATAGAGTGCTCACAGACACACACACAGCTTTGCAAATGTGCCACTGACAATGCAGGACCTGACTGTGTAAAATGTGCAGCCAACATCTAATCACAAGAATGCTGTTTTTGCCTGCTTATACTGTAATATTTACACTTATGTTGGGTAATTGTGTGCATGTAGTGAAGATGGTTATAAATGCTCATTGGACTTTATTTTGTTTTAGCGCTCCAGCAGCTAATGGCCTGAGCACCATCTCCCATGAGTACTTGAAGGGCAGCTATGCTCTGGACCTTGAGGCAGTCAAACAGGGAGCCTGTTCCCTGCCTCACCTCAACAAGACACTAGTGGCCTCCTGCAAACGCCTTAATGGGTAAGACAGACACGCACACCAGCTCATACGTAGACACACATATTCCACAGTGCATGCACAGATACACAGAGCTATTCTTTCATGTATTCGCTCATCATGACACTGACATAACATATTTGTAAGGATTTGCTCTCTCTGTGTGCAGAGCTGCCTGCTACCTCATCCCTTTGTTTTGGTCACAATGACATGTTGCACATTCAAACACTGTGGAAAAAATGTAACAAAATATAACTTAATCACATAGCTATTAATCATCTGTTGTCAATCAAGCAGCCCCAACCTGCACACATACATACAGTAAATATCTGTTCCCTATAAATTGATCTAAATTAAGAGAAAGACGTGATTTAGAGAGGCATTTTTTAAAACTGTGGATCTCTTTCTGTTTCTCTCCTTAGGGAGGTGGATAAGGTTCTGTCTGGTCTGGAGATTCTGTCTAAAGTCTTTGATCAGCAGAGTGCCTTCATGGTCTCCAAGATGATCCAACAGGTACATTTTCTTTAACACAGAGTTGGATTTATACATACATATATGCACAGAGGTAGTAGTATACAGACATACAAGTGAATGTCATGAGGAAAAAGCTTTTTTTTCCTCCAGGGTCCTTTGGGCACAGCTGAGGTAGACTTAGTCATGCTACACTCATACATACTGCTATTGAAATGATTTATCTCAAGGAAAACTATGCACAGGGTTGTTTGTGTTTATCTGTGTGGTATATGTGCATGCGGAGATTTGTATTTATTATATTTGTAATGTTCTTCCATAGTTGTGCGTTGTTGTCTAACACATTTAAAACTTAGATGGTGTGTTTATGAGACAGGCGGAATGTCTTATTTTTTTATAGATTTCCATAAACGAATAGATGTGAAATAAAATCTTTTAAATCATCAAGTAGCTGTCTCTTAAGAAATGCAAATGATGGATTGACCGCTGTGCGAATTTCACAACCATCACAGAAAATAGAGGCATTGCTGCCTCAGCAAAATTATTTTTTCATTTGGAACTGGTGGCGTCAGTTCAGTAATCACTCTAGTCATGAAGCAGAAGCACTTACACCAACATGTGGTTTTATGTTTAAATAAAAGCTGATTTATTTACACATGGATAGACAAGTTATGCAGGCTTAAGAACAATGTACTGTGTAATTGTGAAATGTGTGTGTTTGCTGTGCAGTTTTACACGCTGTACCATTTTTTTGAAAGCCTGGGTGAAACACATCATGGGTGATTTCTGAAATCTTCCACCATGAAATCTAAATTTTTTTGTCCTTGAAACCTGTTTTACTTTGGTCTTGCTCTTCTCTTCAAACTGCACAGCTTGCATGGGTTCTAATTGCTTTTTTCCCACCAACAGTCAGTGAATCAGGGTGGAGACCAGGAGTTAGAGAACCTTGTGACTAAGCTGGCAATTCTCAAAGACCTGCTGTCGTCCATAGAGAAAAAGGTACTTACATATATTCAGTCATGTGTAGGCATGCACCCTCACACATGATCACTTCTGCTCCCTGTGTGTGTGTGTGTGTGTGTGTGTGTGTGTGTGTGTGTGTGTGTGTGTGTGTGTGTGTGTGTGTGTGTGTGTGTGTGTGTGTGTGTGTGTGTGTGTGTGTGTGTGTGTGTGTGTCTCTCTCTGTTACTTTCTCTTTCTCTACTCAGTCAGATGCACAGCTGTTAGTTTGAAGTGGTCAGTCTAGATAACCCTCTCCATTTGACCATGAAGATGAAGACTCGAGGCTGGTGTGTGTGTTGGGGCCTTGACATACAACATATAGAGGAGAAACAGATGGAAAGTGATGGAGGGATTTTGTGACATTTTTGCCATTTGTGTGTTTGTGTAATTCTCAGGAAGCAGGAAGGAGAGGTTGTGTCATGTAGGTCATAACAGTAAAGGATTTAAGGCGTAGTTTTTTTTTGACCAGCTCTGCCATGTTCATATGTCAAATTGTTTTGCGATGGACTTGGTTTGTAAGGAAGGTCTTTATCTAGCTTGGCAGGAAATGGCCTCAGTGCAATCAAGCTGTGTGTCTTGACTCGTGTGATGTCACTGGCTCCACCTTCTCTGCTCCTGTTAGATCACACTCTGGAAATGGAAAACTCCTTCCTTGTTGACACTAACACTAAAGCTGAAAATAATACAGTTTATCTCTGTATGTCTTTTTTTTATGCCCATGTCTCTTTCCCTCTTTCATTTTTTCATCATACTTCTACCAATTGTTTCACCTCCACCCCTCTCCTTCTCTTTTTTCCCCCTCTCAGGCCCTGAAAGCTCTCCAGGACATGAGCTTGTCCTCACCGTGCTCCCCTCCTCCTCTCTCCATGCGTCACAGCAAAGCAATCCCTGTGCAGGCCTTTGAGGTATGCATGCATACATACACACATACATAACGCACACATATCACCCACACACTTTTTTTAGTGGTTGTCTTCCTGCAGGGTGATGGAGGTAATATCAACATTTTTAGCAATTATCAAGACAATCAATGGTCACAAAGCCAAATTTCCCTTCCTGGGCAGTCAAGCTCTGCTCTATTATCAATTTAGGTATTCACATCATTATCAAAATCTTAAAGCTTTTATATTTCCTTTTTTTTAACAAGGCAAGTAATCTCAGGAAAAGATCAATTTCCTGAGGTGACGCAACAATTCCAGATGTGATTTATTATATGTTACTATCAAGGAATGGCGGTTTTGTTTCACAAAGGACAGATTGAACCTGAATTACAATAAAACACCCCCTGAAGTCAAGTACTCCTCAACACACTGCAGTGGCTGATGTGAGACCAAAAGAATGTTTGCAATGCACTTCCTGTTGTATTGTCATATTACACTTTCAGCAGTGGCATTGTCAGATGAAATGGTATTAATAACTCTTGGTATCATATGCCCATCTACAACAAGTACATAAGTAAGTGAGTGTAACTTGTAAATTTGTATAGTGGTCAGAAGATTATAGTTTTTTTTATTTTGAAAGTGCCTCGTAGACATAGGAAGAAAACTGTTGTGAAGTTGTAGAGAAAAGGAGAAAAAATTGGATATATGTATGGATAGAGATTCGGTGGAGAATAAGGGGGATAGAGGAAGAAAAAAGGAAAACAGAGTGGAGAGATAAATATCAGGGGGAGAACTTATGGAAGCAGGTGAGACAGAGGAGGAAGAGGAGATGAATGATTTGAAATATTAGTTTTCAGCCAAGTCTGCATTCTGGTGATATCCTCTCAGCGGCTTCCTGTTTCACAGGAACAGAAGTGTTGTTACAATGACGAGATAGCTTTAAGATGCGGCATCTTGAATCTCCAACTGACGCACAAACAGACCCCATTGAGGTGACTCAAAGAGAGAATTAATGTCTGTCCTGTGGTTCACCATTTTTTCTGAGAAATATCGAGTCCTATGTTTCTATGTACAAGCTCTATGGATTCTAATAAAATAAAGTCTGCAGTCAAAATTTCCCCAAGTCTGTGTTGATCAGAAATTTGTTAACTGTCTTATAAAATTGATATTGAGAGAATCAGGACATTTGGTGTGTGGTCATCAAAATTACTGCTTTTTGTTTTCAGATATGCTGCCTGCTGTCGACAGATTGCTGACTGCATATAACTGAGATAGATTTAGCTCTCTGTTAATGCCTCAGAAGCAGCAAGCTTGTTTATGTGTCAACAACAGAAGGAGAGAGTGCTGAGGGGTCTACCACTTTCACTTTGGAGACCCCTGGTGGTGTGAGGATTTAATATGGTCTGAAAGTAAAGAGCTCTGTGGTCACGTAAACCTTTTATATGCTCTGGTCCACTACAGGTAAAGCTGGATGTTTACCTGGCAGAACTGACCAAGATAGGAAAGAGTCAGAAGTACACTCTGTCTGTGGATGTAGAGGGAGGACGACTGGTGGTGATGAAGAAGGTGAAAGACAGCCAAGAGGACTGGACCACCTTCACACATGACAAAAGTGAGAAACCCACACATACTCCATACATAGTAACCACAGTGTTTTTTGAACTGTGAGATGGGTAATCAGTGTTTCCCTCAGGAAATTAGTGAGCAGAAATTTGTGTGACAGGTGATAAACAAGTCGGTGACGCATCTTGTCTCATGATAACTTTAGTTGGTAGATGACAGCCTAAACAAAGGCCACATTCACTAAATTGGAAATGTCATTTTCTCTGTGAAATAGCGCCTCTACTCTTTTTATGGATTGTTGATGTTTTATTTTTAAAAAGCGTGTTTATTTTTTATTTTGGTAGTGGAGGTGGTCTTGAGGTGAAGTGGCTCGCCTTTGCTGCACAACGCTGCAAGAAACTCTGAGTAATGTGTCAGATTTAGCTGCCACCATGGAAACAGTTTTAGTGTCTCTGGACTCCAGGGCAAGATATTAAATATATTTAATGTGGATCCAAACTTTTTTATTCTTGATGGTAGCTGTTTGAGACACAGTTGAGGTGAAGACATAAAAAATTATATGAGGATTTAATGACAGCTTTTTTTTTTTTATTACAATTTTCTTTTATCCACCTTCATTGACTTTAGCCTCATTTAAACCTCTCAATCTATTGTTTGACCTCCCTTGCTTTCCCTCCGGATCTTTATCTTTAACTCCTGTCTGTCTGTGTTTTCGTCTGTCTCTGTCTCTCTCAGTCCGTCAGCTGATCAAGTCTCAGCGGGTGCAGAATAAACTGGGCATTGTTTTTGAGAAGGAGAAGGACAAGAGCCAGAGGAAAGACTTCATCTTTGCTAGTGCCAAGGTCTGCATACACATGCACGCACATGCGCTCACACACACACAGTCTCTCTCTCTCTCTCTCTTTCTCTCTCTCTCTCTCTCTCTCTCTCTCTCTCTGTCTTCTCTCATCTCGTCTCGGCTTTCTCCTTCTCTCTCGCTCTCTCTCCTCTCTTTTCTAAATCTAAGAAGGCACAATCTTTCATTGGAATATGCAAATACCTACCAGCAGACATTACAGTGTATACACATTCATATTCAAATGGACAAGGAAATACTCTCACATTTACCTTATTTATTTATATATTCAGAATTAGACTAAGGACACTGAAAGGGGCCAAGCTTTTTGGCACAGACCTGTATACATGTGTCCTCTATGAATTCAGCTTCCACTGCGACTCTTACTATAATGTGAGTCACATACATCTCTGCACTGCTTTTTCTCTTTAGATATTTCTATTTTGGGAAGAAAACTTGATGGAAAATATCAACGAGTGTTATCTAAGCTCACATACATCAAAATGTTTAAAGATTTAATGAAAGCACATATACACACACTGATTGATAGGTAACTTTAAGTGCTGCTGCTTAAAAACAGGGTGCCTTTTGTGGCAACTTCCACTCACTGATTTGTGTGTGTGTGTGTGTTTCAGAAGCGGGAGGCGTTTTGCCAGCTGCTGCAGCTGATGAGAACAAACATTCCAACCAGGATGAGCCAGACATGATTTCCATCTTCATAGGCATCTGGAATATGGGTTAGACACACACACACACACATGCACACATGCACACATTATCTAATATAACTTGGGTTAATAGCAGAACATACTGATCTATCATATATTGTAATATGTTGCACTGAAAAGTAACAGTAAGTATTTCCAGGTCATGACATTAATATTTTTGATGAGAATGTAGCATTTTGATCTTTGGTCTGGTTGTTTAGGCTCAGTGCCTTCGCCTAAGTCTGTGGCCTCGTGGGTGTTGTGTCGCGGCTTGGGAAGACTCTGGACGAGATGACGGTCACCATTCCTCATGACCTTTATGTGTTTGGAACCCAAGAAAACTCAGTGTGTGAGCGGGAGTGGGTGGAGTCACTGCGCTGCATGTTGAAGAGCAGACAGAACTGGAGTATAAACCGGTGAGGAAGCAGGCCATCATGCTGAATGTCACATCCATTGATTAAACTGGTGTTACTTGTGCTTGCTCACACCTACCAATCCGTTTAAGTCACGCAGGAGTAACAAGAAAAAGTGGAGGTGATATGTTTTAAGAAGCTAAAACTGAAGATGACACAGCTATTTTTGTACAGAGATGGTGCAGTAATTATGAGTATAGGCTCCTCACTGTCTATTGTCCTTGTTTTGTAGATCGCAGTGCAGACTCTGTGGAACATTAAGATTGCTGTCTTGGTGAAACCTGAACATGAGAATCGAATCAGCCACGTGGGAATGTCCAGTGTCAAGACGGGCATCGCCAACACACTGGGTAATTACAGTGCTCAGTCTTCCCTCTTCAATCTTTTTATTTGAAAAAAAATAATGATTGATATGATTCATTACTGCATCTCTGGATGAAAACATGACTTGAATTAAGAAACAAAAAAAAAGAACAAAAACTATATTCTGTTTTTTTTTTTTCTATAAATAATGGTTGTCATTACTGTAATGTATTTAGCTTGTATGTTTGTTTGGATTGTTTCCTGGGTAACAAAGGAGCTGTAGGTGTGTCCTTCATGTTCAACGGGACATCTTTCGGTTTTGTGAATTGTCACTTGACATCAGGGAATGAGAAGATTGCCGGTACGTACCACAGTCCTGACACCATTATTTGTTGGCTATGACTGTGAGGACGTCCCACTTGTTTTTAGTTACTTCCATGTGTTCTTGACTATTTTATTTCACGGTCTTGTACTTTTAAACCTTTACACTGCAATTTTACTTTGTGGGGACTGAAAATGTCTTTCCTGTTGGTTTTGTGATTTAATACTTTTACAGTGTGTCAGAAAACATCTCACACACACACACACCACACACACACACACACACACAGCACACACACCAACAGCACACACAGAAGTGACTAGTTTGCACTTTATTACATAAAATACATGTGACCTTTGACCGCTGCAGGCGGAACCAGAACTACCTTGATATTCCTGCGGCTGCTGTCACTAGGAGACAAACAGCTGAGCTCCTTTGACATCTCGCTGCGGCTTCACACACCTCTTGCTGGCTGGGAGACCTCAACTACAGGCTGGATATGGATATACAGGTGAAGAGAACACACACAAAATCAGACAGCACACAGATGATGAAATGAGCAAATTTAGATGAAACCTTATTTTTAATGACCCTGCCTGCTTTTGGTGTCTGCGAACGGGTGTGCAGGAGATCTTAAACTACATTTAACAGGAAGGAGGTTTGAGCCCCTGCTGAGGGTGGATGGCCAGCTCAACCCTGGAGAGGGAGAAGAAAGTCTTCCTATCGCTTTGGTTAGTAAGCCTGAGCAGTACTGGTTTACTATCTCTTTTCGTGGTACAATGAACATATTCCTGAGTGCGAGCCAGTGATTTCTTTTTTGTCTTTCTTTTCTTTTAGCAGTGCGGTCAAAGAATAAGACTCTGTCCTCTCTGTGCTACATTCTTCATTGTAGTGTTCATGCTGTTTTTTCTCAAAAGTAAGCATTAACACACAGGATGTGAACTAGTCAGCGTTCTGTCTGTGGGCAGACAAATTCAGCTGACGTCAGATCACCCTCAATGCCAAAGGAGGGAAGAGAGAAGTGCCTTTTTGTTTTAATGATTATTACTCATTATCGGCAACTGAATGTGTTAGGTTTAGATTTATTGATGGCTTAATAGAATGCTAGGCTTTTGTGCCTTTACACTTAACTGCAACAAATTGTAACAAGAAATGTGTGTATCTTCTTGCTCGGCAGCTAGGTAGCGCGAAAGAGCATCTCGTTCCCGCCACCTACCGTTATGAACGTGGCTGCAAGGACACATAATGTAATGGCAGAGCAATAAGAGCCACAGGGGTTGTTTTATCTTAACTTAACCAACATCACAGGACTTAGTTCCCAGCCTTTCTGACACGTGACTTACCAGTACTTGTAATTTCTCTCTCTTGTTGGTCATGCCTGATTAATCCTGCTGTGTGTTCCTGCTACTTTTCTCAGTGTCTGTTCACTAGTCTAGATGAGGACGAATGTCCATCCCTGGTGTGAACAGGATGCTTGTGGAAGTCGTATCCAGAAAACACATCGTCTGCAACTCCTATGGTGGAGACATCGGGCAGAAAACTTATTCCACACGTCATTTGTTTTCAATTCAGTGTAAACAAGTGTCAACTGAGTAAAAGGTGGTTAATTTAACCTAAAAACATTTTAAACCATCTATATATGGGCTTATACTAGCAATAAATTATTATTGATCCAAACAAGGAGAGCTAATTAGCAAGGCCTCTTTTGTGTTTATCAGGCTGTACAGATGAAATATAGTGACCAGTGATACTACCCTGTCTTCGCTACATTTGAGGTGGGGGTTTGACCTCTCCAGTTTGTCTCCAAGAAAGGTACAAGTGAATTAACTTGAAGCTCTTCAGAAAGTAAATATATTTAAGTTTTTCTTTGGTTACCTTTCATTCTTCTACTGTCAATCGCTCTGCTTGTGGTCTCACTTGTGGTGTGTCTCTCTTTGGTTCTGTCTCCTTTTTTTAGCTGCAGGTGACAATCAGGCCATAATGGCTGAGTTTCAAAAATATGAGTGGACTCTGTGCATGGAAAATGCAGCAGATGGTCTGTAGCATATTGCTTTTTCAGAACTGTTGTGATTTGTTTTCGTTTTCAGCTGAACTGCTGACAGTGGATATGCCTCCTGTGAGTCTGGTTTGATGACTACGCACTGAACTTGGAAGACCAGAAATAAGCAGGATGAGTTAAGCTGAACAGAGGGAAAATATATATAATGTGCGCCTGTTACTCATTTTTTGGCCCAGTGAGTTGAGTTTGCAATCACAGCTTATGTTTTCACCAAGATTGGGATTTGTATGCTATATAAAGTTCATGTCTGTTTCTACTTGCTGTATGAAGAGCTCGCTCATTTTTCTGCATTTTCTTTCGCACTGAGCAAACATTTAACAAGTAAATGACTAATTCTTATATTTATGCTTTGTACATGGTATTCGATTTTGCCACCCACTCACCTCCAACTGTTTCTATGTAGGTCTGCCAAAAGTCTTTTCAGAGCAAGGCTACATGCGAGTTTGAGAGCATCGAGCTTATGTGAGACAGCGAGCAGAAGCGCAAGTTTCTTCATTGAATTTTCCAACTTGTCTGGAAGGTGCGATGAACATGTCTGCACCTTTTGCAGTGAGCTCATTCACACATTTAGGGCTTTTCCACAGTCAGAAATCCACCAGGAGTTTACCAGCACAGGACAGGGTTTCTGGAACACTCCAGAAAGTGGATGTAATAAATTTATATGCTGTTTCTTCTTTTCATAATCCCTGCCTCCATCCTCCCTATCTCAGGCAGTCAAGTATACTTTAAACTAGTCTCCATTTTTGACCCATGCTGCATCCCACCAATCCTGTCCCACCATATTACTTTTGAATGAAATGCAATAGAACATCTCCCTCCTCTTCTTCGCTTCTCTCCTCTCCTCTCCTTCCCACTCGTTCCCTTTGGGTCCCTCTCCCGCCATCCCGCTCTGCCCTGCATTTCTCTCTCTGTTTCTCATCTGGTAGAGTTTAAGGAAGGAGGCTTATGAGAACGACAGTTGGCAGCGCAGCGACAATGTCAACCTTTCCCCTGCCGTGTGGGCTGGTCCAACAAACAGCTACAAGACGCTAAAACCTCTTCTCTCGAGATTCGAGTATCGTTCAAAGGACGCAACATCTGCTGCTAACAGTGAAAATCAACTGGATGGATATGATTCCTACGGTATATGAAGAAGCGTGTTACTTGTTTTGTCGTGTGGCTGGTCCAAATTAAAGTTTGTTTCTTTTAGTCTGACAAACCATGTTGTGTTTTTTCCGCGCTGCCTCAGGCAGAAAGTGCGTGTTGGCTCTGAATCAATGATTGGCAAGCACAGCACAGCAGTTCCACACCTACCTGTCCCATCCGTGGCGAGGAACACAGGAAATATGCAGGGGGTCCATGAGGGTCAGAGTCCCCCTCTGAAAGAAATGGGAACCAGGGAGAGACTCTACGGTAATGCACTGTAGACCTACTGTGTGGTGATAGTCTGGTGTACTGTGTGCTTGAGTTGGAGAGAAAGCGCTAGTTCCATTTAAGAGCCAGTACAGTTTTTTTAACATACCTTTTTAAGCTTTAAAGAATTTGTACACATGAATTGTCCAAATGGTGAAGTTGGGAAAATTTTTATTGTTGTGTTTCAGAGTGGATCAAGTGTGGACAAGGAATGAGACAGGTGGACCTAAAGGGACATCCATGATGGTGTCAGAGTGGGACATGAATATGTGAAGTGAGTAACTTCTGCTTCTTTATAATAAAAAAGTTTAATGTAGCTTCATAGTAAAATGCAAAAAGCTGAATGTTTCATTAGCATTCTTCAGAGGAGAAAATTCTATATTACCTTCTCTGTGTATGGTTGTACATTATATTGGAGACACCCATGAATCCAAGGTAAGAATGAAAAATTTTTGTGGGCCAGTTTTTAGAGACTTGTATTTTGATGGAGTACAAGTATGGCTTTATAATTCAGATGGGGAAGACATAACTATTTTTGAAACATGCATCTCAGTGTTGTTAAAATGATATTGCATTTTTTTTTTCTCTTTTCTTCCTAAACTTTCTGTAAACTGTGTACTGTTTTAATACAAGAAATATACTATAAATAGATGTAATTTAAAAATATTTATCGATATTGTAGTGAGGGAAGGTTTTGCCCTTAGTAAAAACAAGAAAAAAAAAAAAGATGCGCTGCACACTCCCTGGTGAATTTATCACCCTGGCTCTGTGGCCGAAGAAGCTCCATCAGACGTGGCCTGATGAAAAATAAAGATTAAAAATAAATATTTTGAGGAAAGTCGGCCTGTACAACATTGTACAACCTTTGTTTCTTGGTATGTTCAGTATTTTCTCTCACTTGCCAACTTGTAACTTGTTCTGTTGTGTCCACGCCTGAAGGCCATCTGTGTTTCGTAACAGCATTTAGGAGAGCTGGGCAAGGTCAGTGAGGAGGGAGAAAGGAGACAGCAAAGGAGGAAACTGCTGCATAGGTACAGGCACAATTCATGTTAATCACACACACTGATCAGCCAAACACACCTTCAGATTTTACAGACCACGTTTGATATGGATAAGTTTCAGGCAGCTGAACAGTTTTACACCGTGACAGCATTAAACAATACAAAAATCAAAAACCATTTGTTCTGTTGCCTTTCCTGTACTGAAGAACCTAAGCAAGATGCATGCAGATGGGTGATTCCATCCCATCAGCAAGAACAGTGTCAATAACCCCGGCCTACTACATCCCTGGAGGGCGTTCCAACCAGTCGGCAGCTGCTTCCTCCTCACCTGAGCTTCTCCCATCTCCTCCGTCCACAAACCCCAGGCAGCTAAAGCCCCTCCTGCCGCCTCAGCTGGAGTCTCGGAACCAAACCCTCCTGTGCGGCCGTCAGGGCCCCATCACCCACGCAGACACATGGCAGGACACGCGCGGTCCGTGCAATTCAGTGAGGAGGGCCTGCCTCAGAAGACGATGGAGGGCACTTGTGGTGGCGGGGGCACAGGGGTGGAGGTGTCGCCGGGAACAGTAGGAAGCACACTGGTAATTGCGAGCCCCTCCCGAGTTCCCTCCTCGCTCCTCTTCCTAAGGGAGCACTGGAGATGGTTGCAGAAGTCCCCTTCCCCAAAGCCTCGCCCTGTTTACCCGGAACCTGGCCTGAGGTCAGGATCCCAGCAGCGAATCCCGGTGCCCGCTGGTCTCGGGGTAGGGCTTCCGGAGAGGAGGAGGGGGAGGCGGAGGGGGAGGACGGAGGGGGAGGCGGAGGCGGAGGCGGAGGCGGAGGCGGAGCAGGGGCAATTAGATCGACCCGTGTGTTCTGCTGGCTGCCAGATCGGCTAAGACATCTGAGTGAGAGTGAGTTTCCCCTGGACAGCCGCCACGCACTCCCTCAGCACCACATAGCCTCTGAGGGGGCAGTCCATGGGTTTAGGTCTGGACGCCTGCCGGCACCTTTCCGCACCCAGTAAATCCCATCAAAGAGAGTTATTGCAGAGGATCATGCCTGAGGAAGTGTGGGTGGTTCAATTAAAGTTTGCAATGTACACTTTAGGATTTGAGCTTATTCTCAGTAGTGTAGTCAGTTAGCCAGACACGGTTAGGCAGTATTTCTCTAGGCCATCCCAGGTTTTTATATTACGTTTTCTAAAAACACAAAAGCTTAACTATTTTTAGTTTTAGTGTTTTCTTCAATGGGGGGGACAAAAATCAAGCCAAAGCAGCTAGCATATTGTATCTTTGTATCTTTTATTATCTTACTGCATTCTGCGGGCAGAGTAATTGGTTCGCTACCACAGTTTTTTTTGGTGCTCCTGCTTTACGATTTCTCCTGTGCAGGCACTTTGGGGCAGCAAGTAGGTTCCTCTTTGTCACTGGTTTTGGGGAATCTTCAGTGGGGCGAATGGCTGCAGAGACTTGGGACTTGAGAAGGTATGAGCAGGGTCTTCTACAACAACGGTGGGATGACCTGGAGTTCTCAGGTACAAACACACATACACTCAGATATGTTGACATTCATGCTGTCTTTGCATGCAATTAGTGGGTGAAAATAAAAAGAGTTGAGGTAGTGATATAGTGTGAAAGTACAGGCCCAAAGTCTGTGTGGGATTAAAAAGCAAATCTACTACTCGTGGTTGTTATTCGTTTTGAAGTAAAATAATTATTTTAATTAATTATAGCGCACAGCCTTCAGTGTACTGTGTCTGCACCCTGTACTGTCATGCTGTCTGACTGAATAGCATGTTATTCACTAAATGTTTATAAAGGATTGATAGTGGGTTCCTGGTTCACGTGCTCCAGGGAAAGTAGGGTTATTGCCTGATCTATACGTGCTGTATGAAAAACGGTTTGTCAACTTTGTTCTGTTTTCTCATATCTTTGTATTGTTTTTCCACGCGACCATCACAGGAGGAGACCTGGAGGAGGGCGGGAGTGCTCGACCCTTGCCCACAAGCGAATCCTGCCTGGAGAGCTCAGGCAGCAGCAACAGGAGAAAGTATATACTGTAGAGCCGAAACTTGGTCCATATGACTGTTCCAAACTGGCTGGAAACCACAGCGCAGGTCAAGAGGCCAAGATCTCAGCTGAACTGAACTGAGGCCTGGAACTTGCCAATGGGTGACTGCGCAGAGCTGTGCCTTCTGGAGATGGGTAGGAGAATTGCACTCGCCATTTTTGGTACTTTCAAAAACACTATTGTTGAACCAACGTCCTTTTTCACATGGTACTGTATGGTGG